AAAATCAGGCAAGTCACTGGGGAGCAACAGCAACAAGCAGTACATTGATCACATGCGCGGGGGCCAAAACCCAGAACAATTTCTTGCTGTTAAGGGTTTTGCTTGCCCTAGCAAGCTTGCTCCCTTCGGGTCTTATCCAAGCTTGTCCAAACTCGAACCCAAGGAACCAGTACAGAAACCCAACTCAGGGTTTGGGATTCGCAAAGTGTGGGGTGTACGGCGTGTGGCTCTCGCGTTGGAAACACGAGCCGGCTTCGGCGGGCAAGTGTTGGGCTTTCTCAGTGTGCTTCTGCAGCGCTTACGCGGAGCTTACGCCAAACGGGCGCAAATAAACCGCCCAACCCACCCTGCACCATGTCTCTGTCACGCCCCCAGTCCCTTCTCTGGCTTTGTGCTGAGGTATTCTTGCAATGCCCATTGCTGAAACACAAGTCGCCCACCTTGGAGCGCGCAGTTGCTTATGGGATTATGCGAGCTCTTGCCTGCAATGTGTCTCAACTTGAAGGATGTTGATCCCTGCTCATAAAATCTAGACCTTGCAGGGTTGCAGGACATTCATCCAATTTCTGACTTTTCATCTGAGAATCCGACACTGCATAGCCGGCGGTGGCCAGCGTTTTGCGCACCTCATATAATGCCACTCTGAGCATGCCGCTCGCACGAGCTCTGATGCTTCCTTGCGCAACAGCAACACCTTCGTGCCACTCACGGGTAAATGTCGCCATCCTGCCAGTTTGGAATGCCGAAGCCTTACCGTTCCCGAAGCGGGCATCGCGCAACGCGTAAAGGGAGCTAGCTTCCGCTTCAGTTTCCTCCATGGGGGGATAATCGAGGTGTGAAGGGTTCAGGGTTACGGCTTAAAACCCCGGCAGGAGGCCTGAACCCTAAGCCCGAAGTCATCGAAGCACTCGCCTCCGCCAGTACGAACACCAGGTGCGGGGGCGTGCGGACCGTGATCACCTCTGATGGATTCGGGAAAACATGGAGGCTCAGGGGATGTAGGGGCTCCGGGGCTCAATGAAGCTTGAGCTGAGTCAGCAAGCCGGCTTTGTTTGTTAACGTGGTCTGAGTGCAGGCAGGGGATGTTGTTGTTCAGGCTTTGCAAAGGGGGGGGGGGGCAGGGTTTTTTGTTGATCAAGGATTCCATGTTGAAAGGTATCTCCAATACGAAGTGTGACAGGCCTCTCCGGCCCATTATCCTACAGTGCTAGTGCTGGAGCACGCTGAAAGACGCATAAGTATCAAAATACTCACAACCATACGAACAACATTGAGTCATACTTGCAATCAGTAAGGAAGTTTGTTCGCCGTTCATGGTTCAAAAGCTCATGGTTCAGAATAGTCGTGCAATGCTCTGAATGGTCCTCAAAACCGATCCATAAAGACAAAGAATCCCTTCGACTCATCAGCAGACCGTTAGGCCTTGACATGCTAAAGGTCCCAAAGCCTCCAAAACTGCATTGCTATCAGTTTTTTTGGATTGCTATTGATTTTGTTGGAATCACTACTATGATTCTTCTTCTTATTGTTAATTGCCGGCATTCTTATGTTTATGACAATGATGACTACTCTTATTCTGAATATTCTGATTTTGTTTATGACCATGAATACGAGTATTGTTCGCTGATTAACAATGTTGATATCGTCATTGCTACTTTCATTCCTATCGGTTCTTGTTTCGTTGTTGCTGTTGCTGCCTGCACACTGCTTTCAAACACCCTTCCACCCTTTCAACATGGTCCACTGCGGCCCTAAACCCTAAACCCTAAACCCTAAACCCTAAACCCTAAACCCTAAACCCTAAACCCTAAACCCTAAACCCTAAACCCTAAACCCGGCTCAACTGAGGTCTCGGCCATGGCCTCGCGCAGGTAGTGCAGATGCTGGCGCTGGAGGATTCCAAGCACCTCCGCCTCGGGAAGCGCTTTGGGATATGTGATGAGAATTCCATAGGCCAGGATGGCCCTTAAAACCCTCTGAAAAATGTTCCTGACTGTGATCCTCTTAAACCCAATAAAGGAAAATATGGAGAATAAAACATGTCCCAAGGGCCTACAGAGTAGTCAATTACAATTTACTACTTGTTTTGTGCTACGACCTCAAGAGCCTGGGCATGATGAGACGGGGAGTCAGCAGGCGGCTTTCGGACAACGGCGCCGCAGCTTAACATTGCTACTCCTCCGGGCCTAGGGCGAGCCATCTACAACAAGTCTTGACACGAGAGGCTGCCAGATTCCAAGGGGCCACCAGCTACGCCAAAGGGACTTGAGGCCGTTATGGACTCATCCTGGCATACGATGGGACCTGTAGTGCGGGAGGTTGTTCCACAGCCGCCTCCACCACCACCAGAAATGGTTGCAAGACCTAAGCCGTCGCCGAAAGCTGGAAATTTCATAGAGCAACACTGAAGACGCTGGAATGATTCTTGATGACTGGCTGACCGTGGCAAAGCCGATGAAGGCAGCACTGTCGGCCACAGCGTCTGAATGGTGGGAGCAAGGTCACAGAGGTCCATCCATGAGCAGGCAGACCAGGTGGAGGAGGATTTTCGCTTGTTGAGGAGCCTGTCGGTGGATACGAACATCGGTGGCGCAAAGACAACAACAGATGCTTGTCCTGAAGTGTTTCTTTGCAAACCAAGACGATCCAGCAGCTGCCGGCGTGGGCGCCAGCTATGAGTTCCGAGTACAACGCAATGCGTTCTGAGAAAGCTGCCATAGAACCGAGAACGGGGCAACAGATAAAGGCGTGGGAAGAAGAGAGCGACATGATCGTGAGAAGGATACCAGCAAAAATGGTGTTCACGAGGAAAGCTGTCAGCGGACAATGCAAAGCAAGGGCATGCGCTTGCGGAAACTTCCTACAGGCGGAGGAGAGCAGCAAGACGAGACAGGGGCTTCGCGAAGAAGTGTACGAACAGCGGGCATAGACATTCCTGTCCTGCGTACAATGCTTGCTGTGCGGGTGCTCGCCGTGAATGGAGAGCTGGAACAACAGGCTTCAGCGATCTGGGTACAAGAAAGAACGGATCGTTTTGTATCCGCCCCGAATTTTGCACTGGGCTGGGAAAAGGCTTGTTGCCAGAGCGTTGCACGGATTGGAAATTTCCCCTTAAAGTTGGGCAATCTATCGTGATCAGCAACTGAAGGGAAGGCGTTTCCAGTACAATGGTCAATGGCACAGTTTGCAACCATGTCGCAATGACCCGAATCTTTGGGGATTATGTCGGCCAACGGACAACTTCATGGATTGATGGCTATTTTGTGGGCGACATTCTATGCGTTGCACAGGATGGCTTGTTGCAGGCCTGTTTCGACAGCATTGCGCAACTTTGGACTTGTTCTAAGCCGGAGTATGTTTCGAAGCAGGGGCCCGTGAGGTTGTGCGGGCTTGACATCTACAAAGAGGACTTCAGATTCCTGGTGAGATAAGACGCCCACAGGACAGATAGTGGAGAAAAAGGAAGCGGAGCAAAGGAGAGAGTCTTCGAGCTTCCAGAGGTCCGGCATTAAAGTATGACCTGCCCCACTCCAATTATGGTCACAAAGGCGCAGCGACTGATTGGTGAGCTGAACTGGATTGGCAGAATGGCGCCAGGACACGGCCCGACACATCTTCGATTAGCACAGCCGCGCACTGCTTCGATGCCACTTTGGCTGTGGAAGCAGCCACCCAGGTCTTCCATATTTCTGAGAGCAACTAAAGACGATGGGCTTCGATATGTGGCAAGTCCTGACTCATTTGGCAAGTATCCGGAGCTTCGGGTGCCTCGCAAGGCGCCAGTCCATGCTCCGGTCCCAAGAGGGTATGTGTTTGCCGCAGGCCAGCAAATTGCTTGGTCGTCAAACAAAAAATCAATGACAAGCCTGAGCACCGCAGAAAGTGAATGTTGCGCAGTGCTAGAGGGCGTAGCATATGGGGAAGGAACCAAGTGTGTTTCGGAGGAGATCATGCAGGTTTCGGTTTCGGCTGTGATCTACTCTGACAATGCTGCTACAGTGGCTTTGGTTACCGGGAGCGCGACTCTTTGGAGATTCAGAAGCTTCAAGAACAAGGCTGCACCGCTGCAACAATTGCATTGTAATGTTTGGCAAATGTATCGCTTGGACGGGATCTACATCACCGCAGACTTGGGCACAAAGTCCTTGACAGCAGCCAGGTTGGAAGAGTTACAGCGATTGATCAACATGGGTGGGCGAGATTTCAGCCAGCCTCAGGCGAGCAAGTTGAAAGTGAAAGCCGTGGCGAAGATGTTGATTTGCTTCGCTATGCTGGGCACCGTGGAAGGTGCGAAGGTGGAGCAAGCAATGACACTGGAAGAGTGGGCAACACTTAGTGACTATTGTGGTACTGAGTATCTTGTCCATGTGGGAAACGACATGGTTTTGGCTGGGTAGAAGAGGGTGAAAACTGGCCTCGCGAGGACCTTGCACCCGAGCCATCAACTACATCCACTGGGACGTCGTCGCCGCACGCAGCTGCTACCTCATCGCCTACACCGGCGCCAGAACGCAACGCACCTCCTGTTTCAAGCAACTATAGACCCTACCCGCCTACCCCCCAACCTACCCCACCTACCCCCCCCAACCCCCTGCCCTCCCCCCCTCCCCCCTCTTCCTTCAGGTGGCTTCCCCCCCCCCCCCCAACCGCCTGCCTCCTCAAAAAAACGCTAGATTTTTCTCGATTTTCCGAGGCGAAAACCAATTGGGCACAGCATTTTTGGCGCCCTCTTGTTGTTGGCTTCAGAGCGCGTTGTCTTTGTGTAGACCAGACGTGTGAACAACAACACATAAGTCCTTAGATTTGAAGCGCACAAGTCCACTCAACAAGGCCACATTCTCCAAGCTCTGGTCGAACCCATAACCGAAGGTCAAGGACTGCAAGCTGCCAGGCAAGACGACATTCTCCAAGCTCTGGTCGAAGCTATATCCGAAGCTCAAGGACTGCAAGCTGCCAGGCAAGGCGACATTCTCCAAACTCTGGTTGAAATTATCTCCGAAGCTCAAGGACTGCAAGCTGCCGGACAAGGCCACATTCTCCATTCTCTGGTTGAATTTAAATCCGAAGGTCAAGGACTGCAAGCTCCCGGGCAAGACGACATTCTCCAAGGTCTGGTCGAACCTATGTCCGAAGGTCAAGGACTGCAAGCTGTCAGGCAAGGCCACATTCTCCAAGCTCTGGTCAAAACTATCTCCGAAGCTCAAGGACTGCAAGCTGCCGGGCAAGGCCACATTCTCCAAGCTCTGATTGAAATCATTTCCGAAGCTCAAGGACTGCAAGCTGCCGGGCAAGGCTACATTCTCCAAGATCTGGTTGAAATAAAACCCGAGGCTCAAGGACTGCAAGCTGCCAGGCAAGGCCACATTCTCCAAGCTCTGGTTGAAATTATCTCCGAAGCTCAAGGACTGCAAGCTGCCAGGCAAGGCCACATTCTCCAAGCTCCGGTTGAACCTACATCCGAAGGTCAAGGACTGCAAGCTGCCAGGCAAATCCACATTCTCCAAGCTCTGGTCGAACCCGTGTCCGAAGGTCAAGGACTGCAAGCTGCCAGGCAAGGCCACATTCTCCAAGCTCTGGTTGAAATTCTCTCCGAAGCTCAAGGACTGCAAGTTTCCGGGCAAGGCCACATTCTCCAAGCTCTGGTCGAAATCACCTCCGAAGCTCAAGGACTGCAAGCTGCCAGGCAAGGCCACATTCTCCAAGCTCTGGTTGAAATCATATCCGAAGCTCAAGGACTGCAAGCTGCCGGGCAAGGCCACATTCTCCAAACTCTGGTCAAAACTATCTCCGAAGCTCAAGGACTGCAAGCTGCCGGGCAAGGCCACATTCTCCAAGCTCTGATTGAAAGCATTTCCGAAGCTCAAGGACCGCAAGCTGCCAGGCCAGGCAACGTTCTCCAAGCTGCGGTTGAACTTATATCCGAAGGTCAAGGACTGCAAGCTGCCAGGCAAGGCCACATTCTCCAAGCTCTGGTTGAAATCATATCCGAAGGTCAAGGACTGCAAGCTTCCGGGCAAGGCCACATTCTCCAAGCGCTGGTCGAACCTATGTCCGAAGGTCAAGGACTGCAAGCTGTCAGGCAAGGCCACATTCTCCAAGCTCTGATTGAAAGCATTTCCGAAGCTCAAGGACCGCAAGCTGCCAGGCCAGGCAACGTTCTCCAAGCTGCGGTTGAAACCATTTCCGAAGCTCAAGGACTGCAAGCTGCCAGGCAAGTCCACATTCTCCAAGCTGCGGTTGAACTTATATCCGAAGGTCAAGGACTGCAAGCTGCCAGGCAAGGCCACATTCTCCAAGCTCTGGTTGAAATCATATCCGAAGCTCAAGGACTGCAAGCTTCCGGGCAAGGCCACATTCTCCAAGCTCTGGTCGAACCCGTGTCCGAAGGTCAAGGACTGCAAGCTGCCAGGCAAGGCCACATTCTCCAAGCTCTGATTGAAAGCATTTCCGAAGCTCAAGGACTGCAAGCCCTTCGGCAGTTCAACATTCTCGAGACTATCTGGACTGTAGATGTGCAACGAAGAGATTGCGTCCTTTGCACATGCCTCCATCACGCTCAGGCGTTGGCCGTCGCTCGCTCGCAAAAACGCAGCGGCTGCGTGCCCTGCACCAACCTAGGTTGGCCCCTTAGACCCCAGTAGGCCTGTAGGTTCCTTGCACTCAACAATGAGGGAAAACATACTCATGCCAAAGGGCAACTGGTTGAACCACATACGTGATGACACCACCCTGAACTTGCGCCAACAGCGGCTTGGAATCGTCCAGGCCGCTGCCGCCAGCGACCAAGCCAAGCATGCCACCTAGCGGCAAGCCGATCCTTCCTGCGACGCTCTTGCGCAAGTCTTCCACGGTCATGCTGTCTTCAAGAGGAAGCTGCACTTCTGAGCCATCGAGACCACAGACCGTCAAGTGTCGGCCGGCACAAAGGCCATCAAACTCGTCAAGGCACTGAGCCTTCCGTTCTTCTTGAGACAATCCGAATCCTGGTGCGAGGTCGGCCATGGCGGCTTGCGCTTTGGCGCCTGGAGCCTGGTGGCTTTACAGGGTCGACGAAAGCGGCGTTAGCCCTTAGATTAGCAGTTTCCTAATAGAGTAGCGAATTAACAGTTTCTTCATGGAAACAATTTTTAAGTTGAACTAATTTTTGCTTCGTATTGCTGACCTTAGTTCGTGCGTGCACTTAGGGCAAGTGAAAGGTTGGGGGCTGCATGCATCGAAAGTGGCAATTGGGTGATGTTGGGTGCGTTTGCCTTCGTTGAATGGTGCATTCCTGTAAGTTGTAAAAAAATCCGAAGGTCCGAAGGCCCCCCCCCCCCCCCCCTTCTGAACGGACCCCTGGGTGCATGGCCAGCTTCAGAGGGAGGATCTTCCGGACGAAGGCGCTCCCATCGGTTGCCTCTCAAGACGGGAGGCATGAGGCAGTGCCAAATGGCCCTTTTCTCGGTGTGAGACTATATAAAAAACAAACTAGTATACGAGATCAGCTGTTCTGTCCTAAAGTACCTTTGTAGGCGTGGCCCTTAAGGGATTCACTGAGATCTGAACAGAGCAGCTCCCTGTGCTCTGCTGGAACACGAGTGCAAAGCAACCAAACCAAGAAGCACAAGCTTTGTCCAGCAAACGCATAAAGCCAACCGTTGATCGTGACCTTCGTCGTGGGACCACTCGGCAGGACGATGTGCACATGGCGTAGCCCAGCCCTGAGCAAAGGCGTTGGTTTAGGGTTTAGGGTTTATCCTGTCACTGAAGGCCATGCATCGCAGACACCCCAGCCTCAAGAACCTGAATCCCAAATCCCAGCCTAAAGCTGTTTCTACCGATAGGGGTTGTTCTCACTAGTTCTCCATTTGGGTCCTCTGTACCTGGATAGTAGGGCTTACTTACCTCAAACCCTCCGTTTGGGACACTATCCTAAAGCAGACCCTAACCGAATGGTTCTTTTGGGACTGCTTTTGGGTACACTAGATTTGTTGGTGCCCAGAGAAACGGAACTTGATTTAGAAACCCTGTGATTCAAGTCCTCTCATCTTTAGGTTCTAAACCCTAAATTTGGGCTTGCTAAATTGGGGGGTCGACTTGACACAAGGGTGCCCCTAACCCGAAGCAAGCCTGTCAACGCCTTTACTTAGAGAACCACCCTCCAAACGTCTCCGTGTCCCGCTGAAGGCCCGACTTCAAGGAAGCAGCCATGGCCTGGAAGAGACACGTCACAAGACAACTCCACGCTCTGACCAACTTGCTTAGGGTTTCGGGCTTATAGGTTTCCTTTGTTCGGAGGCTTCCGGATCAGACAGCTCCACAGTGAAGCGCGACTTGCCGGAAGCCCGAGTGCCCGTTTCAACCGCCTAGCTGTTGTAGACATGGCTGGGAAATGTGGCACGACCCAAGATGTCAACACTGAGCAAGGCAAGCTTGGATTGGAGGGCAGGGATCGTGAGTACTTCGGACGTCATTGGAGCAAAAGCTTGCCAAAATCCAACGCTTGTATGATGGGTTCATAGGCAGCTTTTGCACGCGGGCTATTGCCCATCGACGAGGATTGCAGTCCTTGGCTGGGTAAATGGGCCTGTGCGTTCCCGACGACGTACACCTGGGGCAATGCTTGACATGCCGTGAAGGGCCCGTACCTTGAAACAACGGCCAAGACTGCATTGCAGGTGGTGCACACCGGACTGGCACCCCAAGAATCGAGGATGCAGTGTTTCCTTGGAATGGTAGTCCTTGGCAGGATAGTTGAGGCAAGAATGGCCCCGATGAAACTTGCTTGGAGAAGCTTGCCAAGCTGCTGGGAGACTTGGGAAGCAGAGTGTCATGCAGATGGCACGCATTATGATTGCCGCATGCGCGGCATGGTTGCCTGAAAAACAAATCACTTGTATGCTGTCTTGGTTGCGGGAAAGCGCTTGAGTTGGACAACGCAAGCACTCCGGATGACACTTCTTGGATGGAGAGGCGGGCCCAAGCAGTCACACAGTCATGTGCCTGGCAATCCTTGACTCAGACTACCACGTCGCGAGCCTCGATGCAAACCGCCGAGATTCCACTGCTGAGTCTGAAAGGAAAACCCTCTCTTGGATTGTTTTTTGTGTTCCAGGTTCTTGCATGCCGAGAACGTGTTTACGCAGTCACTGCGCATGCTTGCATGTTGAATTCCACCGTGTGGGTTTATCTCTGTAGTTGGCCTCTCCTATTCCCGGAGGAATATGCTCAGTCCTTTGTATGTGTGTGTGGTCCATTTTACATTGCTGGTGCCCTTTGACACCCGCTCGGTGTTGAACTTATCTTTGGTTGCTGTGGTGTGCGACAGCTTTTATGCAGATGTTGTTGTAAAAATGCCCCAGCCTTCCTGCATTGCTGGGTCAAATCCACTCATGCCGATGGTGCCTTGCTTTGCATACCGATTAGTGCAGCACGGTCAGGAACATTCGGCAAACAGGCAGACAGGGTTTTTGTGTTTTAGACCTTTAGGGTTGAGGGGGTGCTAAGGTTCAACTGGTGCTTTCGGCAGCACCTTCAGAACGAGTCGAGACTTGAGCATCGGGTCACTAAGGCTGATTGCACCGCGTGAAGCCTCCACCGAAATCCTTCAAAGTTCCGAACACCCCAAGCCCAAGACACTCGGCCTGCGCGTTGTTTGCCCCCACTTCCAGCCTGAGGCGCAGTCATTGTACACGTAAGCCCGGGCTGAACCCCTAAAGGCCTGAGGGTTTTTAGGCTTTTGGGGTTTAGGGCCCCAAACCTTTGACCTGATCCTAAACCACGCATCTCTGAAAATCACCCCCTGTTCCCCGGCTCACGACCCTTCAATCTTTTGGAACAGGACCCTTTGCTTAACATGTGCAGCCTGCGTCGTACCCCTCCCGAGCGCAGGTCCCGAAGATGGGCATCGCCGTCACAGGGCCACTTGGTGCAGGCAGCGATGGGGCCTGGTGTTCGTGAAATTGGGATCTTGTCCGAAAGCCCTTTATGCTAGGCCAGCAAATGAGGCAAACTGGGCATGCGCTGACAAAAGGGTGTCCATCTGCAAGGGCAGGGACATACAGATTCAATGTCAAGTGGACAATTTGTTGCCCCCTTGAAAGCATGATCTGCCTGAAGCACTCTGGGGAAGTCATCGAAGAACACGGAGTAGAGCTGCCGAACGACTGCCTGCGCTCGGCTCCATACTCGAGGTTAATAGCTGGCTGTTAATGGCACACGCCCATGCCCCCCCCCCCCCTCCTTGAGCTCTTCCTTAATTAACCCCTCTCCATCTTTCCATCCTTGAAACACAATCCTGACCCCACACTGCACCTTAAACCCTAAACCGTAAACCCAAAACCCTTCAGACCCCAAATCCCCCTGAACCCTGAGTGCCCCAAAGTCCGAACAAAGGGCATTATGAGTTTTGGGATTTTGGGTTGTGCAACCTCGCTCAAGCCTCAGCGCCTAGCCACCAAAACCCCCCAAAAGCCACCCAAAAGCCCCAAAAGCCCCGAATACCTACCCCCTCAAACCAAACTCCTAAAGCCAAAAGCCCCAGAACCCCTAAGCCCTAAAGGGGAGCAACCCCAAAGGCCCCAAAAAGCAAACCCCCCCGAAAACCCTCAACCCCCAAACACCCCAACCTTTAAACCCCAAACCCCCAAAAACTCCCCAAAAGCTCCCAAAAGCCCGAAAAGCCCGCAAAGCCCTCACAGCAAATCATAACCTCTAAACCCTAACCCCCCAAAAAACCCAAAAGCCCTGAAAGCATTGAAAAGGCAAGGGGAGCCTGGAGGCTGGTAAACTTGGCTCCACCCTCGTGGCGGGCCAACAAGCTCCGAAGTCGCTTCTGCTGGGCCAGCGCCTGGCAGAAGAGCAGGATTTTAGGGTTTGGGGTTGAGGTTAACTTGTTGGGATCAGGTTGAGAGTTTAGGGGTTACGGTTTTTTGTTGTTTCTTTGGGCTTTTGGTTGATGGGGTATTAGGGTTTTTGGCAGGGGTAGTGGGTTTAGGGCTTAATGTTGTGCTCGGTCGCCCTCTCCCTCAAGATGAACAAGGGCCGCGAAATAGTGAGATTTGGGGGGGGGGGGGGGTGATCCGGTACGAGTCCTAGAGCCCTACACCCTTCCCTGTTTTCAGGAGGTAGGGTATGGGTTTGGAGGGTTGAGATGAGTTGCTCCGTTATGAGGTTTAGGGCATAGAGCTTAAGTCTGCAGAGTTGGGCTTGGAGGTTTGGCGTGTGAGCTTTTGTTGGAGGTTTGGTGCTTTTAACCTGTTGAGTTGAAGAAGGTTCAGTTGTGTATTTGAGTTTCCGAATTTCACCTAAGCAAACACCAGCCTGAGCCCGACATCCTAAACCCTATCAGCCCTAAATCCTAAACCCGAAACCCTAAACACCCCAGAAAGCACAGCGCTGTGGAGCCTGAGGATCCAAGCTCATAAGCTCCGCGAGTCTTACCTTCTCCTGAACATGGCAGATTGCATCTATTAGAAGAGCCGATATGAGGTTGCGGGGGTTACAGGGATTAGGCTTCGGGATGCTTCAGACGCTTGCCATCTCCTGTGGGCCCTAGCAAGCTGATGGCCTTCACTTGTAGAAACTATCTCGCAGAAACGCACCATCCCCAGCCTCTCGGAAAGGCAGCATCACCGACACAATGAAGGGCTTTCCGTTGACCTCCAACATGCAAGTCTCCGTCTCAACAGCCCCATGACCGCTCTCATTCTCACGCCCTCCAGAGACCAGTATCCGAGATGCCGGGGGACTGGAGGCGCCTCCACGTGGAGGAAGCTGCTGAGGTTCCAGAAAGCCGAGCTGTTCCTGCAATCAAAGCATGGGGCAGCTTAGGGTGTCGGGCAGCTTCAGGCTCACAGGCGCTGATGTTTATTGAAAGCTTCTCAGTATGTGTTTGCTGAAAGGCAGTGACGCAAGTTCATGGCAACTCAATGAACGGAACCGTGGAGGTTTTGACCCACAGGGCCGGTCTTCCTTTAACTTAAGGGCCGCTTCTTAGGTCCCCGTCGCAATGTTCACAAGTTACCGTGACGACCGTGCCATTGAAGCCCTTAGCCTCCAAACCCCGAAGCCCCTAATTCCGAGCAAAGCCTTCTAAACCCTAAACCAATGGTCAGTGTAGGTTGGTGGTTCAGGACCAGTATCCAAGGTTTTGGTCGGGTTTTCAGAGTGTATATTTAGGAATTTAGGGCCTACAAACCCCACGCGTAGACTCTTGCCTGTAAGACTTATCATCGGCCTCCGCTCATTCAGCAGCAGGGCGAACGTGTGGGTGTGCGTCGGCCGGCGGCTCTTCCTGCAAGTCTGAAGGGCTTGGGGTTTAAGAATTAGGAGTGCGTGTGCGTCTGTGTGCATTTTTGTTTGTTGATCCTCTTTTGCTTGAGGATTTACAGAGAGGTTTCTCGTTTCGTTAGGCCAATAAAGCCTTCCTTGACACTTCGTTCTGGCAAGGATTTGAAAGCTGCCGTCTTCTGGAACCTGGCAGAACCCCTACGGCCCAAAGCCACGCAAAGCCTGCCGCAGCCGGATCTGAAGGTACCAAGATCCCTAGACACCCCAAATCCCTACACCCTAAGCATAAACCCCTAAGAAGCCTGGACCTGGAACCCAGAACAGAGCTTCCGAAAAAAAATAAACAATCGAAGAGCAAAAGCCATAAGCTATCCTACAAGCACCAGAGCCCCCAAATCACAGAATCCTGAGCCACCCTCAGAACCTAAAATTCCGGCCTGGCATCCTGGCAGAACTGGCGGAGCTTGTTGAGCTGGTCCCCGTTGAATTGCTCGTTGCGGTGGTGGTCTGCCCGAAGGTTTAGTGCTTCGGGTTCGAGAACGGAAGATTTCAAGCCCTCAGCGCAGCAAAGGCTTGGACGTGGCGTTTCAGGTTTGGGAGCGTAGAGACCATCTGCCAGGGTCTTGGGGGCGTTTGCACCCTGGAACCCTAAACCCTAAGCCCTCAACCGTCAAGCCCAAATCTACACGAAATACTACACTGCCCCCTGCCCGTCCTTTGGGCTGCAAAAAGCGGCAGTTGCGCCCCAACACCTGCGTAGCGGATTTCGGAGGATGGTGGCAAAGAGCAAAGAATAACAATATTCCAGGATGACAGACTTTTCAGTATACAGATGGATGTCGATGGTCCGTGCTCTTTGCAAGGTCTGCAGCCCCAACCCACATACGATGCTTGAATCGGCACGTCGCGCCCTCTACTTACCTGGGGCACTCGCCCACTTGCGCTGGTAGCCCGTCTGCTCTTCGAAGCCTGGGGAGATCCAGACCAACGGATCGTCCTGGCGACAAACGCAACCACAAGCCCTCAGCATTCTTCGACGTCTGATGTGCGAAAAGTTGTGGAAAGTGCTGCTGTGCAATCCTTTCGACTTAGAGCCAGCCCAAGTCGAGCTAGCTGGGGTGACGCCAAACCCCAAACCCTAAACCCTAAACCCTAAACACTCCCCCTTTGAAAGGCTAGACCGCTCCTCCCCCGAGGGATCTGCCACGGCCAAGACTGCATCGACGTGCTCGGAGCCCTGCCGAGCGGCTGTGGTGAGGGGGTCTCCCGGTCTCCTGGCTTGAAATCCTGGGGCTTATATACGTGCACATGTAGTATACATACATATATATATATATATGTAGATAGACATTTTTATGTGTATATCGTCTATATCTATATCTATATATACATATATACATATACATATATTCATACATATGTATATATATATATATATATATACATATATACATATATACATATATACATATATACATATATACATATATACATATATACATATATACATATATACATATCTACATATATACATATATACATATATACATATATACATATATACATATATACATATATACATATATACATATATACATATATACATATATACATATATACATATATACATATACATATACATATACATATGTATATGCATTATTGTATATGGTTCAAAATCATGCAATTTACCTCTAGTGCCAGCTTAAACACACATGCCCCGCACGCTTCCGAGCCCCACCACCTTGCCAACCCAATCAGGGCGCTCCTCGGCTTTCAGAGTTGTATAGAGGGGTTTTCTGGTTTGGTGCTTGGGGTTGCGGGCTTCAGGGCTTTCGGTTGTTGCCCGATACTTAGAGTTTAGGGGTTGAAGGGCTTCGTAGGGGGCTCAATCTTCGGGGTTGAGGGGCTTTGGGATTTGGAGAGATGCTGTTGGGGATAGAGTGTGGAGGTGCCTCACGGTGTCAGGGTCCAGGAGTTAGAGATTCTCGGTATGGACAGGATTTTGGAGGTCACTTCGGGCAGAGAGTTTGGGGCTGCAGCTCGCAGGGCTTGCGGCGACATTCTTCGTCTAGCAGCTCATCGAGTCAGAAAAACCTGAGATCGGTAAAGACCTTGAATCCCTGGATCCCTAACCCCAAAAACCATCCAACCTCCAAAAGCCAATAATATACCCTAACCCTAACACCACCATCCCCCCTTCTTTTTAAATATAAAATCAAAAAAACACCAAAATGATGATCTAACGCGGTGCGGGGCTCCAGGAGGCGACGAACGTCCTCCTGCACAACCTCCAAGAGCTGCTGCACCTCCTCGGTGCAGGGTTTAAGGGTTCAGGAGGCCCTCTTAGCGGCTCTCAGCCGTCTTAACCGCCCCTCAGCACGCAGCGCACCGAACGACAATCCGACTCTTTTCCCTAAAGTCGCTGCCTCACTCCCGCTCCACGGAGCCCGACGTTGAGCTCCAGACGCCAGCCTGCTTAAAGGTGTGGACTTCCGCTAAGCCTCGCATCGGGGCAAAGGATTCGTTGAGGTTGTTCGTCGGGGGGAGGGGGGGTGCGGGGTGGGGGAAACCTTTGAATAAGGAGCGCTCTTTCCAAAGCCATCTGGATCAACACTTAAGAATCGGTTGTCCAGACGCGCAAAGAAGGCCCAGGAAGGCAAAATAAAATACAGGATTCAGGGCTTGGTTCGACTTTGCCCGGGCATGCCGTGGCGTACGGTGTTCTGTGACGGCCAGCGTTTGGCTTAAGTGCCCGCTGCACTTTTTGCAGAATGTCACAGTTCGCGCGTGCGGATTCTACAGATTGCCCTGCTCATTGAAAAGCCATAGCAGCTCACGGCAACCTATTGCAAACTATATTAAACTTATCCTTATAGCTTCGAGAGATCAAGACGCTGAGTAAGACTCGCATATATACATTAGGCTGGCCATCTGACGATTCCACGTCCCGCCCGGCCTATCTTGGGAACGAACAAGTCCCCAACGAAGTCCTGAACATCTTCATGCTCTTCTGTGCCCAGAGCGTGCATACTGACATACTCACATCCAGCACTTAAGCATGAAAACCCGCATGGGCTCTTCGTCAAGATGGGGATTCCTGATGCGAAGAGACTAACGGTTTGGGTTTGCGGTGGTCCTCGCCCGTTCGCAGGAAAGCTGCAAACTCTGTGGCATAGTGTTCGCAGGCCTTGCGAGACTTGGTGACTTGCTGTAACAAGACACGCACTCAATTCTTGGTTGGATACAGATTTTAAGGCTGGTGATCTCGTCTAGGACTTCATGCAAACAGGGAAGGGAGACTAAACCACATATACACCGAAAAACCTATGCTCTGCAAGCTTGCGCCCCAAAGCCTGGGGTACGCCAACCTCTGGAATGGTCTTCAAGTACGGGTCCTGCAAGGACAGGGGCAAGGTGTGCTGATATATATATATATATATACAAGGCATTTTACTCTCACGCTCGCACTCAGGTAACGGCTCAACCCGCTTAGAAAACCGAACTCGAAATCACGAGGCCCTGAATTGAATCCTAATCCAATCCACCAAACCCCGCATTTGAATTCAAAAACTGAATTCAAATCGCCCCCATTTTAATTCAAAAAACTGAATTGAAAAACCGGCCGTTTGGAGGCCCACCACCTGAACTGCATGTGTGCCGCTCCCCTAGCCCCGATCTGGGGTCGCAGAGACGTGATTTCGACGTCGCCAGCCCCCAATCCGCATTTGGCTTCGGGTTTAGGGTTTAGGTTACAGGGTTTAGGGGCCAGGGTTTGGGGTTTAGGGTTTAGGGTTTAAGGTTAGCAAATCCACTCCGATCTGCAGGCATTCAGATAGTCTGGGAAGGTAGAATCCACAGGTCCGTGCTCTCACGTGAATCGACAATGAGGAGAACCGAATCTTGGTTTCAGACCGTGAGCTGGCAGACATGATAGCCCAGCACGCTGTGATTTTTTGTTTGTCAGGTGGCCTTGCTTGTTTCCGCCAGCCATGAAGACGAGTTCCGTGCGGGGTGCAATCGCAGGTTTAGCTCTAGCAAGTAAGGTTCGCAGCCTTATATAGGCTTTTCTTTCCACAATGGAGAAGTTTAAAAGGCATAGTACTTGCTGGGCCTTCTGTGCAGGGTTTAGGCAACAGTTTAAGAGGCCTAATACTTGCTGGGCCTGTTGTGGAAGGTTTGGGCAGCAGTTTAAGAGGCTTAATACTTGCTGGGCCTTCTGTAGAGGATTCAGGCAGCAGCTTAAGAGGCCCAATACTTGCTGCGCCTTTTGTGGAGGGTTCGGGCAGCAGTTCAAGAGGCCTAATACTTGCTGGGCCTTCTGTGGAGGGTTTAGGCAAACTCATGATGCGAGCATCGTGTTTGCAAATGGGGGGGGGCTGCGCGCTCTCAACCCCCCCGCTTGTCTAAGCCGGGCAAGCTCGCGTGGAAGCATATGAATCATGTCCAAAACAAAACAAAACATGGGGTTCTCGGCTTAGCCCCGCGCCACGTCACTGCTATGCAAATGGGGGGGGGCTGCGCCCCCCCCAACCCCCCCGCTTTTTTTCTGCCGGGCAAGCTTGCGTGGAAGCATATGAATCATCTCTGAAACAAAACATGGGGTTCTCGGCTTAGCCCCGCGCCACGTCACTGCTATGAACTCTCTGCTCCTTGAAACTCGAGTAATGAACACAAAAAACAAAAGAAGAAGCGAGCGGGGTGGAATTGCCCTTAAGCTCCCCTTTAAAAAGAGTCTCACTTCTCTGGTTTCGAAGAATGAAACCCAAAAAACAAAACAAGATTCGAGGGGGGTGGAATTTAGAATACATTCCCTTCTTTCTCTTCGTAAAGGGAAATGTATGTTTAGATCTCACTTGAAATCAAAAAACAAGGACAAAAATATAACAAGGTTTGAGGGGGGTGGAATTTAAAACAAATTCCCTTCTCTCTCTGCTTGAAGGGAAGTTAATGTTTCGAACAATGAAATCCAAAAAACAAAACAAGATTCGAGGGGGGTGGAATTTACATTTTCAGAGGAAAAAACGAGCTTCCTCTTCAAAGCTATTGTGCTGTTGTTGTTGTTGTTGTTGTTGTTGTTGATGATTTTTCTGGCTTTCAAACATAAACAACATAGATTGTTTAACTTCTGGATAACATGTTAGTTAAATTACCTAACTCGTTAACTAACTACGTTAACTCTCTTAACATGTGACACCCAGAGCGGCTAAGTAGCACTCTTGGAGCCACATGGTCAAGCCGAAGCTGTGCAGTCGGGAGACTTTGGCCTAGAGCCGAAGGCTGGTGGTGAACCCCTTCTGAACTTGTTTTTGAAGTTCAGGCATGCTATAGCTGAGCCCTTCGGACGTCAGCTTGCCCAGAACGTCCCGAGCATCCGCCCTGTAGATCTCACTTGCATGGTACGGCGGATTCTCACCTGGCTCACGAAGGTTCTCCTGGTCGTCAAAGAACTCACCACCCATTGCGACCAATACGTCCACGTCAGATCGTGGGTGCGCTTTTCAAGGATACCAGCCCTCCAGTTGGACTCCAGGGCGTACACTGTTTCGGCGCAAACCCACAGGATGTCGTGGGGCTTGGAGTAGGCGGCGCAGTAGCGGGTAATCGTATCGCGAGGCATTCTCACGCAACCGGGCGACGTGACACACGCTGGTCGCAAGGAACGCCCGCTGCACACTCAAAGAAAGCCAAAGCAGCAAGAAACGCGACGGGGACTGTCCGGGCACAAGGTTGCTCCTGCAACCATCCGGTCCGATGAAGGCCAAGGTACCTGAAAAGAAGCTTGGAGCCAGGCAGCATAACGTTGCACATCTGGATGTGCTTCTTAAGAGCACGGCTCCGTGCGTTCCCTTCCAATTTCAAGACCCAGCGGTGAACCAGGCCTGAAGGAACGTCCCGAAGAGCAGGAACTGAAGTGGCCGATAGAATCACTGCAAACTTCTCGCGCCAGCGCGAGACCGCCGCAAGCTCTTCCTCTGCCCGACTACACGCAGGGCCCTTAGGTGCATTGCCACGAGACCGCAACTTGGCCCCGGACTCCAGTGAATGCACAGGAGCCACGGCGAGCGAAGAGGTGCGAGAATGCTTGACGACAGATAACCTGGAGCGCAGGATGGACTGCAGCACGTCGCTTTCGGCAAAGCATTGCCGAAGGCTGCACCTGCAATAACAACGCATGGACAACGGACAATCCGCTCGAGCTCTGCAGTATCGGAAGCGTATAGGTTGCAAGAAAATCACGCCAGTCCGCCGCATGCACACAGAGATTGCAACAAGTCTCCGCGTCGGGCATAGTTTGGCCGAAATCTCGCCGCATTGCTTCAGGGAGCTGCTGCCATTTGCCATCAGCTGTAACTGCCAGGACAGCACCATCGTCATCAGATGAATGCACTGTCGTTGACATCGCCACAAACACAAACAGAAGAGCGCAGCAAAACTTGCAGGGCCAGCTCAGGATGCCCAGATGCATGGACAAACAATCCTATGCCAGGACATGCAAACTTGAGCCCACATGACTGGAACCCCACCAGATGGCGCCGATATTTTCATGTGTTTTTTTCCTTCAAAGTGAGTAAAGACAAAGTAGAGACTCACGAGAGCGATGCACCGAAGCTTATGCAGTCTGACCTCCTTGCGAAGCACACTTCAAGCCAGATCACCACAAAAAAAGCTTGCTGTTCTCACCCCTTTTTTCGGGGTCTCCATCACAGTGACAGTTACAGTTTTGGGGGAACCGAAACAGGGCCTATAATCTCGGACAACCTGCCAGGAGGTCCTCCCGCTGTCGCCCGAGAAAGATTCCCCACTCGTCCAACGCCTTTGGCTTGCAGTCCGTCACTGGGTTTCTTCTGATCTCTGAGCAAGCCCGAACCGCACCCACTCGTCTGTGCAGCCCTGGCAAGGGTTTTGGAAACTAGGGGCGTTGCCAAGCCCATCTCATCCTCGTTCAGCTCAGTGATCTGAGGCAAAGGAACTCGGAAGGCAGTCAGAAAATGCTGCAAACCTGTGGTTCCCGCAAGGACGACAGGACAACGAGCCAAGAGCACTTCTAAGGCGCGCCTGGTGGGACTTCAGAACTGCGGGCATGTCCAGCTCGATAGGGTTCAGAATCTCAGCATGTGAGAATTGTCTTTGTTTGTTCCCCCGTTTGTGTGTGTGTGTGTGTGCGTGTGTGTGTGTGTGTGTGTGCATATGGGGCCGTTTCTCTGCCGTGGTCCAAAGTGCTTGACATGTTGTGCGGGGCCACCTTTCTCTCTGGGCCCTTCCGCATCTTCATCACTTCCAGGCACCATGAAGCACGAGTCGTCGAGGCCCTCGCCGACAGCAAGTATGCCCGGTCGCTGCGCGGCTCCACAAGATAGAACCTACGTCCAGGCCCGGAGCAAGAAGCAAAGCAAGCTTTCAGAGTGTGTAGAGGGTGCTAAGCGTGTTCTCGGACTGGCAATATTCTTGGGCTGGAGAGGATGATACAAGCTCCCCTGCTGTCAGCATGCAATGGATGGAGCACTTATATCCTTACTCAACAGTCGTGGTGAAACATACTTTTGGGCGATTCCTTATGCCATGCGTGGTGCACTCTTGTGAGTTGCTCTTAAATACCTCAGCCCATGTCCATGCCTGCTTCAGGCTTTAAGCGAATGGCTTCGCGGTTTAAGTTTAGGGTTGCGGACTGGGTGGCCCTGATTGATGCCACACATTTTGGGGTCCGTGGGTGGCACCATGAACAAATGTGGACTGTGTACCTGACGTGGGCAACGGATGTTGCAGGACCTCACGTTGAATGCGTTGTCGTGCAAAAGAAAGAACTAACTGTAGCACTGGCACGAAGGCCCATATTATATGCCCATAATTTATCTGAATCCACCCCCCCCCCCCGTAGAGAGGAATTTTGAAGCGAACCCAAGTCTTCCTACTTGTGCCATGCGGTTCCAAGCTTTTCTGGGAGAATCCAGGCGCCCGTCACATCCATTGCGACCAGAGTCTTAATCTCAAGCCTCAAAGGGCCGCTAAGGGTCTTGGGTTTCTGTAGCCGGTTCTACATGGTCCCTAAACCCTGAACCCTAAACCCTAAACCCTAAACCCTGAACCCTAAAAACCTCAAACCTACCACACCCTCCGGCCCGAGCGAAACTGGGACGCCCGCGTCTGCTGCAGGGCGAAGAAGCGGTCTCCGCCCCTCTTCTCAAGGAGAAGAAGGAAGACCTTCTTCTCATGGTCTATGACTGGTCTATGACTTGCCTGTGCTTAACAAGAATAAGGGTTTTAGGGTTGGGTTCAGGGTTTAGGCCAAGTTTAGGCTTAAGGAAATTCCGCACCCTAGATAACCCTTTCAAGGGTAGTTATGTATACATACAGACATATACATACATATGTCTGTAGGAGGTATAAGGGAATTCCCAAATCAGAACAGTAAGATTAAAGTAGGGATTGGGCTTTAGGGGTCATCCAGGTCGACCTGTTTTGTGGGTAGTTTTGAAAAAACATGGGCTTTGTCATCCTGCATGCACATTGGGGGTTTCGGCTACACGCGCTCACGCTGATAACCTTCACTTTCATGCCTCAAGGACGCGACGTGTCAGTTTGCCAGAGACCTACACTCACCAACCTTATAGAACCTGATAGACGAATAATGGAGCAACCAGCTTGCAGAAGAAAGTCTGTCACATGTGCTCGCCTCCCCCCAGCCGTCCCAGCCCAGGTCACCAACCCCAACTCCGCTCCGCATCACTTGCCTGTTTTTATTTCAGCTCATCTTGTGCTGCCACAATCGAAACGAGCGCCCTTCACTGAGTAGCCACCTGGCGCACCGTGCAAGTTGGCAGGGTGGCAGCTAAGGCTAAGGCAGGGCAAACTACACCATGGCGCTGGCTTCTTGCAAAGCATTCTGATGGTCTTTATAGTGATGTTAGCTAACAAGCTATGGCCGATATGGTCGCATTTGCGATGCTTACACGGCTCTACCTCCAGGCCCAGCCTTTGAATCGCCAGTTCTGTTTGGATGTGAAGCTTCAGTCGCACTCTCTGCTTTTGAAGGCAGCTGAGGCACAAAGAAACTTCTCGAAGATGCCTTTCTTCTTCTTGGTGCTGTGCGCAAAGTGCGCCAACGACACCGTCCCTTGCAGACAGCATTCTTGAATGATATCTGAAATACTGCTGCACAAGGCAGGTGAGCGTATTTCAGGCCATGTCTCTGCCCGGTCCGCTGCGCACAGCGTGCCACCAGTAAAGCCTCGGCACTCGGTTGTCACCCAACTCTGTCGGCAAAACCTAAACTTTAGGCCCGAAGCCGATTTGCAGTGCCACAGGTACTATCGCAATATGTGCACGCCTTTGCTTTGCAAGCCCCCGACACATCCAGCACATGTTGACACGAAGGTGATCAGTTCCCTGCACCTGGAGGCCCAAACCTCCTTGAACCTTTACACCCAAAGCAGATGTCCAGAAACTCTAGCGCCCTAATTCCCGAATACCTCTGAACTTCAACTCAAGGGGCGGTACGTAGAGCCACTGCCCTGTGCGGACTCGGCAACGCCGCGGCACGGCGAAGCGAAAGTAGGGATAGTCCTAGCCAAGCTGGGGTGGGGTTTCGATCGGTTTGTTTCTGGTCTAGGCGGGAGTTACAAAGAGGAAAGATGCTAGGCTTGAGATGGCTAGAGGAAGAATCCAGCTGCTTTGGCAAGCAGGTTCCAGGATCCGCGACACCAAGAGACTCATAGGCTGAGGCTGAGGATCCACAAGAGGCCTGGGAAGACGAGTCAGTACCAGAGCATGCCACAGTTCCATTTACGAGGACACAGAAAGAGTGCAGTAACACAAGCAGCAAGCAGACTGTTGCTTGGTGGCTCCTCGTAGACGCTGGGAGACCTGTGAATGAGGGCCATGGAGGATTAGTACGAGGGGGGAGGGGTGGGGGTGTTTAGGGTTTGAGGGCGTGTTTGCTGCCAAGAATCTCCACGTTAATGGGAGACGCATTCCCGTGCTCGCTGTTACTGCCATACAGCCTCGCGGAGACATGCTGATTCACATACTCATTGTATCTCAAAATTGAATCGTCATGTTCTGCAGACGAAGCACAACTGAGCAGCTTGGAAGGGATCATAGAGCCAAAAGTCCTTTGTCCCATCCAGCACCTTGCAGACCAAGCGCGAGAAGAGCAGTAAAGCCTCACGTTCAGCCCCCTTTGTTCTGCACGTGCCTGAACCAAATTGTCGGCAGCATCATAGTGCAGGTAGAGTGAGGGACCTTCCAAGCTCATGCTGCAAACAGCGCAGTTGAGCCGTGATCTTCTTCAGCGAACGGCGGCTGTAGAATATGGCTTCAGAGTCGCTGCGCTAGTGCCAGCTCGATTTCTGTGAAGCACTGTGGTCACTACCATCACACAGCTTCTGACCAGCAATGCTGCGTCGGACAGCCCTGAACCCTGTGTGAAGAATCCCAGAGCGCGCAGCCTGGCTCCCCGCCACCACCATGGTAGTAGAGGTACGGGGATGCTGAAAGCGCACCCCTGGTGCCATTCCTTATGGTTTGCGGGCTTAGTAGGGCTGCTTCCAAGGCTGCACTTTAGACTGGTGTGTCTTGAAGCAAGTTCTCCAGCTCGCACAGATCTGCTGGCATCTGATTGTCACATCTTTGGTGTGTCACCCGGATAACAATTCATAACACATTCGAAAGCAAATTGAGGGAAGCACATGGAGCCGATGGGCTGCTCAAATTGAGAAAATGACGGGCGTCTGCCAAGCTTCTGCCAGTTCACCCTTGGCGCAAGAGGTGGGAAGGACTTTCTCTGAGGTTAACTGGGCTTGTGAGCAAGGCTTGTCTGCTTTTGCAGTCCTCAAAACACCTCACCTTGGTAGAGCTGATTCTAAACATCTTGTAAAACAACACTTCCTCCGGAAAAAATGAAGAGAGAAAACAAGGGCGCCACTCCTACTGCCTTAGATTCTGGGTGTGGCGCCGAGAGCAACGAGGATGCTTCCAGCTCGGGCAGGGAATTTGGGATGCTCACCTGCGTACAAGTCAGAGCTGGACACCCCGACACCCTAAGCCCCAAGGCCCATAAACATCCATAAGCCCTATAGACTGTAGACCCTAATTTAAACCCTCGCCTTTTTTGGTGCCTCGCCTTGCGTTCCCAGAAATGGAACGTGGATTGCAGAAGTGCGATTTTCTTGGACCTCAAGGCTTTTGGGGAAGCCCGTCTTGATGTCTAAGCTGCACCCCCGCCTGTGCGGCATAGAAGCGCCCTGCCAAGGGGCCGCCTGCCAGGGCATCTGCCAGTGATGCATTGTGCTTGGCAGCCTTCTTGGCAACCTGGCCGCCTGACCGGGTTTGCAGTCCGAAGAGAGATTGAGGTAGCTGGTAAATGGCCAGCTCCCTCAAGGCTACACTTGAACGACTTTCGCAAGCCGCTGCCATGCGCGGCTTCGATCAACCGCCAGACAGAAGGTCCATACTTGTCATAGTACTCTCACTGCTCGCCCGCCTTGCGCCATCTGCCTGTCAAGCGGGCGAAACATGCTGCATATCTTAAGGCTCAGCGGCTCAGTTTACTAAAGCAACACAGTAACATAATGCAAGACACAGGCGCGTGCAGAATAATCCTACCTTTGAGGGTCCAATCCTGCAGGCTTGCAGCTACAGGATGCATGGGTACTTGCGGGAAAAAGGTATGCCCAAGAACGTAGTCGCAGCGTGAAATCAGGATACATCCTATCTACTGACTCGGAGAGGCCATTCTTTCATACACCTACCTTTGTTAGAAATTGTCGGGCATATGGCTTTCATGCACTTCGAAACTCACCCATGGCGCCTGAGCTCCACTGTTCGGTGGCCCAGCGCTCTCAGCCGCGCATCACTCAGCCTGATTGACATCATTGAACTGGCAAGGAGAGTTCAACACCTTCGCTTGGAAATCCTTCCCGCGTGAGGTCTGACATAAGAAGCTCGGGAGCAAGCTACCCAATTTTGGCTGAATCGCCGTAGCCGCGCGTCAAGCTCCCTTCTTTCAGAGTACATGCAGGTCCTGGTGTAGGCACTATAGGAGATTATGAACTTTAGGCACACCAAACTCTGGATCGGGGCTGCCAGTCTCTGTCAGGATCCCCGTTTTTGTGGGGGGGTCGCGGGCTGCCCCCCAGCCCCGTCCACCTTCAGAACTTCCGAGCGCACGCACACTGCGGTCGATCGGTCCGAAAAGTTTCGTAGGTGGACGGCTCAGTGCGCTTTGTCGACAGCAAGAAACGCGGCAGACACTTGGGGTGCAGCCGTTGGGGAGGTGCGCACCTTGTTTTAAACAAAAGGAGGCCCATCATCATCTGGATATCATATCCATACCCATATATCAACCCTAAACCGCAGTCCAAGCAACTCGGGCTCAGCTCTTTTTGGGACACCCGTGAGGCGCAAGGGCACGTTGCGCCAGAGGTGCTCCGCGAGGGCGGAGGCTGCGGTCTCGGCTCGAAGGGTTTGGGCCCCTGCCGGGCTTCTTTTGGGGACTTGTGGGTATGAAGGGTTGGGGCTTCCAGACGGGCTTTTGGGAGTTTAGTGGGCTTACTGGGGGGATTATGTCGGGTTCAGGGCTCTAGAGTTTGAGGGTGGGAAACCCTGCGCCCCAAACTCCTACCGAAGCGGAGAAGCTGTTCCTGGGAAGGGCTGTGCCTAAGCCCTAGGGTCGGGTTAGAAGATGGTTTCGTCCTCCATGCCAATTGCCCAGCAAAAGTTTGAGCTCGCACATGCCCTGAAAGCAAGCACCTGGAACAAAGCAGTCCCCATTTAAAAACAATTGCAGAGGCATCCTCCCCTTGATGCGTCCGGGTCACCGGCGAGTCATACCTTCAAGTTCAGGACTTGGGATTGGGTTGTATGGCTTCATCTGTGGCAAGGTGGGGACTTGCGCTGTTTAGGGGCAGAGGCTTTCTAGCTGGTACGAAGGAGACTTGCCATTACAACAGCGCCGACCCCGAACCGCGACAGACCATCGACGACAGTTTCGCTTTTGGCGACCCTGACGTGCAAAAGCGAAACTTCGCCATCCCTTTAGCGCCATGGCTACTATCTGCGCCACTCAGTGAAAGTATGAGAGGCGATGAAACTCTCTGCTGCAGCTTTGGACCTGGGAGATACCTGCTCACTTGTGCTTAATTTAGCATGGCTTTGGGCTCCTCGATGCTTCGCTTTGGGCCCCTCATGTGCCCACCGGGCTGCTGCAGGGTGCGCACGTCGCACTCATCCTCGGGAGCGGGCTCACGCCTGCGTGGAAGCACGTGGCTCTGTGAGCTTCAGCTACTTGATGCGGACCCATGGCCTCCACACAGAACCCTACAGTCCGTGCGTGAAAGGCTCCACTCAAACCCAGAATTCGCCACCTGAGTTTGCTTCACCTTGCATCATGTTTACCCTGAACACCGAAAGGCCGAAAGGCTCCGGCCCCTGCAAGAGGAGCGTAGCGCCGGCAGCTGCCGCAGCTGCAAAGGCTGCCGCAAGGTATCCGCGGTGCATAGCGCAGGCTTGAACATGTACTGTTGGCTTACGTGGATGTGGGAGACAGATAAGTACAGACACACAGAGAAAGACAGGCATCTGAATACTGGAAATGGCTTGAAGGGCACTATGGGCTCTGACTTAAGAGCCACGGGGGATTACGTGACTTCTTTGGGTGCCTGGCCACTTCAGGCCATGGTCTTCCAGCAAGAGCTGAGTTCAAGGGGTGTGAAATCACGTTCGTTGCGTGGTTTAGTGGGCTCGGCTTCATTAGGTACAAGCGTTTGTGCGTGGGAAGCTTTCGAAGTGCTTTCGGCGGCGGTGACAAAGCGCTGGCGGACCTAGCACGCAGCAAAATAGTAATAGCTGATACCTTAGGAGACTCTCTTGGCAGCAACCACGAAGAATGTGCAACTAACCAGTAAAGCCTCGTGAGCAGCATGTAGCTGCGCCTATTCATGGCATTAGGGTCGCAGCTACAAAGCCCTTGCCAACTGTCCCATGACCGGTGCTCTTGTTGATCATCACCAAACTATACCTGTCTGCGTCCTGTGGCATGAAGGGAAATCTAAATCTGCATGCGCGTTGGGATCCTGGCCATGATGTCGCCATGCGACCTGCTGACAGCGCAATTTCGAAAAAAACACATATGTATACATCTGCCCACACGCATACAGATCCTCATACCGATACACATATAAACACACACACACACACACACACGCGCACGTAAAACAAAGAAAGGATATCTAGACTTTGATAGACAATGCCTACGCATATGCACGTGGATGTACATACCCTCAACTGTTAAGGTGCTTGTTTCGGAAAGAAAAAGGGCGCTTCGTCATTAAGAAACCGAGGGAACCCTGATCGAAAAATGAGGCGTTTCTTCTCCAGCGCTGTCACTGTACTCCCTGACAAGAATACGACACATCCCAGCCCAGGCCTGACCCTTACAGGCTACGGGGCTTTCTGCGTTAAAGTTACCGCCTTGGCGGGCAGCGAAGCCAACAAAACCCCGGATCGCTCCCGCGAAGCCTCTTCTGAGAGCTGAACTCCTCCATGCGCTGGGGCCTGAAGCTTTGAGGCAGATCATCAGTTGCAGCATCAAGGGTACGAAGTGCCCAAGTGCCCAGCCCCCTTCCTCCTAGGGACTGCAAGCCCTCAACATGGGGGTTTAGGGTTGAGGGTCTCGAGTTTAGTGTTTCGGGTCAGGGGCTTGGGATTTCATGAAGAATTCTCGGGAGTTGGACTGGCCGAGCTTCTCAGGGCCGAGAGAAGTTCCCCCCTCCAGCCCACCCCCCCCGTCCCCTTCCCAACCCCAAGACAAAATTAAGGGGCCAACTCCTCGTTGTTGATGGCCTGGTCGATGCGCTGCTTCTTGGGCCTCAGGTGCTCCATCTCTCCAAGGCTGTTGGATGTTCCCAAGATTCTCAGCAGGGTCTTCAGAGGTGACTGAGAGGGTTAAAGGCTAAGTTGGGGCTTAGAAAGACACTCCATGCTCTCAGGCTTAAAGACTCTTAAAGACTCGAAGACTCTAGGGCGAGGAGTCTCCGGTCTCAGAACTCGTCGTGTTTGGATTTAGGGTTCAGGGTTCAGGGCTTTCGGGGTGAGAGCTGCTGTAGGGGACGCTGCGGGTTCTCAGTTTCAGGTGGGAGCTCCGCTTTGGTTGGGGAGGTTCGGGTACCAAATTGTTTATGGGCTGTTGTTTCTAGGGTACTGCGAAAGGGACCCTATCGTTTAGATAAACCTCCTACCTAAGGTCACGCCTGAAGCACTCGAGAACCCCTACTCTCGCACCTGGTATGACTGTCGGGTAACTTATAGGAACCCTCAATGGATCGTCTGTCTTGATCCTCCAAAGAGTCTGGGTAGCCTCGAAAAAATTTGCTGCGCCTTCGAGGTCAGATCTTAGGCGGTGGCTGGAACAGCCGCACATTCCTGAGGTTTCCGGACTTGGGGCCTGGAAATCACATCGGCCCTCTTACAACCTCTGATGATCTGTGAACCAACACTTGCTTGGGTCAAAAGCCTGAAAGTCGTACGGCTCGTGATGCTCGCAAGCTTCTCAAGCAGGCCCTGGAGGGTCCGGAGACTTAGGTGTAACTTGTTGTCCAGGCCAAAGCAGATGTAAGTAACATTTTTTCCATTTGTGACAACTATTTCCAGTAATGAAATTACCACTACTACCTCAGCAGCATATTACTATGATTTCGATCATCACTACAAGTACCATTATTACTTTTGCTACGAGTATTACTATTACTACGATTATTGCCATTTTCTACTATTGTGCGATTGTTACTGATATTGCTACTCTTACTTGTCTTTCTATTATTGCTTTTGTTTCTGGTATTGCTAGTACGACTACTATTAACTACTCTAACACTATTGTTCCAGTTCTTACTACTATTACTATTAATACTATTGCGAGTATTTATTTCTACTGTTGTTTCGATTCCCACGGTCGCGATGATTACTATGATTACTCTCGTTGGTAGTATTTAAATTGTTGTGATTAATACACAAACTCCTTTTGCTACAGATGCTATCATCAATGTACTACCAGTACTTGCGATTAATACGTTTACGCATAGTACCATTGTTACTGTCATTTGCTATCATTACAGTTTTTTCGAATCTCACTAATTATTCTGGCTACTGCTAATTTTCCTTCATATTGCTAGTTTTTCTTTTACGATATTGCACATGCTAATCTTACTCCTAAGTGCTTGTAGCAGTCCATTGCTTGCTATGCTTGGCGTATTGTTTTCTGTTATCAGCACTCGACTTGAAGACTGAGAAAAGCAATCGGTCGGCCGCGAATCCGAGCCAAGGCGAAGTCGCTCGAGTAGCCTGTCAACTTCTGCAGTGACTGACCTCAGCGAAGCGTGCTCTGGCAGAGCCCTAAATACAGCCTTATAAATAACCCGCAGTCTACAGTGCATCAGCAAAAAGATCCGATGCCCTGGCTAGATCCAAACCTCCCAAACCCTGCACCCGGAAACGACCTAGGGCCAACACTAATGAACACCAGTGGGAGGCCCTCCATGGACGCGTCGGCCACCCAGCAAAGAATTCCATCCTCCTCTAAGCAGTTTGAGGGCTTAAGGCTTCAGATTTCGGAACTAGAGCTTTCCAACAACTCTGTGAGGAGGTTTGCACCGTCAGCAGCTCGGATTCAGCAACTTCGAGAGAGCTACGGCAGCACACAACTGCCAGGCTGCAAAATGAAAGAATTGCATTAAACAGCCTCTGAGTAAGTCCAAGCACTGAGCCCGAAATCCTAAACAACCATACTGGCACAAAGCCGGGGATGTACAGATCCTCATCGTCCTGTTTGTGGAAAGCACCCGAAAGTGGCCACCGAGCATCGACGGCATTGGCTGCTAGAAAGTAACCCGATCTTTCCTCGCCTCGTCATCAATGGTCTGAGTCTGCTCCGTGACATTCGCCCCAGTGGGCTCAGGGTTCAGCTTGAAGAGGGTCCTCGGCTCGGCATTGCACGGGAAGGAAGGGGGGGAAAACATCGCATCTTGGTGAGCCTTCGTGGGGCCTAAAAGCCGTGGGTCCTGAAAGCCGGAGCCTCCACTCTCTCTCTCTCTCTCTGTCTCTGTGTCTCTCTCTCTCTCTCTTTCTCTCTTTCTCTCTTTCTCTCTTTCTCTCTCTTCAAACTCTATCTCTGTCTTCCTCTACCGTTTACCCCAAGGTTCAGGGTGTAGGCTTGACGGTCAGGGTTGAGGGTTTGGGTTGTTGGGGTAGTAATCGGGTTTAGGGTTTAGTAACTAGGGTGTAGGGTCTAGAAGTTCCTAGGGTCCAAACCCACAACCCACAAACTCCGAGGTTCTTGGCCAAGCGCGGCCAGCTGCCCTGGAAGTCCCGGACGGCGGCGAGGCCGATGCGAGGAACGAAGTGCCACCCGATCATGCCTGTCAGTATTCTGGGACACCGTCCTAAGGGAGGACTGAGAGGTTCAAGAGTATCAGATTTGTAAGAGCATAACGGAGAGATCTGTCAGGAGGAGACCCTGTTCTAGAATCCAACTAGCAATTATCTGTTACAGGTGGTTTAGGGTTTCTGGAATTACGGTGCTAGGTTTTTCGCCCTGAACTTAGCCAAGGCAACCAGCTGAAGGGGCTTTTGGGCTCCAGCGACTATCGACTGTTGAGACCCCTCCCTGCTCCTCCGCGACCTGAGTTCGTGCTGCCTGCCGGTCTCTTTGATGTTTCGTGGCTTGTGGCTTGAAGCTTTGCAGGAAAGCCAGGAACCGAATCGCGAACCGCGAGCCGTTCCAGCCAGAAACCGCCGCGAACAGATACGCCCCGTGACCCCACCACCCCTGCACCTCTCGACCAGCCCTCCACACCTACCAACCGCCAGCTATCCACCCTTAGAGAGAGGGGGAGGGGGCTGGAGAGGAGTGGAGGGGAGGGGAGGGTAGGGGTGCGAACGGCGCGAACCACAAGAACTGAACCTGAATTCGTTTCAACAGGACCCACCGAAGCGAAACGAAACCAAAGAAACGAGCATTCCAAAAGCAGCGTTTTGCTGAATTCTTCAGGGGTTGCTACGGGTCGAGTATTGGGATGAAAAACCGGGACCCAAACTCTTCTGAAACACAAGACGAAGGTTTTCGCGACAACCTGGTGCTAACCCGCGCTTCCATGCAGAGCAAGTGGCAGCTCGGGACACCCCTGCCGCTCTCCCGAAGCCACGCCTTGAGCTGACCACTCAGCATGCTAATCGTTGTTTAGCTGGGGTTTGGCACAGTCCTGGGCACAAACACAAGCCTGGGAGTCACGCCTTGGTATGGACCACGGACGCATGGGGGCAAACTCTAAGCCAAAACGCCGAAACTCCCACTTTTCTCAGAACTGTGTTTGAAATCGGCCCTTTTCTCAGATAACCAACGACGAAGATGTTCTTCCATGCTTCCAAAACGGCCGAGTAAACCCCAAGCCTTGCGGGCCTCTTGGAACACTCGAGCTGCTCAACCCAACAACAACTTCGGCCATGACTCGGGTACCACGCTGTCCAGTATGGAAATCGCCTCACGCTCCTTCAGTGCCACGTTGTGGGACCTTGCAGATTCTCACGAAGGTGCCCACCCCTCATTGATCACTGCAGGTTCCTTTTGGGCTTTCAGGGCCGTTCCATCTCTGGGTGGCGAATAGATGCAGGCTGATCGGGTATATATGTATATATATATAGATATACTTGACAACGAATGCGTTTAGTTGCTCATTTATTGTTGCTTTCTCAGACCAGCCCTCAGGAAGAGCATGTACCACCCTAAGCCTTGTGAAGCCCTAAGCAGATGCCCTTGGGTTTGGAAACCACATCCGAAGCTTGAATAGAAGCCTTGATGCCAAAGCCACGCCCACAAAACTCCTCAAGCCCCTCCCTTCATTCCGGAAAGGGGGGGCCCCTTCCAGTTCTGCTTTACACATGGCAGCGGGGTCGGAAAGAGGGCAATTTCTGGGGCCCCTGGGCCTGAACTAAACGGATCTACAGAGATAATAGTATAGCAGGGTGTGGAGCTTATAGGTCTTACAACAGTTAATGGCTCTTGTAGGGTTCGGTGTTTCTTGCCGAGCTGCTTCTCCGTCAACAGCTCCCTCACCCGCTGGCCCAGTTCAAAATTCGTCTCCAAGGCGTCCATGGTCAGCAGATCCTCGTTTCCCCCCAGCCCTGAAAGTGATGCTGACCTTCCACGACTAACAACCCCACCGGTATCTAGGGATTGGGATTGCGTAATGCTAACTTTCTTACTGTTGCTGCGATTACCGCGTATCAGTATGGTTTGGCTTCCCCAACACTCTGAAGCCACCTCGAACTAGCCAAACCCTCCGAAACTCCTGAAACTCATCGTCGGCACATCTAGTTTTGGACCTAAGGCCACTGACATTACAGTTAGTGCTCCTCCAGGGCCGGCATCTGTGTGTACAGCGGAAGCACCACAACGAAGATGAAGTGCTTCACGCCAAAGTCCGCCGCCGGATCCAGGATGGAAGGGTCCTGGTCCGAGGCCCTGTGCTTACTGTAGCTTTCACTTTGGACTCTGTTTCCTCCGTGCGCTTGCTGAGTTATTGTGGACCTGAGGTATTCTGGGTTCGACAAGGGGTTCCTTAAAGCTTATGGTATGTGTTGTTGATTGCACTGGTGGCTCGAAGCAGGAACCAAGCTGGCCACCAAGAGATCTGCAAAGTGGACTTCAGCCCTCCTGGAGCCAGACGTGCCGCAGGTAGAAGCAGCTCCAAACAGGGCTCTTGCTCTTCGGTACGAAGAGCCGCAGCAGGCTGAGCATTCGACAGGGGACGTCGAGGTCTTTGGACCTTAAGTGGCCATGGGAGCTGAACACACCTCCTTCGCAAGAATCTGCAAAGGAGGCAACCCGAAAGCCCAGGATTTTTAGGATCGACGATCCCTCTGGTGAAGCCTCAAGCGCTGAATCAACTTCCAGCTACGGCACCTTGCATTGCAAACCCAGAGACATAAGCTTGAAGCATACAAACTAAAACCTGCGCCCCTTTCTTTGGAGGACATGTAACAGGATAGAATCAGGCCGGAACACCTCTGAGACCTCAAAGCCCCAAATCCAACATCCACCCCAGACACCCTACGAGTTCAAGGCCCGACCATGCCTCCCCTCATCCCCGCCTAAACCCGCCGAAACCCCCTTAACCCCCTGAACAACCCGCCTAAACCCGCCTAAACCCGGCCAAACCCCTCCCTCCCTGCAGCTTCGATGCGGGGGTGGTTGGCCCACCCGCTTCCGCTTGGGGCTGCCTCTGAGAGGTGCCCAAGATTGTTGGGTTTAGGGTTTGGGGTTCAGGTTTCGGGGTTTAAGGATTTGGGGTTTAGGGTTGTAGGTCTAGGGCTGGGAGTTCGGGTGTAGGGTTTGGGGCTTGGTGTTGAAAGTTTATCAGGTTTAAGGCTTAGGGTTCTGGATTTCGCAATGAAGTGCTCTTGGAGCCCATGTGATTTTATCAGGGAACCGAAACGGACATGTCGATCACCCTCTCATCTTCGGTCGAAGAAGGCACGTACGGTAGCTCTTTTCAAAACCCAGCGGCTGGATCGCTGCGACCGATCCAGGAAGTCGCTCGCTTTGAAGTCCTTTGTGGGGTCATTCCAATGGACAAAAAGCTGTAGAGTTCTTTGTAGGGTTTAGGGGTGCTCCCGCGGTGTAATTGTGCTGGGTGTAGAGATTTGGTGTTCAAGGATGAGGATGTCGGGTTAGGATGCTCATTCAGATCACCATATTGGTGTCATTCCTAGGCCTTCCTGGCATTTCCGAGCTCCATGCTTTGAAGGTTCCGACGCTCAGGTGGGCTCTCTGAATAGACTTTACGTAACAATAATTGTGGCAGGGGGTTCAGTGATGGAATAGAGTGCCAGCTGCGATAACTCCTTAGACCGCACACAATGTACGATAAGATCCCCAAACCCCAAGCCTACATTTCTGCAGGTGATATTTCTTACGGCCCCTTAAAACATTCACAGGCAGCCTACAGAACATGTAGGTTTGGGGTTTTCAAGGTAAACGGCAAATGTTCCATACTCTTTGCGAGCTCTGGGTCCCAGCAGACGCGCGTGGTCGAGATCGTGGGCCTGAGTTTCTTGGCATGCCGCAATTGCTTCGGGGTTTAGGCCCCAACTCCACCCAGGGGTTAGACTTTCAGGAGCAGTTGGCCGTGGTCCACTGAATTATAAGGACACGCTCCCTGCGTCACCCGTGTATGGGACTTTACCAGTAGCCAGTAGCCTTTAGGAGACGACAGTTCTGGTGAGACGGCAGTTCCGATGGGAGCAGTCATGCTGCATGCCCGCCCACGACACGCATGCATTCAGGTGGCGTGTTCGGCGCATCCTTGTTCTGGTTGCAGCAGAACTCGTCGATCCTCCCCAACTCCTGCCCAAGTATCCTACCAATATTAGAAACCCTAAACTCACTGTGCCCCACCGTGAGTCCCTGGGAAGAAGAACATTGTTAGGTTCCAACAATGCAACGTGCCGTTTCCCTAAACCCTGAAGCCCAAACTCAAGCCCTAAGGGTTACCAGGGATCCGGCTTTGGGAACGCCGGCCTGGCTGTTGAAGACACGGTTTTGCAGGGCGTCCGGCAGCAGCATGAAGCGGAAGTGCCGACCCAAGGCCCATGCGCGAAAGTAGCCCGTGAGGTCCTCCAAACCTGACGTCGGGCTGGCTAGTCCTTGAAGACAAACTAGATGTGGGGTGTTATCTGAACTGTGGTCCCTTTTGGTGTACCCTGTACATGAGGTTCCGGCTTGTTGTAGCAACCCCAAAAAGGATCGCGTACAGAAATGCCCACATTAAGGCTTGTGAGGTCTTGGGTTCAGGCTTGTGGCTAAAACTCAAGATCCGGGTTTCCGAGTGGCGTAGCTGCAGGTTTAGGGCTTCAGGGGATTTGAGGACGCTCGGCCTGACATGGCTAAGGGAGTCCCTCAGAGATGAAGACCCCACACTTGCAGGTGACTCCATTCCAGGGTGCTCGAAACTAGGGCACCTTTTGGGAGACCTACGTTCATGTGTATGGGCGCTGTAGATTTAGGGCTATCAATGTCAAGCAAGTTTTGGCATCCTGCCGTTAAAGAAATATCCGACAAAACGATTTTAAACCTATCTTCAGGAGTTGAATTCCTGAAAAGACCGAGGAATTCGTGTCCAAGATGTATGAGGGCCTCCGAGAAGAGGGGTTTCCTTTCTGGGTGTGTGCCTATGAGAAGGACTGAAACTACTCTTATGCTGTCAGCCGACATCCGTTGAGGCCCTTAAACCTTATAAACCTTGAGAGCCTCAAGCCCCTTGGCTTCCCAGTAACTTCGTTTAGGAATGCTTAGGGGGCAGGGCTTAGGGGTATCTTAAACGTTGTTAAATGCAAAAGGGTGTAGGGCTTAGGTTTTAGGGGCACTTTTCTGATCTGAGGTTGAAAACGGAACCGGAGGATGGATGAGGGCCCTTGAAGCTCCAAAAGTTCACAACCCTTGGGCCTTTTGACATGTACGCGATGGGGCAGTCGACCTCGTCCGGATCCAAGATCCTGGAAGCGGACTGGGAGACTTGAACCAAAGGCCAGCGCCCCCCCCCCCCCCCCCCCCCCCAGGAAAAAACATGCGGGCTCAGTTCAAACAAGCGATCTACCTAGCGACTGCAAGCCAGTCTTTCTTTTCGGAGTAGAGCAAAAAGCAAAAACACGTTCACGAACTCATGAGGAATAACTTAGTCAGGTGGGGTTCACGGCACAGGGCCTAGAGCTCCAGATGCATCGGTTGTCCTGCGATACACCCTACAAACCGAAACCGAGGAGCATGAACGGCACTTCGTAGAACTTCTCCTTTCGATGGTGCCGGTCGCCTTTGCTTCTAGGAGTTTCAGGGGCGAAGGCTTTGCAAGTCTGCTCTTTTTTTGGTGTGCGTGGTCTGTGCGGTCTTAAGGTTGAGATTGTGGGTTTCGGGGTTGGTTGAAGTTGTGGGACACGCAACATCTCAAATCTAACCCATGTGAGACCCTAAACCCTAAACCCTAAATCTCTCTGCATAAAGGAACCCCACTTCCACTGCGATACCAGCTCTTCACTCTCCTTCTCCAGAACCTGAACACATGGATCTGGATGTTTAGGGAGCGTAGGGTTTCAGGGCTGGCTTTAAAGGCCCTTTTCTGGGTTGACCGAATAAATGGTATAAATATTTATATATTTCGGAGCAAGAACCAGGAGAGTAGCGGCTCCTCTAGTCCTTAACTGCGATGGCTGAAAGGTTCTGGGGCTGAGGTTTTGTGATGTCCTTTTGTGGTGTGGACTGACACTTTGCCTGGAGGGCTTCCCAGACCTATTCCGGATTGTCCGCTCCCAACGACTGTCTGCCATGGACATATTCTGTGCCTTCGCCGTCGGCAGATGTAGTGGTACAAGAAACGGACAGTACATGTAGCTTGACCTGATAACCGACGCCTCCTCTCCGAACTTCAAGACCTCGTAGGGCAACCTGGATTGGCAAACATTGTGGGCGTACTTCCTCCACACCCTGTAGATCATAGATCATGTCATCTCTTGCACCTCTCTTGTCACCCGACACTCCTGCGCAGATTCTGGCAAAGTAGAGCCCTGCCAAGTTGCGACATGGCAGAACCGAAGCGGGGCACGAAATGGATACCTGCCACAGGTCTCCGGCCAAGAGCTTTTGTCTGCTAATATAAGAGTTCCAATAGTGGTCGGCTCCTGGCCAGGTACCTTATCGTAAGACTAACTACAAATCCAAAAAAGATAAATATTCCAAGAACTCCGAAACAGCGAGGTGCAAGCTTCAGCCCGTCGGCCTGAGAACACGTTGTCACCAAGGGCCCTGGCCAGATTCCTGCACATCGTCGGGTTTAGGGTTTAGGGGTTTGGGTTTCGGTTTTAGGGCAACGATGCTCCCAGTGTTGAGGATTGAGGGTGCATAATGTAGGGTTCCCCTGACAGTCTGGGCCGTCTCAGGGACCTCATACTTTCTTGTTTCTGGGAATTTGGGAAGTGCGGTACCCAATAACATGAATGCGGCTGTAGGCTCTTACCGTATTTCCCAAGTTGAACTCCATGCGAAGAACGAATTGGGTCTATAAGGGCCCCCGTGTGGCAGGGTTTGGAGGGCTTGGGCTGAGCTCGACACGCAAAACCAAGCCCGATTCAAGCGAGTCTGGCGGACATGGATCATAATCGTATCCTAGATGCAGTGCCGTGCTGCAATCACACACGAGTACGAAGAGACCTGCACGCTAGCAGATAACCAAGTACGTCACGACGCGCAAAGGACCGGCAATTCAGCCAATCGTAGATCCGATTGGCTAGGGCGGCAAACTCATTCGGTGGCAGGTCCCTAAACCCCCCAAAGCCACGAGCCCCAAAGCCTCTGAAGCCTCAAAAACCCACCCTAAACCCTAAACCCTAAACCCTTCCTTTGCCTGCAGCGCTTCTCGACGACCTCCAGCACCCTGGGGCGGCGCTTGACGTTTTCCGAGAACTCCAACAAGTCGAGGCTCACAGTGGAGCCCGCCAGCATCGGCTGCCTGGAATGAAGTGAATGTGTAAATGGGCATTTAATTTATGGGCTTGCGCCCAGTAGCGGTCAGGGATTAAAGTCTACAGCCGTAAGTTGACCGTCTTTAACGCAAAGCCTTCAATCAACAAAACCACATTCTCACGATATGCGAAGTTAAGCTGAAACATTGCACGTCTTGACCCATAAACTCTTGAGAAAAAAGTTCGGCTGCCCCCAAACCCCGAAATTGCAAGCCCAGAAACATTTGGACAGTTGCCCTGAGCGCCACACTCCCCAAACCCAACTCCTGAAACCCCCTCCCTAAACCTGCATCCGTACCCAATGAAAGCTTACGACCTGCGGCCAGGAAGCTCCTGAGCCCCCCAGAGGTCCGTCAAATCAGGCAGCTCGGAGCAGACGGAGTCTGTCACCCAAAATGAAAGGGTTTGGGTCAAGGTTCCTGGGGGTGTTTAGGGCTTAGGGGGGTTGTAGGGTCATGATGCGGAGCGTTCTTCTCGGGTCCTTTTCTGGGGCACTGGACTGGGGCACTGTGTGGCTTGTTTCCCGAAGCAGTGTACCAACACGATGGGGTTCCACGTCCAGAGTACAGGCCTTTCAGATTGTGCTTTTCGCCTTGGTCCCGTGAACCTTTTTATCACTTTTCTGGCCACCTTTTGGGAGGTCTCTTTAAGAGAGGGCTTGCAAGGGACTCTAGTGGCTGAGCTGCATCTATTGCAACTTGAGAGTCACGATTGAACATCTCCTAAGCCCTACTTCCGCCCGATCGCGGGCCCTGGCAAATAAAAGAGGCCTAAGCCTTCGCTGAACTGCCGTGTCCACGTTGGCCGGAGGAGCCTCAATCTTTGGGGCAGTTGCAGGGGCCTTTCGTGCGCGCTCTCAATTGTAGAGTTATTGTGGGTGGTGCTTTTCCTGCTATCAGTATTGCTCTATTTGAAGATCGGCATTTACACCCTTAGTTCGCAAGAGCCCGTACTTTAAAACTCTCTTGCAAAGATGAAGGGGCCTTATGCATGCGGCGAGTAGCCCCAGGGCTTAGAGCTAGCAAGGCCATTTCCCTCTTCAACCTAATCACACCTCTTCGACAAGACCCCGTACACACACGCACAGCTTTTTTGATATAAATACATATAAATATGAATATAAAGATAAATAAATCAATATATAAATATATATATATACATATACATATACATATACATATACATACATATACACACACACACATACGGCGTGGATGCAGCAGGCCACGGTTGCAGCTGGATAGCAGCTGTTACTCGACAGCACGAAAAACAACAGGGCTAACTCCAGAATGGAGAATCCGTTCAGCATTGGTCTGTGGGTTTGGGCTTGGTGTGTAATTGGGAAATGGGCCTTGCCAGCTCTTAAGGGAATTTGGGCTTCAAAGGTTTCAAGGCCCTGAAGCCCTCCCACCTTAAGAACCCCTCTGCTGCTGGGCAACTCCGACGCCAGGATTGGCATCGTCTCGGTGCCCAAAGGCCCTACGTCCGAAGCTCGCCTCCGAGGAAGTCTTGGGGGTTCTTTCACCAGAAATAAGGGGAGAGGGGGAGGGGGGGGAGGGGGGGAACCCTTCTTATTTTGATGACACCTCTCTTCCTCTTCCTTTCCAGAAGAAACCCCCAAGACAGGCACCGCTATTTTGGCAACCACCCCCCCCCCCCGCCCCTGCCTGATATTGGGAATCTGAGGGTTCCCTTTTTTGTGCAGGGGCTCCTTCATTTTATGACGGGGAGGGATTCGGTTATCAACCGTAGCTTGTGCAAGGGATCCCCTCCCCCCCCCCCCCCCCCAACCTAAACAAGGAGAAATATGCCCCCACATGTAGAATGCGACCTGAGCAGCACAAAGCTTAACCGTCTCTGCAGCTGAACCCAAGCAAGCTTGCAGCTCCGTGGGGTTCAGAAGGCCTACAGATGCTTGCTGCCCCCAAGCAGAAACGACCTCCGAGTCGGGCTCTTCGGTGACGCAGTGAGGTGCGCCAGGTCCATGGAGCCCTGGGCTGGCTTTTAACAATTGTGCAAGAAGAAAAGCACGCACGCGTAGGGATTTAGAAGTTCAGGGTTGGGAGGGGTTGGCATGGGTTGGCTGACTGCTGCTCTATAATCCTTGAAAATCCTTCCTGGACCCCCTGCCCGGGCCGTCCTCCACATTGACGGCATGCTGTGCCTCCTGCTGCTGCAGCTCAGACAGCTTGCTCCTGAGGAGTGCTGGAGGCCAGGCTGACGGCCGGGAGCCGAGAGGACTGCGACATACTGACTCGGACATAGAAGCCTGCAAAGAACACCAATCAACCCTTGCCCCGAATGCCTAGGCTTAGGGCTTAGGCAGGCGGAAGCCCGATGGTCCTCAAGCGGTGCATCAGCGGGTCCACGTAAGGGAGCAGCTCTTGGATGGGCCCTGGGATCGCCGAACTCGCCTCCAGGCTGACGGTTGTAGCACTTCTCTTTCTGGCTTGGGGCTTAGAAGTTGCAGGCCCGTGCTTTGCAGGATTATGCTATCAAAGTAGGGCTGGAAGCTCTGCATGGCCGAAGCCGAATCACTGGCCTCACGCGAGCCGAAGCACATGAAAGGCGGGGGAGTTCTGTTGAAAGCTAAGCACCTTAGCTCCTTTTCCCCCTCTATAAACCTCTATAAGCCCCCCTGTAAAACCCCCAGCTGCCTTGGCATCCTCCTGCCAGAGGATCCCCGGCACCGAAGCTGAGATGGGCATCAGCACATGGAGAACCAGGATCTCCTCGGGACCCACTCACCCAGAGCCCTGTCATGGTGGGTTCCCTTAACTACGCCAAACTCAGTCTGCTGGGATCCGGTAGTACTCCACTCCGTCTCATGCAAGCTACGGCTCCCGATGCTGGCAGGCCTGCTGACGACGGGGTGCAGGGGAAAAGGGGTGTCTGGGAGTGCGCGGCTAAGATGATTGAACGTCATCTGGGCCTGATGTTCTCAGGGCTGGGCTATGTGTTTGGGGCTGCCTGTGATTTACAAGAGATGCAAGCAAGCATCCCGGAAAACCTCTGCTTTGAAGGCGCTGACAAGGTTCCAGAAGGGCTTGCCTGCAAGTCAGCTGTGTCTCGAAAGATGTAGAATATTCATTTATGTACAGAGAGATGGAACCCGCATGTGGCAGAACAACTGAAGCGTTCACTTGCTCCCTTTGATCATCCTGAAGCAAGGGGAACCTGTAATCGTGCAACCCCTTCTCAAGCAAACTTAGAAACTTGTGCCCTTGCCCCACTGGCCTTGGCGCATTGGACTTAGCAGCAGAGACATTGTTACCGATTTCATCTCTTCCTCCTGGCTTCAGAGGCTTTCGGGCTTTGGTCATAGAGTTGGGAGGTTCTCGGTGGCTTCGGCAGCTGATGGGCATGCATTCATGGCTTGCTGGCACTTTTGCTTCCCGAAGCCCTTAAAGCCCGAAACCCCCAAATCCACCTCGACATCGTCAACCCCAACTGGAGGCCTCAAAGCTGCTACGACTCTGCATCCCCTCCATCCATGATCCACCGCCTCTTCCTCTGTGACTTCCACAGCAGAACTTGTGATTTTGTTTTCCTGGCAGGCTTCTGGCAGCGCATGGGTTGTTTGCTTGTCTGCTTGTTTGCACATCTACTTGCATAGGCTCATGCCTTTGCATCTATTTCTGAATTCATCGGATGAAATTCGCTTGCTCTGCTTGCCCGCAGTTAAGCAGCTTCATACCCAAGGCAGGAAATCTGTCGAACTCAAACTTGAAACGCCGCGTACCACAATTGACCCCAAAGTTCCAACGAGCACCAGGGTCACAAGGAACGTGAACCCTGGCGCACACGTGCGCACACCAAACCAACAACCATGCCAAAAACCCTAGAAATATCCCGATCGATCCTAAAACGCCCATAAACTCCACCAAATAAAGCCCTACGAAAGCCCTCTGAGCCCGCCGGAGTTCACTGACTTGCCTCGAGGCCATCGGCCACCACGGCCCGTCGTGAGGCTTTGAGGCGCGAGGCACCTCTTTGGGGCTTATAGGGCTTAGGGCTTGCAGGGTGCTAGGGCGTTATAGGGCTTAATTTTGCAGGGTTTAAGCAATTTGTTTCAGGGAGTTTGGGGAGTCCAGGGGTTCAAAGGCAGCTCAAGGAGTCTTAATAGTCATTCGGGGTTAGAGGGTCGAAGTGTGTAAAACGCGTTTGGTGGGCTCTCGCAGGCAGGGCTAAGGCCCCCAAACCACATGCTCCATCGTTTGGGAGGAGTCCCTATTTGTTGCCCAAGGAAGCAGCACTCGGCGTAGCTGCCTCGTTTTAGGTTGAAACTGTCGGGTTGGAAGGTTTCCCAAAACAGGCGTACCCCAAAGTAAGCCAACTAGAAAACAATCCCTGGACCCCCTAAGAAGGCACCGCTCATTTTCGGAACCCCCCCCCTCCCTTTTTCAGCCATAAGATTTTAAAGAACTCTTGGGTCTGCTTATCTCTAGACCCCCCAATCCCAAAAACCCTGGTCTAAGCGCGCCTGCGAAAGTTCGGGAGTGGAGCTGTTCCAACTTCGTCCACGCCTGGAAAAAAGCCACAGAGGGCCGGAGGGGGCCTGTTCAGGTTGAGAGACGTCGCATGAAGCCTGGGGGAAGCCTCAGAATCCTGGTCTCCAACGATTTGGGGGAAGCCCTAAGCCGCAGAGGGCCTCCAAGTTGATCCGTTTGTTCTGCGCCTGGGTTGCATCGGAAGCCGTGTGCCGAGGATCCGACGTCCAAAACCCTTCACTCCTGAATTCCTCGACATCCATCCCTCAGTCCTCAATCCTACTCCCGAAAAAACCCACACACACCCTAAACCCTGAACCCCAACGGCCTCAACCCTGTAACCCCTACATTGCTCTAAACCCGTTACACTGCACCCTCGAATCGAGGAGCCATGGGCAGCAGCCCATGTAGGGGCGCCCGCTTAAGGTCGGCCCCAAGCAGATCCTAGCAGCTCACCGATCGGAGGGCTTAGGGTTGCAATCAGCCTTCACGCTTTAGGGCTTGCAGGGTGAATGGCTCAGGGTTTTGGGGATATACAACTTGCGAGGGAACGGGGGAGCAGTAAGAGGCTTGTCAGGCCAACGCCAACTTCTGAGGGGAGGGGGACTCTTGGTGGGGAAGAACTTGCGTGCGGATGCCACGGATCTCCTCCAACGGGCTGCCACTGAGATCCTTGGGTTGCAGGCTGCTCGTTCAGAAGCCCGCCATTGTCATCGAGGGTCTAGGGTTCAGGGCTTAGGGAGGCGACAAGCCCTTAACAAAAACCCTTTGAAGCCCTGAAACCCCCCAACATTTTACCTGCCCCCCTATAAACCCTGCCAGTCCCAGGTTCCATGAAACTTTGGGATGCCCCAGCGATGCCACCCAAGGAGAAGGCCACGCACGGGAGCCCAGGAAAGGGCTCGTCCTGTCCCCGAGCCCACATGCTGAAGGGTTTGGCTAAGGGTCCATAAGGGTCTATAAGGATATCCCCGAACTCAAAAACTAAGGCCCTAAACCTAAACTGCAGAGGGATTGGGCAGCGGGTGTCGGGACTTGGGGTTGAAAGTTTAGGCATTAGGGGCTTTAAGGGCACACACCCTGAACTCTAAACCCAAAACCTGACATGTAAACCATTTTTGATTCTTAGAGGGATGACGTAGACATCAGACGGGTTCGAAAGCAGACTCACGTATGGAACTGCGAAACAACAAAGCGCATGCTCGTTGCCCAGCCTCGATTTTTGCCCAGTGTGCATGATCAGCTCTCTTTGTTTGAGGGGGGTTCCATTTTTTCACGGGCACCGGACTAGATTCCTGAGGAACCCAGCAAGGAAATCTAATCTAACTCGATGGTCGCTCGGATTCGGGAATGCCTTCCGAAACCAACACCGTTATGTTTGTGGTTACCTGAGGTTTCCTCAGTTTACAGGGGATGTTCGGGCTACTTAGCTTATCCAGCGTCGCAGGGTAACTCCTAGAAACTCAGAAGGGCTCCCTTTTTTGCTGAAACGGCTTCTAAGGGAACCTAACACTTTCAAATGGAATCCTAACACTTTAACACAAAACGGGAATAAGGGACCCTCGGTCCTAGTTAAGGTAGCACCAAGTGTCCCGCTCCTCTTTGATTGGCACATTCCTCAACGTCGCCTCCTGAAAAAGGCTCGGACTTATGGGCTTCGGGGGTTTAGGGTTTTGGGTTTATCCAGCACCCGTTCTGCTTCGGTTCGCATTCGAGGAAACGTACGGGCGCATGAAATTGGAAGAGCAGCGCCTGCAAAATCAGTGTTGTTCAGGGGAATCGTCTATAATCTTATGATCACAGCCTTTCACCCAGCTCATTGGGTTCTATCCTACTTCTGTTGATAGCAGCATGTGGTCAACACCAACATGCCGTTCAACCTACCTTCACATCGTTATCTTCTTCCTGTTTGCCGCTCCTTCTATCCTTCCATGATTTTCATGCGTCTCTTTGGCTGTCAGCGCTGGTAGTCTGAAAGGTCCAGAACCACCTGCAAGTCCCCGAATTTCAAGCAAGAATCATGCGAGGGATGAGTAGGATGCGTAGCTTCAAGTCCTTTCAATGCAACCTTCAGGGATTGCCCTAACCTAGGGCTTATAGGGAAGCTTAGAGCCCTTTGTGGCCCCGCGCCAGCATCCGCTGGCCATCAGGGCGCGCCCCACAGATCTGCTTCAGTGGTCCGGCGACGGCAGCTGCGATCTCCTGCCACGCAAAGGCCTCGCAGGAGCAACGCTGAAGCTGAACTTTTTTATCTTAACATGCCGTACTTTGGTCGGTGCAACCCATCAATGAGTTTATCCCTTTAACAGGGGGAACCCTTCATCTTGAACTGTCCAGGCTTGTGCTTCCAACGAGATATGTAGGGATATGCAAGCGGTAATTCCTGGTTCATGACATGGTTTCAGGTTGGGGGGGGGGCTTGTAAGAGGGTCGATTCTCTGAAATCTCTGAAACCCCAAACCTCCTGAACCCCAAGTTGGGCCGCGCCTCGAACCCCAAGTTGGGCCCCATTAAACCCTCTGAACAAATCCCAAATAGACTCCTCTCAAGTTTGAGAAGGGAACATGCAACATACCCCAAGGGTCCCCTGAAGTCCTACAGAGACTCAACCCACTCCCGGCCACTCCCGGCCACTCCCTTCGATGTGTTGGAAGCCTTCCGCTGCTGCCCCCGAGAAGCATCAACCTAAGGGCGTTGCGTGAGTCTGTGGGGCATCTTCTCCGAAAGGTGTCGGGTTGACAGGCTTGTTGAGGGTTTGTGGGGTTTAGGCTTAGGGTTTTATAGGCGGGTATTGGCTTTAGAGTGGAGCTCTCTTGTTGTTCGGGGGGGAGGGGGGGGGGGCTCCCTTATTTTGCTGGCGTCAGCAGCTTCAGGGTTGACTTGAGGCAACTGAGGGCCTTGTGTTGAGGGTTGCGGGCTTAGGGCCGTGGGGGCGAGGGCCGAGGGTTTCGGACCTTCGGGTTCGAACATGCTTTTTCTCAGCTTCGGGAAAGGGGCAGGATTATCGGCTCGGCTTCAGGTTGTACAGCTGTTATGATGGGATTCAGGGTTCGTGGTAGACCCCACCTGAAGAACCCACCTTGTTTTGAGCAGGCAATAAGCGTTGATGCACTTAAGGTAGCCCCTCCCCCAAAAGTAGGTCAGTCCCGAGTTGCAGACCCAGGACCTTTTTTGCGCCAAGGAGTATGGATACCCTCAGGCCTTAGGCTTGGGGATCCCATGATTATAGGGCTTGGGGTGCTCAGCGCAAACTCATCACAGCAGCATTCGGCAAGAGGGGGAGCTCGGTCTTCGTCAGCGCTGGCATGCCTGCTGGTGTGGGGCTTGGCACCTTCCCTACGAATTGGAACAGGGAAGCTGCCACGAGAGCCTTGACCTTGGAACTGCATCCTAAAGCAGTCTTTACACTGGAAGGTGTGCTACTGGCAAAACTAAAAAACCTATATCCTAAACCCTCTGCCTTTTTGTTTTGCTTTTTAGATACTATTGTTTTTGTAAAATTAATGTTTAGTGTTTTGCTATTTTATTTATTGACTCTCTTTTGGGGGGGGGGGGGGGAGTCCTATAATCAGGAATATCGTACTTTTGTTTTGGGTGGGTGACTACACCATCTTAAACCAGGAAGTCCGCAGAACATTGTCCTTGTAGACTGACGCAGTGGTGCCTTCACACACTAGGGCCTAGGCTATACTCCCCTTAGAACCTTGAAAAAAAGAGCTGGCTTTTAGTATCCTAAAATAGAAAGTAATTCCCAAGGGGGATATAGTAGGGCCAAAGGTTAGGGCCCCTTCAGCTTCCTGCCAGGCCTGCTTCCCGTTTCCTGGCGCGCGTCGCCAAGGCATGGCCATGGACGAAGGCCAAATTGCAGTGTGAGTATGATGTCTTGGTGCAGACGTATGTCGTAACACATCCTAATGTCGCTAGTTGACCTGTCACATTTGATAACTCTCTAGGCAACGGGTCCCCAAAATCATTACAAATCCGTAGCTCTGAAAACCCATCGCACGTTCTGGTGGAATCAGGTGGGAGGACCGAGCCGCTTTCAGCGAGCCGATCGCCCAGGGCTTGCCGTCTTGGCAGCCCCAGCCCCTCCCACCTCAGTACTTTGAGCCAAGATGGTTTGATTAGGTTAGGGTTTAGGGTGTACGGGTTTCATTAGAGTTCGAGGGCTTTTGTCGGCCTCAGCTAGACTTAAGTGACGGGCTTTTGGTTTTGGGGTTTCTGCACCTTTCCAGACAAAAATGTAGACCAGAAGTTGCTGTGGAAGCGGACCCCCACCCTAAGGCTCTCAGCCCCGAAACCCAAGTTGGGGTCTGATCTAGATTTGCCATGACATGAGATCGTATAGTAGACCGGATGACGTGTTGACCGAATGGCTCTCGCATTGTTTCTGCGCCATCACACCTTTAGGGTGCGGTGCAGGTTCCATTGACGCCAGGAATGTCTAAAACACTTCTCGCTTTACAAACTCGGAACTGTCGCTATACAAGCCGTACATCTGCTCCACATCCACCGCAGACATGGAAGGCGCAGACGTTGAAGGCTGCACGGTGGAGTGGAAAGGTTTGGATGCCTGCTCGTCTCGCCGCCTCAGAGTGCCGTGGAGGCACTGAAGGGCTGAATGCGGCTTAGAGTCTTTATTGCAGTGTAGAATGTAGAGTCTAGTCGACCGGCCTCAGCAACAAAACTCCTTGAGCCCCTCCACCCTCCCCCCCCTCTCCCCCCTCCCCTTATTTTGCAGCTAAGCAGCATAAGGTAAGCCTCAGACATCCACGCTTCCAGGTTGAGGGGCGGGGGCCAACTAAATCAAGGGCGTGTTTGATAGGAATAGGTATTTCTTTTGTTTTGGCCAGTTGTGCTTTTCGTAATGAACCATTTTCAGAGCTTATGCTATACGACGCTGCCGACTGAAGCTCTAAGAGCGGCACTGCATGCCACCACGACCAAAGTGACATGTATTTCCCACCCCGGTTCTTTACGCGCCCTCCCTCTTCTCTGCCCACCCGAAGCACTATGTCAGCATGAACCCTGTAAATACGGAAAGCTGCCTCCAAGAGCTCCTGTTTGTGCAGAATGTCCTCCGCAGTCAAGATGGAGAAAGAACAGGGCCCTTAAGCTGTGAGAGGTGCAGTGCCGCAGTCCACCAGCAATGGTAAGCCCAAAAAGGGTCCTGCAGCGTGTATGCGAGGCTGGTCATATCGGAGTCGGCATCTGCAGTCCGGCCCCAATTGCCTGCGTTGTGCTCAGGAGACTTTTCTGGCGAAACACCCTTGCACATCATTCCTGACCCCAATCTGTACCTGTCAGTTCAGACATGTCCATACATCTCCGCAGGCCTCCAGTCATCTTCAGAAACACCCTCCTTGGTGAGTCCCATCATGCAACTACTGCGCTTCGGGGGCACTCATGGCTGGAAATGGCCAGGCCCCAAAATCGTCTGACCGTCTGACCACTTCTGCAGACCAGCGTCTGGCCAACAAACTGCAGCCGACATCTGGAGACGCATGTCAGGAACACGAACCTGTTCTGTACGACTGCAATGAAATCTGCCATCTCAGAGAGGTCAACAGGGATGACTTTGTCCTTGGTTCTTGCTCTGGGTAATAGTAACTTGATGGTTTTGGCACTGCAACATGAAGAGCTCATAGCTTCGTGCTGCAAGGGCGCCGTATCCGGCATGTTGTCGATGCTCGAGTGCAGATTGTTCAGCAGATCTACCAAAACGCCAAGCAAACCCGCAAAGCCAACGGTGCTGTTAGCCTTGCCAGGAGCCAATTCGCTCACGGTAGGCTAACGCATGGGACATGCTTCACTGCTCAGGTGCCTTGGCGTTGGCAACACAATTTGGTAGGAACTCGAGCATAAACGCTTGCTCCTGGAGCACATGTGGCCCGCACTTTCACCAAATATCACCAAATTGTAAGCAGCCGGGAACTGAGCAACTGTCGTGGAACTGTTACACCCTCATCCTTAGGCCCCAAAACCCAAGTCCTGAATCCCGTCCGCCAGGAAGTGATCCGTCAAGATGGTCCGTTCTCGGGCTTTGAGCGCATCCCATGATGTCCGAAGCTGCAGGTACTCTTTCTCATCTTGCACCCTCGCGAGGCATGATAGCCGAACAAGAACGAGTTCCTGCAAGGCCCAGCCGTGCATAACACACTGGATGCTCATGGTTGTGGACAAGCGGGTGTTCTGACAGTCCTGGCTCGTGCTGGCTGCTGTGTCAAGGACAGTGGGTCTTGGCGACTGTAGCTTCAAAATAGTTATCCCGACGGTCATGAGTCATGTCTCTTTGCGCCAACTGCGATGAAACATACTAGCAACGAGGCGCAGTGCTCCTACTTCCTACTGTGTATGACCACGAGTAGTTGCTATAGTCACACATCTCATCACATCGTCTAGGAGGGAGGGAGGGAGGAGAGGGGAAGGGGCGGGGTGTCCTCCGCTGAGTCAAAGTTCATATGCAGCTTGCGGGCCCTCTCCTCCATGTAGCCCCAGTATATCGCAACTGGAGAGCATTCCTAGGCTGGCTCTTGAACATCATATACATATATATATATTTTTTCCTATATTCCTAAAACAAAGATCCTCTCAAACACAATAGGTGAAAAGAGAACACGGACCGATTTTAGGTCCTGCCTAGATTCCGTAAGGCGCTTGAGCAAGCGAACGCCGCTGATCACCGAAGACGCGTTCCTTAGAAGGGCTCCGGTCTTGCGCTTCATGTGCAGGGTCGCCCCGGAGCGTGCTGCGCACAAAACCTGCACGATACTGCATTCGAGTGTCTTCGAGCTCATGAATCGAGAACCTGTTCCGGCAGCAATGCCACTCATAAACCCGAGCAGGAACAAGATGTAGAAGCGGAACTGCTCTTCACCTCAGCCACACACATCATCAAGCAGAGCTGGCGCAAAACTGGCGCTGCTTGGTACTGTAGCAGCTGAGGGGCTCTTCTCCTCAATGCACTTGCGCAGCTGCGCAATGTTTGCCGGGAGATTTTCGCCTGCAGGGAGTTTTCTTTGTTAGAGGTACAAGGTGGGGTGTGGGGTCCCCTATTGTAGGGTAATTAACTGTTGCAACACTTTGGAGCAACCCCCTCCCACCTTGCAACATCTGGGCAAGGTTAAAGAGCTGGTGGATTTCAAGGGCGTTCTCGATATACTGCCTCAGCGGACTTGGCAGTCGGTTGCGGTTGGGCCGCAACTGTAAAGCCCTCTTGCTTGTAAAGGGGGAATTGAGGGCTTCAGGGGCTCAAGGGGTTTTGTCGGGTCTTGAGGTGTAGGGTTCGGGGCCAAGTTAGGTTGAGGGTTCAAAGAAGGCAGCAATTCTCAGGCCAGCACTCTCCCCGCTGGGATAACCATCGGACAGAAGGCACCACGTTCTTCTCGCCTCAGGTGTCAGCTTCTCGTACAACCATACAAATCGAGCAGCAAAAAAGATAACGATCATTCCCGTAGCGAGGGTTTGTTTTTTGTGGGGTTGTTAGATTTTAGACTCAACTCTTCTCCTCGCCCGGAACTCATCTCCTCGCCCGGTCTACTCCCAGAGGCTCCCTGGAGTGCCCAACCCCAGAAACTGCCTGGAGTGCCCAACCAGAGATGCCCAACCCGGAGTGCCAGAGTTTTATTGCAGTGCCCACCCCACTCCCTGGAGTGCCCAGCCCCAGAGTTTTCCTGAAGTGCAACCCCTGCCCAGCCCACATGGAGCCCAACCCCAGTTTCCCTGGAATGCTTGAGTGCCCAAGCCCAGAAACTCCCTGCAGTGTCCAAGAGAATTCCTGAAGTGCCCAACACCAACCCCAGAGTCTCCCTCCAGTGCCAACCCCAGAGTCTCCCCGGAGTGCCCAACCCCAGTGCCTGGAGTCTGGAGTGCCCAACCCAGAAACTGAGTGGAGTGCCGAATTTAGAGATGTTTGGAGTGCCCAACCCCAGAGTCTTCCTCAAAAGCAGTCTCCCGGAGTGCCCAACCACAGAGAATCAACACAGACACTCCCAGACTCCCTGGAGTGTTTTTTTAGAGATTTTTGGAGTGCCCAACCCCAGAGACTCCCTGAAGGTGGGGATGTTCGAAGTAAAGAAATTTTCCGATCTAGCTCAGAAGGACTCCTGCTCTTGATCTGGGCGTTCTCAACATGGCTGTGCATGCTGCCAATGCTGTGGCGACCAGAGTGAACACCAGAACGCTGATGAACCCGCCTGGCACACCCAAAATTGCCTGAAGAGCCCCTCCTTCGGTTGAGGTCCGGAACCGATCATCCTACGAGGGCTCCTTCTTGCTCGCCGGGACACTGGCCACCAGCTGAAGCACCGCTTTCTCCGGACGCCTCATCTCCCGTGGCATTTGCTGCAAAACGGCCTTCGACTTGCCCAGGGCGCGGATGGCCAAGAGCACCTCTCTGAAAGCGGAGTGCTTCCGATCGGTCGTTGCACTCTAGTGACTCTAGTGACTCTAGTGACTCTAGTGACTCTAGTGACTCTAGTGACATTGCAACTGAGGCTGCAGCCATCACGGCCTGCATCTGCTCGGAATCCGGATCCTCATGTGTGCGAGCTTTCAGGGTCTGACAGACGTATGCGCGACCATTAGCTGCTTCAGATTCATTGATACTTGCAAACAAGCATCGATCCAACTCATCAGCCCCTGCAGCTCCAACCACTGCGTTTCATCCAGCCTTGCACCTGGAGCCTGAGGATATGTGAAGATGTCGTAGCGATTCTTGAAGAGCGCCAGCATGCTGATGCACGAGGATTCCGCCCTCTCTCGCTCGGCAGCCTGCTCGAAAACCACGTGTGGACTGTGCTCCTGATGCAGCTCAGGAATGACAATCTGCAATTCCTTGGCCAGCTTGTGCGTGTCCATGGTGCCCGCATCCAGGGCCTTCAAGTACCTTGCTAGGTTGTGAGATGTGCAAGGAAGCGTGCCTTACCCAGCAGGTCCTACGATCCTGCGAACGTTTTTTCAACTAAAGGGGCCCTCCGAAAATGCCCCCGAGATACTTGTCCAGGCCAGGATTGATGTGCTCTGCTGAGGCATGGCTGCACGGGAACAGGCTTGAGATAGATGCGTCTGGGTAAACTTCCTCCTCCTTCAGCTCTTCAGAAGCCACGTCTCGCGATGCCTTCAAAGATCTTTGTGGCCGGAGAATGCGCATGATCGAGAAGCTCTTAGAGCCAGTCCCATCCGAGCCTCGTTTGTTGAGGGGGATTGAGATGTTTTGCAGCCGAGTCTTCGGGTCGGGATACAGATCTTGGTAGTGCTGGTTTCTCCGGCAGCACTCATCCGCACAGCGAATCTGCTCTTCGTCTCCACACTTCGTCTTGCTGGCCTGCATTGCCGACACAAAGTCCTGCGCTCTGGAAAGTAAAGACTGACCCTAAATTCCCGTTAACGAGAACTATCGACAATGGGCCCATTCTTGGCACCCTAAACTACAAGGAGCTGGCAAGTCTCGAAACGTATAGTCGCCCATTGTTGCAAGCCCTTGCATGAGCCTATGAGAACTTTCATTAAGTCCCATGAATCCAGCACAGGTCCTTGGCAAAATCGGAGAACATAGTCACACCTAACACAGGCACAGCTTCTGCACACGTCCGCCTGCTTCTGGGCTTATCCTCTGGGGATGATCCCAAAAACACCGCACACCGCAAACAAAACACTAAGAATACCATCAACAAAACACCAAGAATACCATCAACAAAAGGCAATGCAGCTGAGACACATCCACGCGACTGCTTCACACATTCGGCCAGGTCTTGCCCTCGCAACGAAAAGGTCTCTGCAAACGTCATCGCAGAAAGCGTGGACCTCACGCTGGCTGAAGGATTCAAGGATAGCAAGTCAGGACTTCTCTTCGATGTGGACACGAAGACTTCTGTTTCCGGGTTCAAGCTCTCCAAAACTACTAGTCCTGAAACCTGACCCCAGCGAGACCAGAGCGGATTGGTCTCGGCTCAGGCTCCGGCTGATGCAGGCTGCCGTCGGTGTAAAGGGACAGCTCTCCAAACCACCTGGTGCCCGTAAACTCCTTGGCATCGCCCTCGGCGTCGTACCCTGGCAGGTCGAGCCCCCGACCCTAAACCTAAGATCGTAACCCCAAGATGCTGCTTCTAGGATTGACGAATGTCGGAAGTTGGTAGGGTGAAATCCTGCCCGTTTACGTACTGTGGCTCTAAAGAGCAAGGAGAGCTACTGGAGGCGAGAGAGACAGAGAGGTAAGAGAGAGGGAGAGACGAGGCAGAGAACATGAGAACATATGAGAACATGAGAAACGAGAGCAGCAACCTCGTGCGGCTCTCGGATTCGTCTTATCACTTCAAGAGTGCCGCTGCTGTTGGCCCTAAGGCCCTATGTTCGCAGCGCATATGCTTTGTAGCCCTTGCTAATCTCTTAGAGCATGTGAGTGCCAAACCCAGCCTTGGATGTAGGTGTACGTGCCAGTGGCAGTGATGTGGAGACAAGAGGCCCAAGAACCTGCGATGAAGATGTGCTCCCCCTTCTCGTAGACGTGCTTCTCCAAGGCTGCACAGACAGAGCCGAAGACATCTGTGTAGCACTCCTGGAGGAGCTTGAAGATTGGTAGCTCCAACACGTAACTGCTCCTCTGACTCACATAGAGCTCCAGCTGCAATGTCGGTGAGATTAAGGACGTGTCCAAGGTTGTGGTCGAGAACTTCTCAAGTCGGTATTCCACGAAGCGCATGATCCGTGAAACCAGCTCAAAGGGCACATGCTGGTGGCTTAGATACTGGCGCACTTCCCGCCGTCGGCGGTCTCTTGCTTCGTTCATGGCTCGAAGCTCTGCAAGCGTATCGGAAATTTTGGAAATTCCTGCGCCCATCGCTGCGAGACAGAATATCGAAACAAAAATGTCGGCACCTCTCTCCAAACCACTCCCTGCATCCAAAAGTGGAGGGGCAGGCGAGTTGATGATCCAACGCATGGCATGGAGATACTGAACCCATCCCGGTATCGTGTCGGCGCTGGCAAGGCGAGTCCAGCTTCGGATGTCGTCGCTCTCCTCCATGCCGCGCCCAATGGCATACCACATGCACGTGAGCAGGTGGGCACAGAAGGTCATCGCAATGGCCGTGCTTGTGATGGCAGTGACAACAGCGATCCAGTGACGCCCAGTGTTTGCCGCGCTTTCTTCGATGATGGAGTTCACCTTTGTGAGCTTCAAGACTCGCAAGAGTCTCAAGAGCCTCATAATGCGCGTGACTCGAAACAGGCGAAACTCTGCCGACAAGCTCGTTTCGGAGAGTCCATACCCAATGTCAAACACCAGCAACAGAATGTCGAAAAGCAGCCAGCCCTGCAGGTAACTCAAAAATATAGAGACATGCCGTGAGACCAGGACTCCACGGCGGTACGTGGCGGTATTCAGATTTACAAAGAGATCAGCTGTCCAGAATGCCAAGCTGATCCAAAAGGTCAGCCATAGCAAAAAATTAAACACCAGACCGTCGGAAGGTCCCATTCTCACGTTCCATGCCAGGGCTGGGGGCAGCAGAATACTGTCACAAAGTATTAGAACCATCGCGCTGACATCCCAGCCTATTCTGAAAGCACCGTATGGGTGGAAAGCCTGTATGACCCGGCTGCGGTGCAGGTGCTCGGAGTTACTGCCAATGATGCTCAGACGAGCAGAGGCCTTCATGCGGGTCATTGTTGTTGGACCTTCAGCACTCTGAGTGGCCATATCCATCCATCGGCTATGTAGGCGTATCTGATTTCCAGAATCAACACTGCCAGGTGGTGCCGCCAGAGCCCGCTTCAAAACGGCGGGGTGTGCCTTCGATGTGTGCCGGTGGGCAAGCAGAGCAGGAGGTTCACGCAGTTGCTCGAACTTTGGACCTGGAAGTCCCTGCCTAAAGGCGACTGGCTTCCCCGTGCATGAGCCTCCCTGCACGAAGGCTGCACCTTCCATGGTCTCTATAGTCTCTATGGTGCTGCGAAGGCATTGCACCTGACGACCCATAGATTCCAAAGACTTGAGAGAGCGCTGCAGCTCTTCCTCGATGTCGGCAAAGTTCTGCCATATCTTACCGCTGCTCTCTGAAGCCATGGTGGCGGGGATGGCGGCCTTGCTTGAGCATTGCAGCCGCGTCACAGCACTTGAGAAATAGACAAGGTTCAGCTGCCCAGCATTCATTCAGTCTTACAGCCGCAGCCGCTTTGTTGTGAGTACAACGAGGCGGAACCCAAACCCCACCAGGTCACTAGGGACTGGCAAAGTACAAACGGTTGTTGAGTCGCCGAGCGGAGCACAGGAACCTGAATCCTCACACCATGGCTGTTATCTGGCAATGCCCGCAAAAAATCTTTTTAGCAGCTCCTTCGCACATCCGACATCACTGAACCGACCATGCAGTTACACTGTGGCTTCGCCAACGAGAAGCTGCCGAGGAGCCTTCTGAAAGGAGCTTCTTTGGGCTGCATAGAACCGCCTAGCAGCACATGCATTACACTGCTGAAAGGCTTACCTGTGTCCATCATCATTCGGCCCTGGGCAGTTCCCGGCAGCATCGGTCTTTGAGACTTCAATCGTCTGCCACTTGCTCTTTAACACATGCGGGCACTGGCACACCCGGCACGACGAATGCAACCAACCAGGCCCCCAAGTCAACTTCACGGACACAGCAACATGTCAACCTTTTGACGTACCCACCAATCTAATCTAACATGCTCCGTTGTCACTTGACGACAGGCCCAAGATCTCTGACTTGAAGACCTCTGCAGAATCATAACTGAAGCCGGGAGGTTTTGCAGAGTTTGCAGCTTGAGGGCTCAAAGGTCGAATACTCCCCTCCAAATGCATTATGGCTATGCCTATAAGCCTCCAATTGCTTCTACTTCTGAGGGGTGTGGGTTGCAGTAGCGACCGCTGCTCCTGTGATTTGAGGCACGAACCCCCGCCAGAACCTCTCAGAACACTGAGTTTTCCAAATACTAGGAGTATTTCGAGTGGGATCGCAGTATCTAAAAGGATTCGCAAAGGTTTCAAGGGGTGCCTTCAGAGGTCGATGTCGGAAAGTCAGTGCTGACGGCGTGGGGCTTTGTCGCATCATATTGTGGCTAACCAGCATGTGAACACGTGTCGGCCCCACACCTACCTGAAAGTGCTCCTTAGTCCGGGGTACTCCTTGGCGCCCTGCGCCTTGAGCCCGATAACTTGAAACCCCTACAGCTTCAGGGTCCTTCAGCTCTATAAGCCTCCCAAAGTTCACAAACCCAGAAACCCAACCCCAAACCATGTTCTGACCGGCCTCCACATCAGAGACCAAGCCGGCAGTGTGGGATTCCAACATGCCCTGGAAGAGGCTGTTGGAACATCTACTCCGGGCTTGAGGTTCAGGGCTTGAAGTTTAGCTGCCTCGGGAGGCTAGGGGCTTCAGGGCTCACCTTAAGCTACCCCACGTCTTTTTGGACCCAAGAACCCCCATAAGGGATGCTACAGTCATGCCCTTCAACATCGTAGATATTGGGTTTTTTGAGTGCAGCTTCTTCGCGCCCGAGATGAGACATCCGAGGCCACTGCCAGCATGGCCTTGAGGTGTGCCTTCTCTGCCTGTCACTCGAGCATGCTTTCAGGAGACGAAATGGGGGGGGGGGGGGTGCTTCGATGGGTTAGGATTCTTGTTGGGTCCAAGCTCACCAGTCTCCACACTCACCGCTTTGAGAAAATACCAAGGTCCACGGCCGGCCTGTTGGCCAGACAGGAAGCGAATCTGCGCCAGAAGCTCCTGCACCAAGATCCCAAACCCATAGCCCGAAACCCCCAAAACCCACGAAACCCCCGAAACCCCCAAAACCCCCCAAAACCCTGAACCCTCATGACTTCACACCTTGTGGGGCCCCATTCTTGGGGTGCCCTGGCCTTGTTAAGTTCAATGTCCCGATCCTGTTTTACGAGATTTGAGAACAAGGCTTTCAAGGGGGGTCATCGAGTTTTTGGAGCCCCTGCCGTAGAACGCTCGAACCTCGAAAGGCGCGAAAACCAGGGGCTGCCTGGGACTTCTCCTGGAACACCTTCAGCTTGTCGGTGATTTCCTCCAAGAAAAATTCCCCCCCCAACCCTAAGGTGCCTAAACCCGAAACCCTAAACCCCTGGGCATCTGAGCTCATTGGTGGCCCCATTTTGGGGTTTAGGGTTTTTAGGGTTTAGGGTTTAGGGTTTTGGGTTTAGGGTTTAGGGCTTAGGGTTTAGGGAGCCAGCTCTTGTCAGGTTCGCGGCTCAGGGCGCACGGCTTCGGGTATGTGCGGGAATCGACGCGAGACTTCTGTTTCCTATGCTCTCCGTAGGCCACACAAAAAAAAACAATAGTTGCAACCTGGGCTTTGTAGAAGCAATCGTAAAACAGTATTTCCTATTATGGTTTCGGTTGTCACGAAGTCTGAGACCGCCGACCAGGCTACGATCTAGTGAAACGCAGACCAAGACAACAAGACTCTGAGACCTCCCTCCAGGCTAAAGGAAGACGAAGGCGTCTGTGACGCATGATGCATTGTCCAGCCGAGTTAGCCCGTTTTGTTTGACTTACTGTAAGTCGCCGTGGACTTGTGCAGGCACCGGTCAACCCGGAGCTCCTCACCATCGTGCTGCTGGAACTGGACGCTGCGCCTGAGCAGGTCACAGAGGCCTCAAGTCATGGGCTTGCTCTACGCTTTTGTGATCAAGTTGCGTTGTTTGTTTGTTTGTTGCTCTGTAGAGTCTTGGGTCCCACATTGTTTAGGGCTTCTAGTTCATGTAGACTTTTTGGGGGAGGAGGCTTAGGGTTTTATGGGTGGGCGTGCATTTGGGTTTTGTATTTTGCCTCCCTCACCACCGCTACACCCTCAACCCGGAATTGCTAAGAACGAACCACGACGCAAAACCTCCCTACTTCCCTACTAAGAAGTGGTATGTGGTGCTGCGGGGCAATCCAAGAATGGCTAGTGGGGATCAGATTGCCGAGTAGCCAAGTCCTTTACAGGGGCTCATGGAAGTCATGGAAGTTCCGACCAAAATCCGCCGAGGCCTCGGGCCGAAGGTGTCTAGGTTGTGAGTTGTGAGAACAGGCACCCCCCTCCACACCCAAAGCCCTTTTTCGGACCACTTTTTTTGCCTCAAATGGGTACCCCCCCTAGGAAACCGGGGTCCGCAAGCGGACGGTTCGCCAGGACCAGAGGCAGTTGAAGCCCGTCCCAGCTGGGCCCCCCCCGCCCTTTCCCGCCCCTTTCCCATGAACTGCCCTGGACGCCTATGTGACCCTGTGCAGCCGCGAGCATACACTGGGCGCTGCGCTGGGGCAGGCCGAGGCAGGTCGCGTAGCGTTAAAATTATCGCACAATGGCTCAAAGCACTCCGAAAACTTCCCCTGTAATGCCAATACAAATATCGCCGTTGTCCCGAAAAAGCTCTTGCAAAAGGAGGTCTTACCGGCCATCTAGAACTCAACTCTCAACAACCCTAGCGACTTCGGCAGGGCACCTCCTTCTGCGCTCGAGCTTGTCCAAAGCTTGCTTGGCCTTCTCCTGCAGAGCTTGCAGTCGAAAGTAGAATATATGTAGGCCATAGGTTGAGGTCTCTGCGTGAGTGACTTGAGGGTGGAGGAGGGCTTGGTGTGGAGGTGGAGGGGTGGGCGTGGGTGTGTCTCCAGCCTCCGCGAAGCACTGCTTGAAGTTCAGCGAGACCTGAGCCAAGCCCGCTTTAATTAGGGCCCTGGCATTCCGAGTCAGAAGCCCCAAAAAGAAGGTGGTGAAGTATCTTACAGTGGACCTCAGCCACACTTACCTCATCTTTGGCCCAGGCGAGCGCGATGCCAATGGCCACGACCACGAGGCCCGTCACGGCTGTTAAAGCCCCGATGACCTGCCACGCGGCAAGGCACAAACCCTTCAGGCCCAAAACCGTGTTTAAGTCGTGCGGAATTTAGGGTTGACGGGTTAGGGGCTTTAGGGTTCAAGAGCAATCGAGATCTGTCCTGAACTTTTTGAAGACTGCTCGCGATGTCTGGAGCTGCTATGTTGAAGCCTATGTCTCTGGCGCTTCCCGACCCTGAGTCGCCTTCCCCGGGGGGCTCTGTGGAACCATGTCGCCATAACCGACCTGGTCAAGAGAGGGTGTATGCGGTGCGGAGTCCACCACCCTCAACTTCCCTTCGAAAGCACTGAACTTAAAACCTTACTTGAGCTCAGAGGACGTACGTGAAGCAAGAGATCCCACGATGTGGCAATGAGTAAACCAAAAGCCCATGTTTTGTACCTAGAAGATCTTTTGGTAACAATAGCCTGTAAATTTCCCAGGAAACGGCATGTAGTTGACAGCCTTCAACTTCCCTGTTCCTGGGCTGCCAGACAGTGGTCAGCGTGGCAATGGCCCACCAGAAGGAAGCTGGAATGGACTGCAGCAGCTGCCAGGCTCTTGCTGTTGGGCTTATTTTAGGCATCAACCCCCAAACCGCATAGGGGTCGCCATGCAACTAGCGCCACGGTCAAGGCAACGCGTTACGTGCCCTCAACCTCAAAAACCCGTGGGCGGATTTTGTAGCGGCACAGTCCTTGTTCGCATCCCGGAGTGCTCGGGAAGATGCTCTCATGGAGTTCTTTTGTTTCGGAGTGGTCTGAAAGGCTTCCGCTGTTCCGGGGTGGCGGTTGTTTCTGCTCTAGGTCTCCGGAGCTGGCACACTGAATTCAACATAAGTATGTATGTATACATATACAAATATATGTATATACATGGTCACCCCCCCACCCCCCCATGGGATCTTTCTTTTCGAGGGCTTAACACGCCAACTCAACAACACCTGGCAAGAGATTTCTACCCGCAAAAGTGGAGGTTCACCACAAGTTGTGTCCTAGAATGGCGCATGAAACCCCGTGAACAATATTCGGAAGTGGGATCTTGTCAGCCCCATTTCCCGAAATACACAAACAATTCCTAGCGCATACAGAGAATGCTGTCTGTGCTCATGCGATACAATGAACGTCCAGAACCCATGTGTATCCTGTCAAGGAAGTAGGACCTGGAATATCGAGAAAAAAAAACCAGAAAAGCTCACCTATGAATCGCACACCCTCGCAGTCCTAGAAATCAAACTCACCCTATAATTAAGCCCTACACCACATAAACCCTATGAACCCCATAGACCCTGAACCCTAAAACCCGGGCCCTCTCAAAGATTCTACCAGGGCCGAAGGTGGCCGTCTTCGGCCACACAGTCTCCGAGGCCGGAGCAGTAAAAGCCGTGGGGCCCACGCAGTGCGAGAGGGACCTTAGGGTTTAGAGCTTCGAGGGCTTTAGAGGGTTTCATAGCTATTCAGAAGAGCTTTCGATGCTTGTTCTTCTTTGGGCTAAATCGGGGATCACAATGGTCACTTTCTTGACTTCCAGGGTCCTTCTTTGGGGTACTTGCGTAATCTTTATATGTATATATATATGTATATATATATATATATATGGGTCTTTCTCAAAAGAGAAGGTACCTCCTTTCTAGCCCCAAGATGCTAGAACCTAAGGATGGAAACCCCCGCCCCGCAAGTGTAATTACAAACCTCTTTTTCTCCGGAGAAAACCCCGCTTGGTCACTGCCTGGCTACACCCTGCGACAGAAACGGTTAGGATTTTGTGTTGAAGGCTTAGGCGGTCTGTGCTCGGCTACCGCGGGCACCAGACACTTACAGCGTTTGGAAGGTTTAGGCTCACTTGCTTAGGCTAAACCATTCGGTGTTTTGGAGACCAGGGTTTACAAGAACGGGAAATTTTCCCGTCTTTTCAAAAGACCACGCTACCGTCAGCGGTCGGCCAACTACATGGAGGCGGTTTGGCAAAACAGCTGGCGCTTCAAGAAGGCTGCGCCTCCTCTTAGGTGCGTTGAGTGGCCGCGCTCAGGATGAGCACTCAGGGTTAGGGTTCAGGGTTTAGGACTTAGGGTTTAGGGCGATAAACCCAAACTCAAACCCCTGGACGCACATTCCTACAGTGCGAGTAGTATATGGCAAGTCGAAGGTTCGAAACCCTAAGCACCGGGCTGATCGCACAAGTCGCTCTCCTGAGGTCTGAGATGCTTAAGGGGGGAACCCTAAACGCTTAAACCCTTCAACCCTAAACCCTTGAACCCTAAGCCCCTGAACCCTAAGCCCTTAAACCCTAAGCCCCTAAACCTAAACTCTAAAAGCCCAAGCCCTAAAACCTTAAACCCCCAAACCTTAAACCCTAAACCCCGAAACCCTGTAGGGTTTCGGGGTTCTTGTGCAAGCCTGAGGCCTAGAGCCCTAAGGATGCCCAAGGGGTCTTCGCCACAGATGTGGAAAAGATGGGGGGGGGGGGGGGGGTTCCGAAGATTGAGTTTTAGGGCCTTAAGGCCTTTTTTTCCGTTTTTTCAGGGTTTCAGGTTGAAGGCTTTCAGGGTTTAAGGTTTTAAGGGTTTAGGGCTTTAAGCGTTTGAGGCTTTGGGGATTTGTGGTTTGCGGCTGCACAAGTCTAAGGGCTTACTTTTAAGGGCTTCGGGTTTTGTGTGTCCTCGGGGGTCCCTAATTTTTGAAAGCTCCCACCTTCTCAGGGCTCGGCACGAGGAAGGTTGGGAAACCCCTAAACACTGACCCTGTAGTACCGGCCCAGGACACGTATTTCGAGAACTGACCATGTGGGGGAGCCCCGCAACACAAAAACCATGCTTGATTAACTTCCCCAGAACAAGAATCATTCTAACATTTTTTCGAGACCTGATCAGGGGTCCCCCGGATTGGGAAAATACCCATAGGGTCAAAGGGAGACTCACCCGAAACCCAAAACCCGAAACCTAAACCCTAAACCCTAAATCCTAAACCTTGTTCCAGAGGTTGGGGCCGAAGAAAGAGTTCGAGGTGTTGGATTTTCAGGAGTTTAGGGGGTTTGGGGGGGGGGGGGGGGGGGCTGCTCTACATTAGGGCTTTTGGGTTTTGGTTAAAGGTACTCACTAGGCCCAACTTAGAGCAACCCCCAAGACCCAAGAGCAATTAGACCGGCCTTAAAGACACTAACCATGCGCCAAACGGGCCGTTTCAATAGTCACCCGACCCAATGCTCAACAGGTCTGCAGGCCAAGCATCAAACAGGTACACCAGGCTCGAGCTCAAGATCTGTCGGCGGCGGATTGCTTGTGACAATTCAGGTGGCTCAACACTGATTTTGCACAGGGGCCGGGATTTGGAATCGTCAAGCCTTACCAGCCTAAGCCGCTTAACAACACCTCGAGTGAATGTCCTTCCTTCTCTACGGACCAGCAGCAAATCGAGCAGCCTTGAGCTTCCCAGATATATGTATGTATAAACAATGATCAATGTGTATATGTAGATGTATGTTACATAAGTATACACACTTATGTATAAAGATGTATTAATTCTATACATCTGTATGCCCCCCCCCCCCCCCATGAAGCAGGCAATAATCCTAACCTATCTTGCTTCAGCTCGGGCCGCTGGGGCGATGGTACCCGTAGCGGTCGACTTCTAGTCGGGTACACTTAACAGGAACTTGAGGCTGCGACGCAGAGGGGGGCGTGTTTCAGTTCCCTGAAGCCCTAAGACCCTTTTCAAGGTTTCGGGTTTAGGCTTTGTAGGGCTTGGGAATCTGGGTTGAGTCGTGTAAAGCACATCGCCTGCTGTGTTTTCCACCTGGAAGCCAGGGAACTGTACACATGCAAAGCAAATCGTCGCCCCTGCTGGGGTTGACGCTTGGTTTGAGATTTGGAGCGTAATTACCTTACAAAAACCCAAAACCCCTACTTTTGTTTTTGTTTGCTTTTTGGTAGGTTTGCTTCGCGCTATACAAGAACCGTCAGTGTCCTAGTAGTGAGCAGAAGCATATGACTCGATACACAATGATAAGAGTAGTACAAGTAACAACTTGAAGGCCATGCACTTCGTGCGGAGGAGTTGTTCGTCCAAAAACACGTCCGACCTACGGCTCGGATTAAACCTGCACCGTCGCTCCCTAAGGGAGAAGGTGTCGAGCCCAAGAGTTGCGAGCTGAGATATTGTGGGAACGGGTCCAACGCCAGACCTCCAGCTCCCCTGCTTCAATCCGACGAGAGGACTATACCAAGTGTGATGAACGGAGCTTTCGCTTCTTTTGGTGGAGGTTTTTGGGGCATTTTGCATGTTAAAGGAGGTATGGCTGACCGGCATCCAAGTTGGATTTGCTCAATTTGTAGATCGGCGGCTTTGGTTCACCGCCGGCAAGGTTGGCGTGGCCTGCGCGGACGAGCAACGGGAATGGGTCAGTTAGCCAACGCGATTCCTGAAACTCTACATTCTCCAGCCTCGACAGTGGGCTTCGAGGGCGCAGGGCTCTTGACGTTGGCGGCAGCGATCTGAGGCAACCGCTGCCTGGCCCTGCACAGCATGGAGCGGATGTCATCAAAGGATTCATCATGCAGACTCGAGCTTTCTGCATGCACCTACGGTCTACCGAGAAGAACGGATCGTGAAGATATGAAGCTATCTGGAGGCATTTTGATCACGGAAAGACAGGAGAATGTTGTAGACGACCTGCCCGGTCTCTGTCAGCCAGCACCAGCAACAGCGCACCCCGAAGCACACATGAAGCTTACGGGTGCTGAGGGTTCCCTAACAGCCCATCCTTTCATCGACTGCGACTGCACATGAAAAAACGCCTGCTGATTGTAATTACGGACATGGGTGCTGGGTGTTTAAAGTCCCTCATTCGGGATGCTCTGGCTGGGCGGGCACTCCGAAAGTCGCATGAAACTCCAAACCTCTAGCAGCCCTGTACCCCAGACTGCTTCAAGACCCGAAGGGCGCATGTGCTGGGCCTCCAAACAGGAGCGGGCGTCATGTATGGGGACCAGTTCTCCTGCTCAGAGGGTTCTAGGGTCTCATAGGCAAAGCCTCAAGTCAAGCCAAAACCCTAAACCCCAAACCCTAAACCCTAAACGGCCCTAAACTCAACCCTAGAGGGGCGGCATGGCATCATAGGCTTGAGGCTCACGTTCACAGACTTTTATATCTTAATTTAAAGTGGAGCCCACTCGGTCCGGAGAGGGGCTCGCCTGTGGCTACCCTACAAGGGCGCATTTAGGGTCCGTATGTTTTGTGATTTTGGTGTGCGTTTATAGTACCGGCAGAATAAGCATGATGGATTCTGTTACATATCTATTGGTAAACCAACAATAGTCTGAGTTCAACTGTCGGATATTGTCTGTTAACTATGAAGTTGGATGTTGGCTCTTGCATAAGGTTCAGTTCAGATTCGAATGTACTCTATGACACAAGGTAAGTCTATATCATATACTGCAAGTGGATTATAAAATGCAATGCAAACTCAGTATACGACCGTGTGTGCATATATATATATACATATAGAAACTATATATATATATATATATGTTTGCTTACAGTTACTTATACTTATACTTATACTTATACTTATACTTATACTTATACTTATATCTAGAACTATATTCATAAGTAGGGGGGCTTGCCCTCCCCTCCCCCCCCCCCCCCCCCCCCCCCCCCCCCACCAAATGCAACAAGGGCCTACATCGGTTGGGAAAGGACTAAATACAGATCTGTCAAACGACATCATGATGTTCCTTCCTTCCTTGCCTCCTGCCTCCCCTGCTTCCTTACCTCCCGACCTACCTGCTTACTAAAGACTCACAAAAGAATGGAACCAACAAAACCAAAATCATCAAACACATAGACTTCTCTCTCTCTCTCTCTCTCTGAATCATACTCTTTTTGGGATACCCTACGTAGCGGCCTATGTGATGAGAGGTACTTTAGATAGCTGGCCATGTAGGCGCTAGAAGTCGATCGCGTCCCAGCAGCCTCAGTCTAGACCCTAAGCCCGAAAAGTCCTCATAGGACCCCTGCAGCCTCAACCCTCAATCCTGCCTCCTTTTGGGACCAGTCTGCCGCCCCGGCGTTCAGGTTGGAGGTCTCCTGTCGGTTGGACGGGGAGAGGGAGGAATCCTCAACGCTGGGGGAGGAGTAGGTGTAGACTGTGTAGAGTCTCCAAAACACTAAACGCTTCCTGACCCGCAACCCCTTTTCGCTGGTGTTCAGGGGGGCCTGGCTTCAAGCTCCCGGCACACTCCTGCTGCTGAGGGCGGCGCTGAAGGAACCCTGGAGCCTAAAACATCACGACGCCTTGGTTCAGGGTTTGGGGTTTGGAGTTGGAGGGTTCAGTGGTGAAGTCTTCAGGATTTAATGTTTTACGTAGTGCTTCTGCTGCCAGGACTGCTCATGCTTGAAACACTCCATGAACTCTAAACATCCCTAAACCCTAAACATCCCTAAACCCTAGAATGGCCCTAAACCCTACTCTTGCCCCATGCGGGGCATCCTCGCGCTTCTGCCCTGAACTCTTGCAGCGACGCTGTCAGGGAACGAAAGCAAGTCCGCCTCCTAACCCCCCGTACCTCTCAGAGGCCGGAGGCCGGAGTTCAACCTTGAGTGTCCAGTACCCTCCCATCTTTTTGTGGGATTTTACTCTGCCCCCCCCCCCCCCCCTCCCTCCCCTTATGAGCTTAAAGTAGCGTCACCGGCAGGGAGTGCGAGGTCAAGCCTGCGGCTTCTGCAGCTTCTTGCAGGGCTTCACTGGTCCTGCATGGGGCTGGCCACACAGGTCACCCACCAACCTATGACCTATGAAACACAAACAAGGTGCCCTTTTTTGCATTAAGTATGTGCAGAAGAGATCCTGAACTTGAAAAAACCCTGCAGGGCAGTTGGCTTCAGGGTGTTTTTTTGGGTCCAGGGCTTCAAGTGCCCCTTAGGACTTTTTTTTAAACCCGAATGTAAGTTAGCCCCCCCAACCCTAAACCCCAAACCCAGTTCCCCCAAGGCTACAGCCAATGCCCCGAAATAAGGGGGGGGGAGGGAGCCTCGAGTCGCAAGGCTGCTGATCATCCAGCGTGTGAGCTCACGCTCGCGCTGGACATTGGCCATCTGCTGCTTCCTGATGTCGCTTATTTGTTAATTGCCAGTGGGCGCTGTTCATTTTCATAGCTTGTTGGGGGGGAGCAATGAAGATTTCAGGATTTCCGGGCGGAGGGAGGTTTCCAGGAATACGCCCCGTGGGTTCTCCCAACATCCGTCAACCCTCGGACCTGAACCGAATCCTCAACTACACCCGAGTAAACCCGAATCCAACCCTGACCATCCTAATTAAATTCCAATCGCGCCCCAGGCCTCTTCTGCAACCACTTGTTGATCTGCGCGTCATTAAACATCCGCAGCCTCAGGTGCACAGAACCCCTTCGATTAAAGAAAACACTTGACAGCGAATGTCCCGAAGGCTTTTTGAACTAGCCAGAACGGGTACACGGAGGGACCGTTAGCAGGGCCACTTCTAAGCACAAAACCCTCTTTCGTCACGCAGCACATCTGCAACTCTTACGCAAGGTCACCTGCGTTGCGAAACCTTTCCAGCTTCCTGAGAATCTGTCGTTGGGTCAGCACGCCCGCCCGCAAGCCACTCGAACCCTGAAAATACTGAGCCCTGGCCATGTTGTTGTGCGACTCTGACGAAGTCACAACATGGCCACCCTGAAATTGAAACCTGAAAAGCCTCGTAACAGCGCAACGTGCCAAACTTGCCAATGTGTTCGTTTGTAGCATGACAGTCTTGGGATGTCAAGCTGAGGCCACGTCTGCTCATCATCGTGCCTGATCTCTGCAGACCTGGGGGGGGGGGGGGGGGGTGATGGTCGGTTCCATCGAAAGAAGTGTGGGATTTCGCGGATATGAGAACACATTCCCAAACTTCGGAAGTACGGCATAGGGTTCCAAAGTTCAGGGTCAGGAGGGTTTCCACGGCTCTCGCTTGGCGCAGCACTTTGAGGCAATAGGCACGGGCATGTCTGCTCGCTTCGGCAGGGCACCGCGCAGGCTTGAATTGCTCGCGAAAACGTGGCAGGGACGTAGGGTGTAGGGTATTGGGGTTTATAAGGTTTATGAGGTTCATAAGGTTTACAAGGCTTATAGAGTTTATAGGGTTTACGCTGGGGGGGGGGGGGGGGGGGGCGGGGCACGTGGAATGGGCACGGCTTTGCGGTGTGGGGCGTGTGGCGGCTCCCGCCTTGGTCTACTCGTGCACTCGATGGGAAGTACTTACGAATAATATTCCCTTATGGTCTCTATGCAATTTTACCATACTAACCTCTTTAGTTTTACCATAATAACCCCCAAAACCCTATTCTAGTTGTTACGGCCCCCTATATTAAGATCTCAGGCGCTGCGTCATCGTGCTCTCCTCGGAACGTGGTCTTCTGCGCTGTTTGGGAGCTACTCCCCGGCACTGGCCGCTAAGTTGTTGCATTCGCTACAGTGGGGCAAGGTTGGGGGGTGACTGTGGCCCATGGCAGGGAGTGGAGAAACCTGCAAGCCGTGAAAAAAACACCGAAGTCGGAGGGCACCGAAGACATCTCTGCTTCGCTTCTCCGGGCTCTAGGTTCCCCCACTTGGTGACCTCCTGTCTCCAACCTGTCGTACGATGGCACAGCGCAGATCTGATTGGTATCTAGGATGAAGGATTGATCTCGATTCATCGGGGCCGCATGCCTCGAAACACCGAGAGCAGCGTCGTCTTGTGGTTGTCGTTCATCTGCAAGCAAAAGGGGGGAAGGCAAGGGTGAGGACCACTTACTACTTGTCGGAACCAGGACCAAGTCTTCTCCAGAGCCCGAACTGACAATTCATGCGTCGTATAAGGAAACAGAACATTTTCTTGCAAGTCCTGAGGGGGCACCCAACGTGTCAGCCCTCATTGTTGGGCAACCCACAAAACACGGCCGGCTTCAGTTCAGTTACCGGGTGTGCGGGTGGATTTCCTGGGTTCGGGAAAGCCTTGCTGCGTTGAAGGTACAAGGGTTTGAGTCCCTAGACCCCTAACCCGAAACCCCTAGTAAGCCCTAGAGGCACAAAACAGTTTGAGTCTCGACTGAGCGAGGTGCTGCGGCTCGGGCGTCTGACAAGATGCCGTCGCGAAGCGCCTCTCAGGGTTCGTCAGGTCCCCTTTTTTGCGAGATTTCAGGGTGCGACTCAAGTGGGTCTCTCTTTGTTTCTGGCGGGGGGGGTACCGCATCCATCGAGACCTTCTTTGACATGTCTTTGTCTCAGCTCAGGGCAGCGAAGGACAGGAGCTGGCAGCCCCAAGGCCCCGCTGCATGCGAATGCCCAACTTCATCCACGAAGGGACTCATATGGCCCATCTTATAACTCATACACTTACCCTCCCAAACATGTAGAGAGCAGCCCTTCACGCAAAAGGGGCGCCGGCGAGTTTTGCGATACCCTCTGGCTCCAGGAAACTGAACAGCCGAATGTGATCGAATGTGCAGAATAACGCTTGGGGTCCCGGTTCCCTGAACCCTCATGCCTTCAGATGCATATTGGCAACTCTTCAAATTGTGGTCCCCTTTGGAGTCCAGCACGCTGTTATTGCTAGAATACAGGTACCGTGTAGGTATCAAAAATTTGGGCTAAAGGGGCCTGCCTCCACAAGGTATCGCAAGCCTCGACGCCGTTGCACCTCAGAACTTTTAAAAAAACAGGGAGGTGTGTGGGGGGTTGCTGTCTGTGGGTCTTTGGTGACCGTTTTGCGGTCTGTTGCTTGGTTTTTTGTTGCGCTATTTGTATTGTTTGGCTAGTGTGGGTTGTGTTCATTCTGTGCTTGCTTTGCCAGCTTGCTGTTGGTGTATTCATTGTTGATTGATGAATTTGCGTGTAGTTAGCTTGTGTGTGTGCGCCGCTTGCACGCTTTGCTTGGATGTTGTTCGCTTCTCAGTGCGTGAGTGTGTGTGTGTGCGCGCATGTTCATGCTTGGTCGTTGTGGAGCGTGCCGTGTTTGAAGGCTGCGTTTTTGCTCTTGTTCCAGTAACAGCTACAAGTATGGGCTCCGAGACTTGTTACGCAAATTTGGTCTTTTCGGTCTTGACTGGGAAAGCGTGAGGCCTGGAGCTAACATCACGAAAGTGCTGCTGCTGCTGCTGCTGCTGCTGCTGCTGCTGCTGCTGCTGCTGCTGCTGCTGCTGCTGCTGCTGCTGCTGCTGTTGCTGCTGCTGCTGCTGCTGTCGCTATTGGTTCTTACTTTCTTGCCGCGTGCTGCTGTTGCTGCTACTTCTGGCCTTACCGCTGATGCAGATAGCCGAGGCAAACTCCAGCAGCCGGCGTTGAACCCTTCATCCACCCTACATTCATACAGTCATCTGGCTGGACGACACAACCAATCCATTTGCGCGGAGGTTGTCCTTCAAACAATATGCGGAAGTATCGGCCGTATAAGCAATCCTTGGTGAGTACCCGGCAAGTTTGGTGAACTGCGCAACCTGCTTCCGCTCGCGTGCTCGCTCCCGAGCCTGACGGTGCAGGGGCCCCTCAACTCCACAAACCCTCGTAACGGTGCCGTAAAAGAGTTTATGGCAGCTTAGCACTTTTGGGTTCAAGACAGGCCACCAGTAATTTGTTACCACCACCCTAAACCCTAAACCCTAAACCCTAAACCCATGCAAACTTCACATGACTATTCCAGCCCACAGTTGGAGATCACCTCGAGATGCTTTGCCACTTCCTTCATCTCCGGGTACTTGCTGAGAGCATGCTGATAGCTGGACCTTGGCACAAACTGGGAGTGGCGCTAGCTTTAGGTGCAAGAGACAAATGGGAAGCGCCCGGAAGTGTTCCCCAATAAGCACCCAAACCCCTCCCCTGCGGTTCTGAGTTCGCGGCCGAGTAACGACAAGCACCTGACACCTGCCAGCGCACGGGGTCTTAGGTTCTATGTCGAGAGCCTATTTTCCGTTTACATGCAGAGTTACACTTCCAGTGACGCATGAATACTTGATTCGTAGGATTTGGGGCGCCCAGCTTGGGGTTTAGGAGGTTCAGGTGCTCATCAAGTGTGAAGCTGACAGACTCGGCTGCGTGCATGGTGTCTGTGGTGATGGACATCGTGTAGCGCTCCTGACGATGGATGCAGGAAGTACAGAGAAGTGTACAAGCACGTCTCCGAGGAGCGAGTCGTTCACCAATCTTTCGCAGACCATCACACGTGTGATCACATGTTCGCTTTTGCCTATGTGCGACAAAATAAGATGTCCAGCAACTCCCAAACAGCCGGAGGTTTGAGCACGGAGCATTCTGTTCGTATGCCTTTCATGCAGAAAAAAAACACCCAACATCTCATGAGCTGCAAAAGCAACTTTGCAAGCCCCAGTTCCAACCTAATTCCAACCGTGAGGGCGGCATCCTTGTCCGAGCATAGCATGTTGAAGCCGAAGTGGGACCTCTGCCAGCTTCCGTTCGTCTCTCACCCGCCAGCCTACGCCCGAAGACTGCCGAACCCAAGAACCCCCACGCAAAACCCGAACCCACCCCGTTCCCAAACCCCTAAACCCCCCCTTAGCCCTATAGACCATAATTAAACCCTAAACACCAAAGGCGGTGCCACCGCCAGCTACTGTGCCAGGGCCTGGGGTTCCCGAGAAGTTCGTGGGGACAAGCAGGTTTTGAGTCCAGAGTTCAGGGATGTGCGGCATCATAGGGCCACAGGAAGTTTAGGGTTTAGGGATGTACAGGGAGGTTCTCAGACGAGAGGTTCTCAGACACTAAGCAGCTAGTAGCAGCTACCGGATAGCAAGTGAATAAGTGAACAGACCCGCTGTACTCTGCCCCATCAGCCAAGGCCAGGTTCGCGGCCCACCGCGAATCTGCATGACACACTGCTTGGACACCTGCATGACAACGCTACCGGAGACCTATTCGGGGGCTTCCCCGCAAACAGGGGCACCCTTTTGGCGGGTTCCTATGATAAGTATTGTAGTATTTTAGGTATACCCCTGAGCAAATTTCGTAGGGGTCACATGATAGGGCGGGGGGGGAAGGTCTGATACGAACGCTCTCGAGGCTTGCGGAACGCTGGAAGCCTTCAACCGATCCTGGGAGGTAAAAGGTGCCTTGACTGTAGCGCTGCCCAGGTTCATGATGTACATCCGATCACCTGAGATTTAGGGGGTTCAGGGCTTCTGCCAGGGTTGCGATACCCTCCTGCTGGGCTTTTGGTGGCGCACTCTGCATCCTCCAGTTTCAGACTCCCCGTCCACCTAACTAACGTAAATTTTGGAGACTCTAAGCCGAATATGGAGCTGTTTGTGGAGCAGCGGATCAGTTCGTGTGGGCAGCAAGCCTTTGTCCAGTTCTTCTCTTACGTAGCCTATAAAAGGTAAGCTAGGACAAGCTAGGAATTTCGTGTCGTGCTCATGGGAACCACGGACCTTGACCCTCATGTGCGGTGCTGCCTGTGCCACCCTCGCGGACGATGACCTCATGCGGGAAGTAGAGCTTCCTGCAAATGATTGGAGATGTTGACTTCAGTCACCCCTTCTCAGAAAAAAATCGGCGTCAGAACCAAAGACCCTTTCCCGGTTGTGGAGACCCTAAAGGGAACGCTACACAGGATTCCCGACATCTTTTGTTTGGGACTTCTTTTCACCACCCAGCTGTCTGCAAACCGATACCCTCAACTCTGCCGAGCCCTGCAAAGTTTGGGAATCAGGATCATACAGCTACTACCAGAGTAGAGAGTGCTCTCTAGAGCTCTTGCACGAGGCGCCTCACATCCACAATCCCTTAGCAATGGCAACTTCTTGGGTCTATACTTCAATGCCTACAGTAACAGCTGTGGCGGGAGTTGACATACTGCCGAACCACTCCCTTGACCCGAACGAGTGGGCCTCTCGCAGTTGACCCCAATGAGGGTTCGGAACTGCTGCGAGAAGTCCGCGAAGAGCTGGCCGAAGCAAGCAGCCGGCGGCATCATTGATAGTGCGTGTACGCAGCTGACCCAACGATCAGGGAGCTTTGGGGGTTGAAAGGAGTTTACAGGGGTATAGGGGTTCGGCTGACGTTGAGGCCGACCTTGTGGTAGATCACCCGTGGAGCAGCCAGCTTGTCCAGGTGATCCTAGAGCAGCTTTTTGCAATGCCAGAACATGACGCGTCGCCTCAGACTCGTGAAAGCTAGGTTGAGCTCTGCTGAAGCACGGCTTTGCACCGGCCGCAGCTTCCCAAAATGTACCCTTTCTGTTCAGTGCCTCAGTGCTGTCGCACAGAGATGGCAAACCCGGTGCCTCCACGAGCTTCAAGAAGTTCGTCCTTTCCACAGGGTGCCTGCACTGCGCATCTCACATCGTAGCATATCGTAGCTTGGGTGTCTCTGCTGGACTCAGACGCCCAATTCCGCTTCAGGCTTTTCACAACGGCCTCACATATTGTCACATTGTTATTTCATGTTATTTCATGTTATTTCATGTTATTTCATGTTATTTCATGTTATTTCATGTTATTTCATGTTATTTCCTACTACACTTTGCGCCAAGGCTGGGACCGATTGAGTATCGCCAGGATTTTCTGGTTCTCCACCTTCGCTCTGCTTCGTCCGCGTGGCATGCGACTCAGCTACTCAGCTACTTGCCCAGCAAAGGCATGATCCTGCGTCAGGGCGCTTGGATGACTCTTTCTTGTCCGGCCCACGACAATGCCAAAGCAAAAAAACTCACATGTCATGTGCACCTAGCTGTTTGCTGCGTTCAGCCTTCCAGGAAATTTTAACACCAACCGAATGTGGCAAGAGAACGACTACACTTTCACCAGAATCCTCCTGGAAATCAGCCGCAGCTCGTCTATGCACAAGGTCCTCACATTGGCCGTTGCCGCATGAGACCATCATTTAAACGGCCAGTAAAGCTTTGCTGGCTCCTTCTTGGAATCTGGCAATTGCCAGAGAGACCGTCAATCTCACTACCCTGATGCTAGACATGCAAAGGCACGCGCAAGGCCTTCACCCTCCGAGGACACATGAGGACGCCAGTCAGCAGCGGATGCTGGGACGTCTGGCATTCTGTTCACTTTCGACATCTGACGAACCCGTGCATCGTCCGATCAGCCACCGGGCGCAGCCCCTCGCCGGGCGCTGCCCTGCCTGAGTCACAAACTGCGAAAAATTTGGATACTCATAGTAGCAAGGAGAAGAACCATAGCCAGAAGAAGTGTAAGAACGGTTAGGGTCCCTGGTGTGAGGCAAGACCACGGCACACAAAACCCAAGTCCTCGGCCAGCTTCCGGGTCCGAGTTAAGGGGGATGATCTTGCTTCTTCTGGCCAATAAACACCCTGGACCCCCTAAAAGAACCATAAAGCACCACGCAGTATCTCCAAAGTCGCTGCTGTACTACCTCCGAAGCTCCTGCATCTCAACGTTCCTACAGTTCCGAAAGGAAACCCCTCCTTCAACCCATCGAGGCCCCAAAGACCCTGCACCCCAAAGACTCCAAGCCCCTTTGCTTGAAACCCAGAAACCAAGCTGAACCCCTAATCCCATGCAAGCCAGCCCAAACCAGGGGCCAGGCTTGGATCTCCCCTGCGGGTTGGTTTATTTGGGGATTGGATGATGTTGCGTTGGGGGTTTCCAAAATTTGTCCCAAAACAGCGGATGGAAGCGAAGGTACACGACATACGGACATGCTGGCATGTGTTCCCCATACATGTAGTAGCAGTGCACGCATGCATACATCTGTCTGCATGGGCATGCGTGCGAGCAAGCCCATGCATCTATGCGCGTTATCAGCATGGCATTTGTAGTTCAGGTGCGGCTAAGCTTTAGTGGAGCTTGGCGGATCGTGGCAATCTACACATACAGTACTTTGCATTACGCTTACCCAGATGCAGGCCAGCTCGTTGCGGCATGTTGCGTGTCGGATATTGCTGACGCATGCTCTTGCTCTTGCTTGGTGCTCGTACACATTTGTGGTCGACGGCTGTAGCGCTCGGTCTGTGCTGCTGCGTTCGAACTTTGGCCTGTGCTTGTTAACATGCATGCGCGCGCACACGCACATGTGTGCATGTCCACACGTTTGGATGGTGTTTGCAGAGACATGCATGCGTGTGCAAACACATATGCGTGCCCACGCACCCACACACGCGTCTGCAGACATTTGCATGCATTCGCACACGCATGTGTGCAGGTGCCGGCATATGGGTCCATGCGGAGAGACATGTTGTTGCACCGGGACGAATGATGTGCACACATTGTGCACACACACACACAACGCATACATGTGCCCATTGCATGTGTGCACACACACACATGCTTGTATGGGCACGCTATATGCTGCGCGCGGACAGCGGAGCGACATGCCAGACATGCTCTTGTGTGCGCGCACGTTTGCGTGCACCGCGCACAAGTCGTGCCCAAATACGTAGATGTACACGTGCCCGGACGTGGGAATACCACGGTGCCACCCGCAATTTGCATTCGACTTCGCAATAAAAGCGAGTCCGTCGCGGCGCACGTCTGGATCCGTCCACAGTAATTATTGGGTGTCTTGCCATCGATGTAGGACCAGTTCCAGAGCTCAGCGTTCGTTTCTTGAACCCTGCTCATTGATTGAGGTTTCGACGCCAACTTTCAAGTGCGCTTTTCTGGGAAACGCCCACTTGGTGTACATGGGCTTCGAGGGCTTTCAGGGGGTTTATGGGGATGTATTGGACTTGTAGCTCGTTGGTGGCGATCTTGTTGAGGGAGGTTGGGGGGTTTAGCATGGACCTCTCCCCATGCTCGCAGGGACCTAACCAGGACGTCCTTCAGGGTTCCAGTAACCTACATTAAATATATCACCCTAAACCCTCTCGGGCCATCTTGCATCAGTTATCCGAGGCAAGGCCTTCAGGCCGTGCTTTCGCGGCGCGTTCCGGTCGCCCTCGAGGATCACGAGGATGGGATCACGGTAGGAGGAGGGCCTCAGTCGACTTGGCGAGCCTTAGGGCATTAGTTTTCAGGGTCTGCGGGCAAAGCACTGAGAAGTTCCTGGCAGGCTCCCTGCTGGTCGCAGGCCCTTGAACCCTAAAAACCCGAAACTGCCCTAAGCCCCCTTAGAAACCTTTGAGGTTTGCACCTTCAATCCAATCAAACCCTTTAAACCTCTGGCCACTCTTGGCTTCCTGCACCAGCTCAGAGAAGAGCGCAATCTTCATGAGTGCCATCAAAGGCACACTGAGCCTTGTGGAGGGCAAAAAAAGCCAAGAACGAAAGAACACGACGACCGTCTCCCCCCATAGTAGGACTTTCAACATAAACAAAGCACAACGAGCATGGCCTCTCATCGTTGCTCATACAGTTTAAGGCCATGCTGCGTTCGTATTTATGTTGAGATCGACTCAGGCAGGCGCTACATTGGCATGCTGAACGCCGGAATCACTGCTAACTGCTAACACAAAACTCCTCCGACGCCATCAAGAGCAGGGTTCTAGGGCACTGACAGCATGCCAGTGGGCCCCCACAAATATCCGAAGACGCCGACTGACCTGAGCATGCGTTTGGGGTTTCGGCTGCAGGAAATTTAAACAAGCACTCGCTGACATGCATGTTGCGAAAGCCCAACCAACTTTTGAAAGTAGCAGCGGCGGTAAATGTGCGAACGCTAGCAGCAACCATTAAGCAGGTTCCGAAGGAACAGATGAGCCTCGATGTTGTTAGCAGTCGTGATTGTACGAGTAGTACTTATCAGTGCCAGTGTACCAGAGGCCATGCTTAGTGGAAGCGGTCGTCGTCCTAGTCGTGTTCAGTGTCATTACTGTGTTGGAGGAGGTGGAGGTGGAGTTTGAGGTGGAGGTGAGGCGGTCGTGGTGGTGGCAGAAGACGAAGATGGCATTGCGCAGGAGCAGCAGGTGGCAAGAATACTAGAGCAGAACTGACTAAGCGGTGGCAGTTGGTGGCGGTAGTTGTGGTAGAGGCCGCGGCGGTAGCAGCTCTCGTTAACCGTCCACCAGCAAGAGCAACCGTGGTCGAAACAAAGAGAACAAGATCCAGTAGCAATAGCCTTTGCAACCTCAGCATTCCAAAGAAACAGCATGTAGCCCCCTGCGCCGCTAAGCTGTTTCTGTGTCGCTACTGCTACTGCCGTGGACAGCACCCACCCATGCCACAATGGCGTCAACTCCACACCCTTTTCGAAATCTCTGAGCTCAAGGCAAGAGGATCATGACTGGATGCATTCGGAGCTTCTTGTCGCTCTCAATAAGCTTCACCTTGGGCCGGGGCCGCTGCCGGTACTCGTTTCAGGTTGCAATGTAACTGTCATGCAGCTCAGGCCAGTGGATCACCCTAAGGGGATTACAGAGAACATACCAGTTCCATACATTGACAAAACGGCAAAGTTCAAACATCCTGTAGCTTTCATGATTCGGTGCCTCAATGATGTTGCTGAAGGCAAACTTCAGGGCCAGCTGCCCAATAATGGCCACGAAAAGCACCTGCCATCGGAAGGGTCAGGCTGAGTGAACCACGGTCATGGGGCTCACACCCCCTCTCGCAACTAATGTCATTGGAACCCCAGGCATGTGCCATCAACCAGCAGTGGTCTAAGCTTCCCCACCAGCATTGGCCGCTCGATGCGGCTGTCAAGAATAATGACAGGGCATGGTAAGACCTTGCAGGATCGATCTACAAGGACGCGTGCAGCATGGGTGTAGCCGGCTCGTTCAGAACACAACACGTGCTGAACTCTTCTACTACTATATATTGCAACAAGCAGAAGCTCGGAGAGATCTTGAACAGCTTGGTGAAGGTAGGTGGGCACGTGCCAACAAGGGGCGGGTGGAGCCCATCTAGACCCAAATCCCTCGGTGGCTCAACAAAGCCAACAGAATCCTTGGTTGTCATCCGCTCAGGGCCCGTCCATGGCAATGAAGGGGCCTACCTGGCAAAACATATGAGGAAACGTGCGGCCGGTTCTCGCGACCAGCATATCACACTGAATCTTTGTGATAGTGATCGTAGTGCATTGAGAACGCAGCTTTCGTCAGGACTGGCAGCTGGGGACGGCATCTTTAGTCAGCCGAAGCCCCAAACCCCAAAACCCCAAAAGCCTACACTCTAAACTCTAAACTGCATATAAACCCTATCTAAGGCCCCAAACCCCAAGCCCTTACGCCTTCAAAACCCAAACAATCCCGCATGAGCTTGGCCTCGGGTACGAAATTCAATGCGAAGGTCGTCAGCGCGAAAACCGACCTTCGAAAACCCAGCTCAGCAGCTCGTTTTGGGCTTTGGGGCTTAAGGCTGTTGATTTGGGGCCCTTTCGTCTATATCTCGAGGGCGTCTTATCGCAGGATCGCAAGCGGCCATAATCCTCAAGAAACCCCCGGAATCAGGGACTATCTTCTTTCGTCCTAACGCACACATTCATGATGCATGAGATACACATTTCATGACGGAAGCGTTCTTGTGTTGATTTCTGGGGTTAGCCCTACAGCTGCACAACCTGGAATGATCCTCTCAGGTGATCTTGGCGACTGCACGCTCAGCCCCGAAAATCCACCAAGCCCCCTCGACCCCACCTCTCGGGCTCTGGGGATTGGGCGCGAGATCCACTGAGAGGAAGTAGAGAAGAAGCCCTGCCGAGATCCCGTAGCCGAAGCATGCGAGGGTCTTGAACCTCTCGTGGCGCAGGGTCCGAGGAAACTTGACGTGACTGCACTGCTGCACTGCTGCACTGCTCAAAAATTCGCCTAATTAGCATCTTCCATCGTATCTCTCTAAGGCGATTCACTTCTTGTGCTTCTCGCAGTTCAAATCGGGTGCACAGCCCAGCCAGATCACGTGCTCATGCGCTGCCCAAATCACAGGCTCGACCCTAAATGCGCAATCGGCTTGGCATCTGGCATGATGTACTTTCGAAACATGACGTCCACAGATGAGTCCTTGGAAGCCGTGCGAATTAACAACAGCTTACCCGTTTGTTTGGGGCTATCTCGTCATCGTCATCCACGACCCTCTAATTCCTGAGCCCTGTTTCCCCCCAATGCACCCGCAAATTACCTCAAGGTCGCTTGCTTCTTTCGTCGTGCTTCGTCAAGATAGGTGCTCGGGATTCTGGCAAGACGAAACTCCTCTTCCTGAACTGAGGCCCTGTCCATGGGTACCGGGCTGCACAGCCAAAAGAGCGTGTACAGCATCGTCAGCAGCACCTCGGGCACTCCGAGCGCAGTTTCTGAAAAAAAAACTGTTGACCCCGTTCTTGCTTAACGGGCTTTGTCGGGGGAGAACCCGTTTCAAGGAGGTGATAAGGAGACGCCGCATGAGTTTGGCGTTCTGAAGGGCCGCTGAGCCCTGCGCGCCCAGAATCAGGGAGCTGACGTTGTTCACGATGTTACCTGCCGAAACAGGACAGGGGTTGCAACATGTTGCAACACCTCAGGCTGAAAGCCTGCAAGCACAGCAGGTCATGCACCAAACATGGCCCCAAGACCCTCAATTTTGAACTTCAGGCACCTAGAAGCGAGTAGAAAAGATCTTGCGCGGATTTCACGGTGTCGGCGCTCACCTCCTGTCCAAGGGGTTTACAGCGAGCAAGACTAAGTTTTCTGGCGTGATGCCGCTTGTCAGCTTCCGAAGCACGCAGCTCGAGTTTGCACCAAACTGCATCCCTTCCTGCAACCGTGAAAAAAAGCGCCCCACACTCAAAACAGCCAGCTGCAAGCTGCGTGTGACCTGGTACTGCTTCTTGAAGCTCTCCGGAACTTTGCTGAAGAGCGAGAAGAGATCTCGTGTTAGCTGATCCGCCCCCTGGAGTACAGGACACTACGAGGGCAGGGTACAGTACAAGGCATCATGTACGGTAAGCGCTTGCTCTGGTGGGGCAGGCAACCTGACAAACCCTAAGAATCTGATACAAGAGTGGAGCATATCCAACGAGTAGCAACTTCACAAGCGATACTTAGTAGCAAGTGTTGTTTCGGGATCTTTAAAAAAAGTGCAGTGATCACAGATGCGACTGCATGATGTGGCCAGCTGGTCAGCAGTGCAGTTGCGGCCACAAGCGAAGAACGGCACGGGGTGAGGCCTTTTGGTACACATCCCAGTGATCCTGCATGTGTCTGGCGGACTCCATGATGAGGAGCCCAAACACAGACAGCCTCAGATTCTGCGGCCAGCTCCGGCTAATACACGTCGGGTCTTGAACAAGTGTCAGTGTCAGTGCAATGCAGCCCATGATCCCCAGCGCCCTGGAGGGCATCAAATTGGCTCTCAGCTGGCTCTCAAGAGCGACAGGAGGAGTGGAATTGAGTGGATTGAGTGTTCAAACGGAGATCTTCCACGTGAGCACCAATCGTAAGCCTCGGGCAGTGCTAGCATGCCCATGGACGCCATCCTCAGCCAAGTCAACCAGGTGGTAAAATCAGTCATCCACAGTGCCGCTAGAGAAATCTGAAATCCAAGACTGAGGCCATCGGTTTGGGCTGTTTGGGGTTGAGGGCTCATTTCTTGGCAATAGTATGCACTTTGCCTGTGATCTGTGCAGGACATCACGGGATTCGGCATGGCTATTATTGATGCAGGAAGATGCTGTGTGGTTCATTTAATAAACATCAACATAAGAAGTTGTGCCGTAATCCGTGCTTGCAAAATTAGTGAAACATTCACTACAGGGCTCGGTGTCGTATTACTGTCGTAATCGGAGATCCATGCCAGAGCAGCATACCTTTTTCCGCTCGCAGAACCCGCGCTGGGACGCCCCGTGGGCGGGGAAGTAGGCACGCAACCACGCGCGACTGCCTGGAATGTTCGCAGCTTGCAAAACTCTGTCAACATTTCAGTCCCCTGAGCGAATGATTCAATAGGGCCCCTCTGAAGTCAGCGCACAAGCGCAGCCGTGTGTTCGAGTTCGCTCTTTCATGATTGTAGGACAGTAGGACAGTCGATTCAACCTTCACCTCTTCAATTCTCCAACTGCAGACGCTTAGTTCTGAATCGGTTGCCTGTGCCTATCATGCCCAAAAATCCTCCTTACAACGAGTACCCAAACAAGGACACATGCCCGTATCACTTCCAGATCACATCCTACTCCACCTTGCTCTGCATCTTTGAAGCCGGCGCAGACCCCTAAGCCCTTAGTGCTCTCTAAAACTCAACTGCAGCAGATTCTTGCTTTTGAAGTTGTGTGTGTATATGTATATATATATATATGTATATTTGTATATGCATAAATAAGTAGGTAAATACACAAACACACAAACACACAAACACACACATACAAACAAGCATACATACATACATACGTACATACATACATACATACATGGTCTTCATACAAACATACCTACATACTTACATACGCACATGTTGTATACCCGTTATACAGCAAATAAAGAAATACACTTAGGTGTGCGACATACATACATATGCATACATATGAGCTGTATATATATATATATACCATATAAGATCTAGATTATTGTATTATAGAGAATCTAGATATCATTATCTTGAATTTAAGGCGATACTAGATACCAGTCTCAATATCACATGTAATCATGTTATCATACGTCATCATCATACATCATATCAGGTAGAAGGTCGCTAAACTCAAAACCCAAAACCATAACCCCTAGTATTGCAATGCCACGGCACCACAAGGCGCACGGCAGCCCAGTAGCTACCTCCATCATCGTGCCCAGGTGCCGCAGCAACTCCAGCGCGGTTTAAGGTAGGGGTTTAGGTTTTCGAGGTTTCAGAAGTTCAGGGTATCTGGGGTCTAGGGTTTCAGAGTCTAGTTCAGGATTTGGGGACTTTGGGGCTGAATGGTTTAGGGGGGCTTTGGGTTTAGGGCCTTTAAGCTTTTATGGGAGGTGCTCAAGATTCTCTTGTAGCCTTTGCAAGGTTCAATCCACCGACGCCCACATTAAACCCGCCGCACAAGTTCCATGCTCCAGACTTACGAGCCTGAGCCTCAGACTGGGCACAGTTTCCACCGAATTGAATCATCACCACCGTTCTATATGTAAGCACGAGGGGAACATGAGCTGTGAAGACGTGGCTTCTACGAAGCGTAAGTAAACCTGCTCGCGCAAGGCTTCAGCTTCTGCACATGCTACGCTCTCCACAATCGAAACCTTCGCAAAACACGGGGGAGGAAAAGCGTTTCATAGAAAGACAAACCGGCGCAAACCTGCATGAACAAATCCTATACTCCAAGCGGTCACGGCAAGGTCAAATTGAAAATTCGCGCACGTTCTCTACTACTAAGGCATTTGGCTTCATTTACCATTAACGGTAGTCAAACCCTCTGTTTCTGGAGGCCTCACGCTGCGCACAGATCTCCCCAGCGCCGCTGGCGGCAACACCGTCGGCGCTGAAGACAAGCAGCCGAGGGCCTCTTGCCAAGATGGAGTCTTGAAAGGGGGGCTTTGAAGCTTCGGGGTAGGGGTTTCAAGATTTCCGGTGGTTTGGGTGTAAGGGTAGATAGAGGGTCTTTGGGTTTAGGCATAACTAACTCAATTCTGCTGACTATGCAGTTGATGCACAATGCGCCCAGCAAGACGTTCTCAGGGAAATGTTAGCATGTAAACATGTACGTCGATACCGTTCCTGGCAGTTACATGACGGAACGCATGTATTACACACGAAAACATGCAGGCGAGACGTGGGATGGATGGGGTGAACGTGGATCTATTTCTAGATCCATGGACTGAAACATCCCTTCCCATTCAGACGACTGCACCTTCAACCCCCTAATTCTCCCCCCACACAATCTGCTAAACAATTCCTCGACTCGGCCCCAAACCCTTGCGAAGACCCAAAGCGCAAGCGAGGTGCAGAGAGCCCTTGGCCCTGAAGCCACAAACACATCTTGCAGCTGCCTCCGTGAGCTCCAACCTCTGGTGGCTTGGGCTTGGGGTTTAGGGTTAAGGCCCTGGGCCTTAGGCTTTTGAACTCAGGGCTAAACCTTCTGAGCGCTGTAAAACCCTGAAGCCCTAAAAAGCTTTTGCCTCCGAAATCCTCAGGCCGCGGCTGTCGCGCAGCTGCGCAGAGGGCGCCCAGGTGTGAGGCGCCGTGAGAGGTGCCAGATAGACCTCCCCTGGGCGGAGGTCAGCAAAATGGAGAGACTGAAGGAGGGGCTACATGTTCTTCAAAGGTTATGACTCCTTTCAGTTCGGAGGTTTGGGAGGATCCACGGCTCGAAGTGACCGCACGTGAACCCCTGAACCCATAACCACCTCCAAACCAAAACACTACAAACCAGGACCGGATGACCGGCTCAACTCCCTGCAAGACCTCCCCCAACTCCCTGAACAAGGCTTTATGGTAGGGTCTTTGGAAACGGGAAAAGACAAGCCTCAGTTCAGGCGCCCAAGGTTTAGGGGGTCTCGGAGGGTTTAAAGTTCGAAGAAGCTTTTTTGGCTCCAAGGAGCCGCCACGCAGCATGACCGCACTGCCCGGCCTAGGCCAGATGTCGCCTGCATCCCAGGTCTTGGCTTGAAGGTGCTGGTTTCAGTGCTTTGGCTATTCGGGGTTTTGGGATTTTGGGTTTATCGTTTAGGGGCAGTAACATGCTAATTAAACCGTCATGGCAAGAAGAGAACGGAAGAGCACGATGCTTCAAGCTGAGGGACCCAAAAGCCCAGCAGCCCAGGCCTGTCTAGTGTGGGAGAATCTCCCCATGTATATCCTCGGAAATAGAAAAGTCGATAGGTCCTCTGAGGACAATCAGGGGACTACAAAAATTCCCCCCAAGGGCCTACCGAGTCATGAAATGATTTTACACAGAGACGGAACAGAACGCTAAGCCCTCAAGTCCCTAAAGCATCGCGCTCCTACCATGGCGGCCAAGCACCTGCATGTGCAGACGGCGCCGCCGAAGCGTCAAACGCGGCCATGTGGCCATCAAAACCATTCTCGTCACCTTGGTCTCAGACTCGGCAAGGGGGTTTTATAGGGTTTATAGGGTTTAGGCCTTAGGGGTGGAGGAGCTTGTGACCAAAAGCGATCTAGCAGTTGGTGCGAAGGGAGATGCCAGGTTTCTAGCTTCAACTCGTTCCCTGGGCTCGGAGGCAGAAGAAGCCCTTTGGCCCTTTGGGGCCTCGTGGGCTGGACTGCGGCATCTTGTGGAGGGAGGGAATGTTATGACCTCTGGGTGTGAGCTGAGCTTCTGCCACGACCTTCGGGGGCTTCAGCCGTCGCAAGCTCGCGCGCCTGCATCGTACCTGAGCTGTCGCCGCACTTTGGCCTACTTATGGCCTGTGTAGATGGCTACGTAAGCCTGAACTTGTACGGAGAAGGAGGGATGCTTCGGCCACCATCTGCGCTTGCAGCCTAAGTGGCACTCGATGAAATCCAAACGAACCTGCAGCAGTCACATGTTCGGCGACATGGCAATGCCAAAATCTTGCCAGGAGAGGCTCGCAAAGCAGCCCACAGCGACGAAACCTCATCCCACAGCCGGTGACAGAGGACTGTGCCTTTTTGTAGCTCTGCAGAACCTTTATGATACCTGTTCCCAGAAATCTGAAGCCCGCCTCCCAAGCATCATCTAAGAAGCGGCTGCCGCCCGCATGTGCCCGATCCCCAGCAGCATCCTCAGGTTCGAGTGAGATGTCGAATAGTTCTTGCTTGTTATCGCCCTCGACAACCTTTGATCGCCCTCTACAACCCTTGAAGAGAATTTTGTAGGCACCCTGTAATTCCAGCAACTACGAAGAACCAGTTAGCCAATCCAGAGGACAAAGAGATCCTGGCTTCAAAACTGTTGGCGACGCTCGAGTGTGACAAGTTGATGCTTCAATGCCTTCGTTGGTGCAGTCTAACCTTCAAGTGCGACGCACTTCGAGTCACCCTCCATACACTCTCGCCCCCCCCCCCCCCTCCCCAATCACACACTAGTGGCATCTTTCCTGCAGCTGGCAACATCAATGTAACATCAACCTCAACGTTCGGAACATGTAGCCCTCTGAAGGCGTCAGCGCCCAACTGCTTAACAGGTACACCCCGAACCCTCAAATCCCTCAACTAAAAGCCCCTCAAACCCCAAACACACAAAAGCTGACAAGTATGCCTTCAAGCCCAGCCTAAAGAAGCACCCTAATCCCTCAAACCCCAAACCCTAAACCCTAAACTTGTGAAAACCCGCCCCTGCTGAAACCTAAACCTCTGAACCCAACCTCCGCCAGCCGCGCCCCGCCCAGCACCAGCAGCGAGCGCCCACCACTTCCAGGAGGGGGGAAGGCCAGGAGCCTTCAGCTCCGAGGGTTTAGGTTTTTAAGGTTTAAGGTTTAGGGTCTAGGAACTAGGGTCTAGGGTCTAGGGTCTAGGGTTTAGGGTTTAGGGTTTAGGGTAGGGTTTAGGGTTTAGGGTTTAGGGTTTAGAGTTTAGAGATTAGTTTAGAAGAGCTTGGGGAACTGTTCGGGTTCAACCTAACATAGGGTTCCTCGAACCCAAGGTTCTAAGATGTGGATGGTAGCAGAAAGAAGGAGGAGCTACGAAAGCACAACGTCCTTTCTGTGGAGCGCCAGGGAGCGGCGCGCTACGTGGCTCCCAGTCCTTCTGCTGGCGCTTGCTGGGCAGGAGAGCTTAGGTGTACCGGCATCTTCTAGTACCTGTTTAATGGAGATACATAATCGAGAAGCTAGCTGTAGCGTGGCTCTGGTGATGTGCCCATGGACTTCGATGGAGAGCACACAACTTGTGGAAGAAAAACCCCGACCCTAAAGCAGGGAGAGGAGGAAAGCCGGAGAGGAGGAAAGCTGTGAACATGATTGGGAGCGAGGTTCGGGTGTCGCGACGCTGTTCCAGGTGGAGCCAGCGTCGGCGGAGATCCAGAGATCTCGTTCAACTCGGAGTCCTACTCCTGGGACAATGCCTGAGAAGACCGGTGATAGTTGCATGTGCCTTGTTGTTTTGGTGGAGTGTGATAAGTACAAGGAGCACGGTCGGTTCAGCATCACTATCCTATAGCAGTCCTAGCAGCTCGTGCTCAAGACGTACACTTGGGGCTCCGATCGTTTTCGAGTTTGCATGGGCTGAGGGCTGCCGTTTGACCCCGGATCCGCCTCCGAGCACGAGCACTTGCTCGTACTTGGTCGGGACCACACTGAGTCCTGATGCTGCAGGCTGGGACTTGAAGAATGAGGTAAAGCACTGAACCCTCAACCCTCAACCCGAGCTGAGTTGCCCGTTGCAGAATTAAATCGCCGCCACATCTCGCACATGGGCACACCACAAAGAAACACCACAGCGTAGACCATGACTTAGAGTCCCCAAAAACGAGGTCCTGGATCCAAGCGCCCACCCCAGGGAACACGGCGGCACATGCAGTACCTCGAGTTTAGAGTTTAGGGTTCAGGGTTAGGGCTTAGGAACCCAGCACACCCTCAAACCCCCAAAGCCCTGAAGCCCGAGGACTTATTTCCGGAAGCTGGTTGCTTTGCGGTTTCAGCAACAGATGTTGAGGCGTAAGGTTTGGCGGAGCATTTGTTGGTGAGCTTGTTGCTGAGCCACATGGATGTCGAGTGGATGTCTTCCGGCTTCTAAGCAAAGAGGTAGCACATCCCAAGCAAAGTCCCGTCAGAAAAGGCTCAGAATTCGTAATCGTAGCGAAGAGATTGCCAAGGCTGCGAAATGCGCATTTTCACGCAACCATAAACCTCCCTGACCTGACGCTTCCTTACACTCCCTGCGGTTTGAACAACTCCTGGAACAACACTTCCAGCCACAGGGTTTGAGGGTCTTAACCCCCAAGCCCCAAACTCAAAAGGTAAGCCCGAAACCCTGAAGCCCGAAGCCTAATCGTCACCAACCTTGCTTGTTCTATAGAAGGCCCCGAACCAAAGGCCAGGTGGCACCTTTCCATGAAGCCTCTGAAAAACAAATTCCTGCTTGAAGATGGTTTTAAGACCCGGAACCCCAATAACAACAATCTATCACCGATTAATCCGGGACATTACAACTAACCAGCCTATATCGGAATATATTAAAATTGTATGCTATATGTTAAAAGTATTATACTGCGTTGTATACAACAACATAATGGAATGCACGCATAAAATTCCTACATATATATATATATATATAGATTTACATATATATATATATATATATATATATTTATTTATTTATTTATATAATGTAATATATATATATATTATGACAGTTCTTATATCATCATACTTTACAGGACATGACATGCCCTGGGGGTTCGAGTTGCCAGGTACGGCCGCCATCCTCCGAGGCCCAGAAGTCCTTCGCAGGCTGTGTTAGGCTTCATTGAGGGGGGGGGGGGGGGGGGGTTTTAGGGTTCAGGGTTTAGGGTTTAGGGTTTCCGGTTTCGGGTTTAGGGTGGGGGGGGGGGGGGTTTTCATATGCTTTGCCCCCTTTTTTTGATTTAGTGGTTTTGGTTGTTTAGAAGTTCTTTTTTGGGGGCTTTTATCTGGGGTTTCATAGGGGGGGGGGGGGGGGGGGGGGGGGGGTTATCGGAGGGAGTATAAGGGCTTTGTGGGGCTATGGGACTTATGTGGTTTATACGGTTTAGGTTTCGAAATTTAGGTGATTACTCAGCCGAGCGGTGTGCTGTGCTACAAACGAATGTTGTCTCCAGTCTAGCGTGGAACAACAAAGACATAGACATAGAGCTGATGACGGCTGGAAGGTAAGCTCGATCAAACAAAACATTTCGTGACAGAGCATGATAAGAAGTACACTGCATGATACGGTGCGTCGTGAAGTATACATTCTCGAGACCTCTGGGCAGAAAGCGCCCTGGCCGCCCGTCACCTTAGCAGAGTCTTCAGCTTTCAAGTCTTTCAAGCATCCGTCTCAAAAACATGGGGGGTGGGGGGGGGGGGGGTCGGGGGGTGCGAACCTAAAACCCTGAACCCTCAACCCAAATGCTTGCATGCTCTTGCGACGCCAACGAAGTGCTTCAGGGAGCAACTGGAACGGAGAACTGAGCCTCACATAATATACCACATACGAGATATAATTACATATGTATATATAAGTACATAATTGAATATAGGTTTCTACATGTTCAAGGAATTTACATGGGCATTGGTACTCGTTTTGGCTGCGATGGGTTCATAATGGTTCATAGAGAAGCAGAGAAGCCTTGGGGCACCCAAGAACATGAAACACTAACGAGGGCGCCACTGGGGGTCCTAGATGGAGTTGCAAGCTGGCGGCGTACAGCGCCCTTGCTGCTCCCCCCTTGGCGCCGAGAACACCTGCGGCGGCGAAGCGCGAGCGGCCAGGAAACTTGGAGAGCATCAGCTGCCCATCCTTGGATGTTATGTTAGGGGGTTCAGAGTTTCGGCCTTGGGGGGGCCAGGGGGTTCAGAGTGGTTCAGAGTCTGGGCTTTGGGGGACTTCGGGTTGCAGGGTGTAGATTGTAAAGACTCTTCTGTTTCTGAGGGGGGGGAGCAAGCTGCTGCGTTTCTGATGATTTGCGATGATAACTACTACACCCTGTCCTGCACACTTCTTCTTGGAAGCACCATGTCCCATCATGTGCGGCTTCAATCCTGCGTGAACCATCTTTCGAAGCTAGAAGGACGGCGACACCCAAAGTTTTACACTCCCAATACCAGAAGGCCGTAAACACCCAAACTCCTTTCGAAACCCGAATCATCCCGATAAACCTGTAAAGGTTCGACTAGGCACTCCAAACCCTTAAAAGGCATATTCAACCTCCACTTCACTTCATTTCACAACCTTAAGGAATTTTCCCAGCGGCAAGTGGGTCGCGGCGCCCCTCCTGGTGCTCCGAAACTTCTGACCAGGCCCAATCCGTCACCCCACCTGCGACGAGGAGCTCCCTTTGTTCGGCTTCTCCCCCCAAAAAAAAACTGAACCCTAAAGCCCAAAGGCCGCAAACGGAGCGACTACACCGAAAGAAACAGGTCTTGCCTTTCAGGGGCTTCGTCGTTAGACTTTCGGAGTGTATAGAGTCGAAGGACCAGAATGACGGTTTGGTGTAAGGTTCATCCCAGCTGCCCAACACGAAGCGACGACACATTTTGCTTCTCCGGGGTTCTTGAGTCTCTTGTTGAGCATTCCTAAATAGGAACCTCTTGAACCCTTTGACCTTAGTCGGAAGCACAAACCTCCACAGCAGCCTATAGGGGATCCTAGGGGAGCGCCCTGAACGTACCTGTAGTTGCCAAGGAGGCCTATGGCGTCACTTTTGCTGCAAGGCCGCCGACGTTACACAGCCGCGCGCACCAAACATCGTTGAGGTGGATGCGGCCATTGCCTCAGGTTCTCGTCAGGCGGTTTGCGTATTGTGTCATGCCCCTGACCTCAATGTATTCGCCTGTCTCCTCAAAATAGAAGAGGGTACGCAGCAAGTACTGTGGATTTTTGGGGGACAAAGCCAAGCCAACTTAAATTTTGAAGCCAACTGATCCTCTGAGCCCAAGCTGCTACCGCCCAAGAGGAAGAAGGTGTCTCCAGAGGAGAGGGCGACAGCAGCATAGTGATGCCGAGGAAAGAATGCACAGCCGGGCAGCTCCTCTTGCAAGCAGCGAATTCGTCTTGAAAGGATCGTTGGAGTACTGCTACGTTAGGTTTCATAGGGTTCTCGGGCTTTTTGGGGTTGTGTGTGGAAGGGCTAACTTTTTTCTTGCGAGGCTCGCTCGAGACCACGTGAAGGGTGAGGCACATATAAGTGTGTGAAACCCTGTGGGGCCATCGGCCAGAACAACGCCGACCCGAGTCCATGCTGACTTCCTCGGGTCTAAAGAACAAAACATCTGCCCCAAGCCAGAAGCCCGGCCCTAAGCCCTCAACCCTAAACACCCTGAACCCTCGCCCCCATACACCCGAAACCTCGTCCTCCCCAAAGCCCCAGCCCCACCTGCAGCGGAGCCAAGAAGAGGCCTTGGCCGAGGCGCCGCCCCTCCGCGGGCCGCTGCGGCGTTGGCGCGGCAAGGGGCCCTGCGTCGAGTCGGCTTTTAGGGGTGTGGGTCTGGGGTCCGGTGCTTAAGGTTCAGGGAGGAAGTTTAAGAGGTTTCGGGGCTTCATAACTTCGAGTTTTTAGGTGCTGTTGGCAGGGGTCTGGGGCTTGCATAGGAAGGGGTTTTGGGGTGCAGGGCCTGGCATCGTGGCACATCAGCAGCTGCGCAGCAGCAGGCAAACGACCATCAGCTGCCAAGTGGATCTCCGACGCGTAAGGAAGCGCAAGCTATTAGGATGAAAACTACCCCAACAAAATGCCAAAGAAAGGCTACTTCCGGGATGCTGAGTTACATGCTGCGATCCCGCTCAAAGGGACTCAATGCACCCAATACCTACCTCTAAGGCCAAAATAAGACATACTTGGTGTGTACGTAGATCTTTGCTCAGTTGATTCATCATTTTTTTAGTTTCTTTTTATTATGTATGCGTATTTTCCATTTGCACATCTATGAATCTATGCGCAAACACCTATCTGCAATCTAGCTTACGACTTGCTTTTGCTCTGGCTCTTCGCCCGGAACTGCTTTGGTTCCTCGAACTGCTGCAGGCTCCTGCCCTCCCACTTATCTAAGGGAGGGTTGCAAGCTCCCGGTCATAGCAACCGCGGCAGAAAAAACACGACCCCCCCCCCCTCCCGCACAACATCCGTAAGACACTCCTGTGGGAAACAACGTAAGTTTAGGCCTCAAGGGATCTTTGACCCAAGGTCATTCTATGCCAAAGCCAGGTTTTGCGGGCAGCTACGCATCGTGTAAGGGCCTCGGGGTAATGACCTCCAAAGCTAGTACGTTGTGGGCCCGTGGTGGGCTGACTTTGTTTGGTGTCGTATCGGTTGAGGGTTTTTAGGTTCTATGACACAAGGCGCAAAGCACGAGGGCATGTCCGCGTTGGCCCTTCTGAAGCCCTCAAAATTCCTGAGCTCTAAAACCCCAGTAAGGGAGGCATGAAAAATCTCAAGGGTCTATCTTTAAGTCCTGGACCCCCAAAGCCCGTTCGCTGGTCTTCGTGCCGGAAGCGCTCTGGGCTCCCGGCAGCACAGCTAGGCCTCTGGCCAGGGCACGCCGCAAGGAGGGTCGGCCTGGCTCCAGCCCGCCGTCACTCGTGGATGCAGTATGTAGCAGTCGGAAGCTGGCGACGGAAGCCACCCCATCCCACCTCCAAGGAATAGCGAAGTCAAAGGAGCTTGAGAAAATTCGGTAGTGGGAGGGGCACCTCCATCTGCATGGGCCTCCCAGTCCTCCTCGTCCACATCTTGGCAACCTGAAGGCTGGCAGACCCGGTTTTGAAAGAGGCCCTTTTGCCGTTTTCCTAGGATCCCATGTAGCCCATGCAAAACTAGCCAACTCCCACTCTTGAGGGCGGCACAAAACCTCGGACTGGGAGTGACATGGGCCATATGGGCGTGTCCCAGAACCAAGACAAGTACACCGAGAGTCGCAGGCCAGGTGGAACCAGCACGTACGAAGGAAGGACAACTACGGGGCAGAGGCGCGCCCAGAAAACAAGTCAACGAAGGGCAGAGTCTCAGATCAAGAGCTCCCATAGATGTATGTATGTTTGTTTGTATGTATGTATGCATGTATATGCCCTCTGCATTTTTTCGTACTCTGACTCACGCCAGAACTGGGCTTTGGTGCTACGGGCCTACAAGCCGAAACCGCAAGAGAACCCAGTTCAGCATCGTGCCCTGCCAACAGCCCTGGCTGCAGCCAAAGGAGCTTTCGCGAATGCTGCGCTGGCCTCGCGAGTCATCAGGCAGGACCTCCAGGTATTTAGGGAAGGCTTGCCAGAGACTGACAAAGCTGGAGGATGAGACCGTGCGAACACCACGAAAAAGTAAAAACTAAGCAGTCGCCGATGTGGTGTGGCCACCTCTGTGACGGAAGGCTAAGATTGGATGCGTGGGGCATTGGAAACCGCAAAGGCTGCTTTTTGCGAGCAGAATGCAAAATCTGAGGGCTTGGGGTTGGGGCTTTTACGGGCGTAGTGACAATGGATATAACAAGCACTGAGCAAGTTATACGTATGTCCCGCAGAGTGGCAGCAGGAACTCTCACAACCCGAAAAACTGTAACCCTAAGCTGCCTCCGGCAACATGGGCGAGCTCTCGCTCCTATCGCTGCCACGCTCGATCATTGAGTCGAGCTCACCTGTTGCTGTGGGGTGGGGGGGGGGGGGCTCATGACTACCATGACTAGACAAGATCATGCACTCGTATGTATGGAGCCGTGCGCTCAAGCTCTTCCGGCTGTGACTTGGGCCCTTGAAAGAAGTATCACCGACACCCATATACTCTCAGCCCTATAATAATTTTATTAATAATAACAATACCAATAAGAATAACATACTACTAATAAGAAGGAGAATCATCATCATCATCATCATCATCATCATCATCCCGTAAGCCCTAGAAACTCTGCAGAATCCACACTCCCGTCAGGCCCGGGCCGTCCATGCCATCGAACTCATCCTCCGAGTCGTGCCCTTTGGCGCAGGGCAGCCGCACAGCCTTAGGCCTGGGGGCCAGAAGCTGCTGAAAGCTGGGTAATGTAGGGGCCTTAAGAATTTTGAATGGGGTTTTGGGGGTAATTCTAGTATAATTTAAGGGGACCAAAATAAGAGAGTACTATCAGTAATTATTATTCCGACCCCTAGAGTAACCCCTCAAAAGCCCCTAAACCCTAAACCCCAATGAGCCGGAACGAAAACCCGGATTTGACCTTAAAGGGCTTTGTTGGAGTTAGGGTTTACATGGATGTACCGAAGGGCCCCAAGGAGAGCAGAGTTCTGTTTTTGGAACCTTGGGATCGTCAATGCCAGGACCCATTGAGCCTATCGACGACTCTCAGATGTGTCGTCAAGTATATAGCTATATCTCCTAAAGAGATAGATGTATACTATGATATCTAGAATATCTCTACTTAAAGCAGGTCATCACGAGTCGCATGGCGGTTCCGTGACATGCTGAGCATCCAAGCAGGTCTGAGCGCAGGCCGGGAAACGCCACCGCCAACCTTGCTGCGAGCAAGCTATGGTCGGTGCCCCAAATGGGCAAGTACCCGAGTGCGAACCTTATCGTTTTGTACACTCCTTCTTATTTTACAGGGTAAGCGATGTTTCCGAGAGCTGGCTGGTTTTGTATTGCTCTGTAGTACAAGCTTTGAAGGCATGATATTGAGATAATGAGCGTAGGGGTGGGTGGGAGGGAGAGGGGGTGGGGGGGATGGTAAACATGAAGAGTTAAGCCCATGTAACGAAGGACACCAGAACACAAGGGGTTCAGGGATTTTAGTGGGAAGCTCCCAGACCATCGTGGGTGATTGGGCTACTGAGTACTGTCGCTACAGGGTGTGATCGATCTGTAGTCAGGGGGCCAAGGCAAGACCCAGGCAAATGTCAACTCAATTACTTCCGTTCGCGAGGTCACTGAATGTTGATCATTTGCCGAACTTCAGAACCATGTCGTGAGGGTGTACAAACAGTGGGATGGTGTTGAAAGATGGTCGGAGGCGGACTTTGACATTGCAATGTTAACGAAACCTCCGAGCCAAAGCTCCATCAAGTACTCTATTTGGCCGTCAAAGTGCTTGTACAGCTCCCAACATAACAGCGAAAGAAGGCAAATGGGGGGTTTCCGAAGTTAGGGGTCCTTTTTAGAAGGGAATCCTACTATTTGGGGGTCTATGTTCGGGGTCCCTTACCTTCGGAAGCCCCCAAATCACCTTCTTCCTTGAGCACTACTCGGGCGAAGGCATCAGCTCCAGACGAAGCTCGATGCCGTCCACGACAGGCTTCCAGGCCTCGGCAGTTCATGATGCGACACACCATGTAAACCCTAGAAACATTACTATGAGCCATTATGATTCCGACTATGCATCCTATGACACCGCATGCTTGCGCAGGTAGGAAATTGAGGTTTGGGCCATTGAGGCTTTGGGTTACAGTCAGGGAACTGGGCCCTATGTGATTTGAGGGACGAAAGGATGAACATCTTCACAGGAGGCTCTTAACATGTGGGAGGCGCTTCTATCCTGGTGGCTCAGTTTAATCAACCTACAGAACCCGATACCCTTCTAACTCTTGAAGCCCTGAACCCCCAAACCTCGGCGGGCAAAGCTTGGGCGACCCGGCCATGACCAGAAAAAGAGCCCAAAGGAAGGGCTCCAAGATGTAGCGCAGCTCTACCAGGATCCTTCCGAAGGCTGTTCGGCTCGGGGATTTTGGAGCTTCGAGGTTTAGAGCTTAGGGGTTTCAGGGTTCAGCGGGACAAGCTCAGGGATTTCAGGGTGGAAGTGGGAATAACCGACACAGATTGCAAGAAGTCCTTCTTCCTTGGCCCAAGGTCTTCTAGGACCCCCCCGTCCGCTCTGTGGGACTTTATCGAAACTATTGGGCTCGTTTTGATACCCTAAACTCGAAGGAGTGCGAGACCCACATAAACCAAGATCCATGCCAGGGTGAACCGAAAGACGGGACTGGACAACTTCGGTTCAGCGTGCAGTACGAGTCCCCCTTAAGACACAGTTCGCAGTACCGGTACTACTATACTATTCTGTTGATAGGGCCCTGTTATTTTCCCCAAAATAAACACGCCATTGCTAGTCTAGACAAAAGCGAAGAGATGGCACCTTTGCAGGCTCTCCCGCCCGACAAAATATACATAAACAAATACAAATATCCGTATGTGTATGAATAAATATATATATATATATACATACCATTATATCAGCAAACCTTAAACAAACGAGAATGTGTGTGTGTCTGGTTTACAAGATGGCTTCCTCTTCCTGCTAACTTCATTTAACTCCCTAACCAGCTCTCCCAGACAAGCGAAACACCCGGAGCCTCATGGAGCAGTAGGCGCCGATGATGCAAAGAACCACGAAGCCCACGCGCTCCCGGAAGACCTCTGAACAGAAAAAGCAAGCCTTGAGGGGCTTAGGGGCGTGAATGTGCCGGTTTGAAGGATTTAGGTGTTTAAAATTTCGGCTTGCTTCTGAAAGGGTCGCTCTTACCTCATGCTCTTGCTCCGTGTCTTGCAGGGTTGTCTTTGTTAAGCATGTTGATATAAAGTTTAGCGCCGCTACCAATTGTAGCAGGATTAGGGCGTGTGAGGCGAAACCACCTCCAAGAACAGAAAAGCTACCAAAACCCATCCGGATTGTATTGTGGAAGATCAGCGCCTACCCAAATGCGCAAGCCCCACTCCGATGCGGGCGCCTTGGTTTGCAACAGGCAAGCCCAGACTACAAGAAGCGTATCGACTGGCCCCACTCCCCCCCTCCACCAGGTGGTGGTGGCGTGATTTGCAGTGGTCGGCCTATAAGTGTATGACCACCCTACCGAAGGAACCCCTACTGAAACGAGCCTGGCCCTCTGTGCGCGCCATGACAACCTGCCGCCGCAGAATGGCAAAGTGTTTCAGGTAGTTGTCAAAGATCATATTCTTCGGTTTCCCAGTCGGATGCTTTGGGCACCATATTCGTGGGTACACGAATAGGATGACATAAGCTACAGCAAAGCTACAGCTCCAGACCCAAACAGCGGTGCCTTTCAGAGCACCTCAGCATGCCCTGACTCGTAGCACTGCTAGTTGCGAGCTCCAAAACCTGGCTCCAAAACCTGGAGCCCAAACCTGAACCATCCGTATGATATGTGTATACGTGCATGTATATAAATATACAACCTATTTGTGTATACTCTTATGTTATATTACATAGCAGCATATTCTATCGACAGATTATTCTATACAGCACTGCATGTGTTTGGTTGCTTTATGACACGCATTTCATCTGACCCGGCCTGCATTGGAGTGCCCGCACCAGCTGGAAGGCCCACTGAGGCCTCCGACTTCGCTGTGCAGTGCTTGTAGGGTTTACAGGCTTGCGCAGCGGATTTACATGGCTCATAGGATTCAAAGGGTTTAAGGTCGGGATTTGGCTTCAAGCGAAGAATTGAGAATTCACAAACATCACCAGAATTGCTGGCACCTTGGCGTCGTCTCCCCAGAAAGTTGCCCAGGACGCTCCTCGAAAGCATCAGCCGCAATCACGCGTTTCAAACCACTTAGGGCTTAGGGCTTCTAGGGGATGAGGGCTTGGCTTTCAATGCACGGCTTAGGACTTTGCAGTTTTGCGTAGGCTTATGCAAAGGCGAACGTCGGGATCGCTGATCCAGACCAATCCTAAACCCTCCACGCCGATCCCTGAATCGACCCCGAGCCCCCTCTCAACCCTGAACCGCCCTAAGTTTCCTGAGCCCCGAACAGTTCTCCCTAATATCGACTGGCTGCCCCGAGCCCTCAGTGCTCCCTTCAACCCAACAGCCACTGGTGCCGTGATAGGGCTTCGGAAGGGATTTAGAACGGCTTCCTGACCTAATGGGTGAACTGCGGATAAGGTATATGATACCCTTGGGAACTATGAAATCATCCATTAAGCGCCTAGCTGCTAAAGCCACCACACCTTACAGTGCACCCCAAAACCTACAGCCCCTAAACCCCGGTGCTCGGGCCTTCGCCCGTGGTCTCGGCAAATGGCTTGCCAGGCCTAGGTTGAAGTTAGGGAGAAGAGCATAGGGCTTAGGGTTTACCTGCACCCTCCCAAAAACCCCTGATGATCAAAGCGCCTCAGATACTTGGGCTGTCTGGGAGGGGGGCGGGTGGAGCAGGGGGGAAGTGGCTGTGAGGGTTTCGGGGCTGGGGTTTAGGGTTCAGGGTTTAGGGTTCAGGGCTTAGGGTTTACTATCAACTCTGGGCCCACAGCCTGTGCAGCCACGTCGCCATGTTCGAGGCACGAGCTGATGCTACAATCCCATGCCCCAACCGCTCAGGGTTTATGGTTTAGGGTTTTGGGGTTTTGGGGTTTTTAGGGCTTAGGGTTTTCGGGTTTTAGGGCTTTGGGGTTTTAGGGTCTAGGGTATAGGGTTTCGAGCTACAGCTGCGTGCACCTACGCTTGGGGTAAAGAAGGCTTCGGCCAGCGTGTGGAGCTTGGGATTACGATGATGATGATGATGATGATGATGATGATGATGATGATGATGATGATGATGATCTTGTATTCTAACTGTTTTCGTCTTGGTTCTCGTGCTGAGATCATTCTTCAAATTGAGACTATTCTTGCTCGGATTATTCCGAATTCTATGAAGCCATCATTGTCGGGTGGTTTCCCTGTACGTCACGAACACCAAAGCCAACCCAGCCCTTCTGCATTTTAAGAGCCTCGTGACTGCGAGTCAACTCAGGGCAATGCGCGCACACCCACACATGCCAAGCTCAGAGACGTTGCAGCACCACGCAACATGTCAACCTCTGCGACTCTCCGAAGCCTTTGAGGGGTGCCGGTCCGAGGGTGTTTTAGGGTTGAGGGGGGTCCATCGCCTTCGGGTATTGAATGCCAAGGCTTAGGGCATTAAGTTCAACAACAATCAGGGCCCTAAAACCCGAAAACCCCCTTAAGGCCTTTTGTTCTCCAACAAACAGGGGAGTTGGGGGGTTGGGGGGGCTGTGCCACCTCCCAGGTGCAGCAGGTAGAGCTGGCGATGATGGAGGCGGTGCGCTTAGACTGGCCGAGGCGATATTTAAGCCCTGAAGGCTTTGGGGTTTAGGGGGTTTAGGGTTTTAGGGTTGTAGGCTTTAGTTTAGGGCTTAGGGATGCTGAGGGTTTAGATGGGCTTGGGGTTTGGAAGGTTCAAGTTTGAAGGTGTAGGGTTTAGGGGTCTGGGGCTTAGGGCGGCAATCAGGTTCAGGGTTCATGGTTTGGGGCCTAGGATTTAGGGCAACCCTCAAGACTAAGATGACGGAGCTGCCAAAACTTCTTCCGTGGCTTAGGATGAGAGTCTGAAAAGCCAGGCATTAGGTTGTTCCCAAGTGCAGGTGACGCGAAGCGAAAGAAGGAGGAGGAGCCTGCACACCCAGCATCACCAGCTCGCCGAAGACGCTTCCGTAGGTGAGACCCCCGATGAAGTTGAGATTCCTCGCGCCGGATCAATTCTGCGGCTGTCCAGAGTTTAGGGGGCGGGGGGGGAGGGGCGGAGGCTCAATGTTCAGGGCTTTCAGCCAGTAAGCCCTAAGCTGTACGGCCAATTGGACGTCCTGAGCAAGAGTCCGGCAAACTCCTCCAAGGTCTCTTTCACCACCTCAGGGTCAGGATGTCCGCAGAAAAAGCCGAAGGCCGCACGATCTGACATATAAGAGCGGGTTTCGGGGTTATAGGGTTTATGAGGAGTTCTGCAAATCTGTCAGTCTGTCTTTGCAGCATCGGTGAGGTGGCGGGAACTTGCTCTGCGTGGCCGAAGGGCGGGGCGGGGGGGGGGGGGGGGGGGGGGGGGGGTAGTTATGACACATATATTCATATATGTATAATACAGATACCCGTATATACATATATATATATACATGTATGTATGAATTGATACATACATACATACATACATACATACATACATACATACATACATACATACATACATACATATATGCATTCATACATACATACATACATAGATATACAAAGTATGTATATCTGGGTAATGTTTGGAACTCTCGGGCGCCCCGATTCCTGGATCTTGACCTTCTCATGGCCCCCGCCTCTGCCATGCCCACCGAAAGGATGAACATCGAGTTCCCTTCTGCACCCTTGGCAGGGGGTTGAGGGTCCCAGAAGCCCGGTCATTGGGTGAAGTGAGGCCTGAAGGGGTTGGTCCCGGCGCCAGAATCGAATTAGGACTGTGTGAACTGTGTGTAAGGGTTGCATGGAAGTCACATCGGACTCTGCTGGCAGATGGATCTGACTGGCATGCTCATCATCGCGCTCTGCAACTGATGCCCCAGACGTGCCCTGATGAACGCCACGTCTACTCTGCTAAGTCATGCTGGACCCTACATCTCAACTCTACTCCAAAGCCATGGCCTGCTGGATGATGCGGTCGCCGGGCATGAAGACCTTATGCTGTTGCGACTCCGTGGGCTCTGGGCTTGAGAGGGGCCCCCACAACCCGAAAGAAGGGCCTGGACAGACACGCAGAGGTGTCACCCTGGGCCTCAGTGAATGAAACGGATCCAGCAAAGGACCTTTGTCTGGCCTTTCTACCATGAAACTGTACACCCTGAACTAGTAAGCTTCGAAGGAGTCCTTAGAAACCCTAACTCCCATCCCACCTAAAAGTACATACAAAACCAAGCAGATAGAAGTATACAAAAAGATAGAGAGAGAGATATAGATATATATATATATATATATGAATATGCTACCACAGACATATATATATATATATATGCATATGTAAGAGACATAATCTTAGCTCGATACCCCCACCCACCCACAAAAAATAATAAAAAAAAAAAAACGCCCGAGTAAGCCTGGGCGAAGATAGGAAGCCCTTCAACTTCCCCCCCCCACCCCTCCTTCCACGCCACTCCCCGAGCCGCAGCTTGGCCCCAGAGCCCGAGTCGCTACGTGCGACCAGGAAGCCCGGACCGTCCCAAAGTTGAGGATCTCGGCCAAGAATTCCTTGGGGCTGGTGGAGTTTAGGGCTTGGGGCACAGGGGTCTGAGCGTAGGGTGTGGGATGTTTTTGTACCTAGAATCGGTTCGGCGTCCGTCGAGCGCGGGCCTCTATGATTTTGGACGTGGGGCCAGAATTCCTACAGCAGGCCTCAAAAAAGGAGAGGCTCAGGGAGTTTAGGTGTTAGGATGTCTTGTCATCCCAAGGCTTCAGCGACACCACTTCCGACAGACCTTCTTCACAAAAACCCTACACCCAAAGCCCAGCTCACCAGAACCGGGTATGCCTTTCAGCCTTTCAACCACCCTCAATTTAGATAGCAACTGGGGTTCGATGATGAAGTAAGCAAGGGACATTGCCATGACTCCAAACCTGCCCCCTTCACCCTCGAAAACAATGGGGGCAGGCTGGGCTGGGGGATGGCGCTCAATGGCTTTCATGTTCAGGCAGGAGGCCTGTGAGGTGTTGGAGAAAATGGATCGCTCCCGCAAGATCTTTGCGACCTGAGCCACCCGAACTGCTGCACGTTTCTGACATGTCGTCTCTAAGCGACACAAACTTGCCATACAGCCTTACTCTCGTGCAGGTCACCGTGAGATGCGAGGTTCGAGAAGAAACTGGACAGCAGCAGGGTCGCAAAACTCGATCAACGCCACCAAAAAGGTAATCTTTGCACAGTGCCGACATGATCTGAAATCATATTATCATTACTACTATTATTGTGACTATTATAATAACAATAGTAATAATAATCATAATAATACGAAAAAAAAACGAACGATAGTAGTAGTAATAATAGTGATAAAAAATAATTATAATAACAATAATAAGAAGGTCTTGTATCAACCACTGGGATGCTTTGGGAAAGTGGACATCCGGCCAACTTGAGCCCGACGCGCGCTCCTGCTTGTAGCTCTTCACCTCTCTGAGTTTGCTTCAGGCTCTTCAAAAGGCGCACGGTGACCACCATTCGTGACATGTCCAAGCTTCTTGGTGAGATGCATTTGACAGAGGTGTGCCGACCCTGAGCCAATCTAACCGTTAATCCTTTTATTGGCAGAGGCCGAAGGCCTGTGTAACAGTGGTGGCGCGGGTGCTCTGTTGCTGATGTTCCAGCACCAGAAGCGGAACGACCTTGGGCGGCAGGAGGAGGCTGAGGCTCCGTAGGCGACGGGGAATTGGATGTTTCGGTGTCCTTGCAGCTCTTGCGATCTTCAGTATTGCTGCGATGAACCACACCCTAAACTAAACTCAACCCTGAAGAATACCTCGGAAATCATTCCAGCCTTCTCGCGCTCGCGCGGGAACTCCTGTGTCGGCTGACGTCGTCAGTTGGGTTGCAAGGGTTCAGGCCTCACATGGGTGGAGTAGAGTTTCGTTTGGGGGCTTCGTCTCCATTGCATGAACGGCTCGTCTTTTGGCCCCTTTGGTAAGTAGCTGCACTTGCTGGCTGCCGCTGGCAACTAAAAGGGAACAAAACCAACGCAGACTGGAGTATCCCTCGATGCTCCGAACTTGCCAAGTTCGAAACCAGCCCAGGCCCTGCGCCATCCTCGCTGAGTCCCGGAGAGAACACAAACAAACCATTGATTTCCCTCCTCCAGCGCTCGGGCGATGACACCGCGGTGTAGCACGCTGAGGCAGCAGAACTGTCGCAGGGATGAGAAAAAAGACCGCCTGCTGTAAACATCTATCTGCACCAGAAAAGTTGGATTTGTGTCATGCTTCCACAATGGTCTCGCGGCAGACACGGGCGCCTGCAACGCCTGCACCCGCGCGCCAGACCAAAACCAGCTTCCTGGGAGGATGCTACCTCGGTCCGCCAGCCCTTTTTGAGCTCACATCACGGCGACGAACAAAACTCTGAACCCGAAACCCTGAGAACCGTAAGCCCACATGCCCTGAACTTCCAAGCCCCTAATGTCTGCAAAACCTATGAAACCTAAAACAGATTCCTAGCGTGGAGAGTTGTTTCCCTGGTGCACACCAGGCCATGGCCGCGCAGGCTTGCTATCAGTTCCCAGAGAACCCGCCAGGTATGTAAGTAGGGCCTTAGGGCTCTCCATGCCAATTTCAAACCGAATTCATGTCCCGGCTCTCATGTCCCGGCTCTTGTCAGCTTTGCCCCACCCCAAATACCATAGAGAGGTGCTGACTTTCCATTGAGGTGCGTCCCATATATGCCCCCTTTGCGGCGCTATTGAATACGTGACCTGTCTCCGAGATCCGGGCCCGGGCCCAGGATGTCGCCGCTGGATAAGTGCCCGAACGGCAAGAGCGCCGGACTTTCGTTGGTCATCTGCAGCCGGACGTGCCCCACGTTCACCTGGACTCGTGTTGCACCAGCAAGTTCAACGTGGTGCCGGGTCCGGAGTCTGATAAGAAGGCAGCAGTTCATCAAAGGCAAGCAACAGAGAGTTGTGTCATTGATAGCACCATTTATCCTGCAAACCTCTCGGCTTTAAGAGCAAGCGGCCGCTGCACAGCTGATATTCAGCGTGGGAGAGAGAATGGATGCGGGCACAAACTGGTGCAAGTTGTCTGGGAGGATATGATCCTGGGCCGATTGAGATGAGGGGAGGCTGGGGGCTGGGGGTTCCCCAGATTGAGGCGCCGAGCGTCCCCTGGAAAGAAAACTCGCTGCTCGACGTGTCGAGAGAGGAACTCAAAGAATTCGTTGCTGAGGTCCACGTGCTGGCAGATGGGATGCTCCTCTGCGGCTAAATTGGCAGAAGCCCAGTGGCTTGGAGAGTTCTATGACAGGATCTGCTCAGGAAGCTTAGGAGGAAGACTCGAAGATAGCACCGGCTTTGTCAGACGTAGCAACCGAAGCCTGCCCATGGTGAGAAACAAAGGGAAGATTTCCTGGCACAGCCTCCCCTGCCCTTCGACGATGCGACCTCAACTGAAGCAACTCAAAGCTCCCAGCAGTACCCCCATCCCGGTCCCGGAAGGTGTGGACAGGGAATGCTTCCTTGCCCTCCAACTGGTAACCTTTGTGGCGGCACAGTATAAGTGAAGGGCCCAGGGTAGAATGGCAGGCCCAAACTGTTCCAAGCACCTGTTCATCCTGGGGTCCTCAACACATATGACTGCAGACTTCCCAGTGAGACAGCGAGAGAGAGAGAGAGAGAGCGCGAGAGAGACAGAGAGAGAGAGAGACAAATTAGGGGCAGGCCGAACAAGTGAGGGAGGGAGCGGGAGGCTTTCCTTTCCCCTTGTGTCTTGACTTGACAACAAACACAGCGCTGAGCAGCTGAACATCTTGAAACGAAGAAAGGCTGTCAGAGGTGATCGCCAATTTCTGCACTCAAAGCCACGCTGAAGCCATTGCCGGTCTTTCGGGAACCTCTCAAGGATTCGATTGAAGACGGAGCGGTACAGCAACCGCACCTCTGACCTGATGGGCGCAGATGAAAGCTCCCGATCATCAATCGTTATAAGTCGCTGCGCCGGCATTCTCTCTGCAACTTCAGCCATCTTAAAAATTGGCTGTCTAGCCAGATTCTAGCGCGGCAGACATGTACTCGGTAGCTGTAACTCTAGATTTGCATGTGGCTGTCACAGAAGGGCCCTACCTATAGGCACAAAGTGTGCCAAGAACACGTCCATTGAGATGACAAGCCACATCTTGTAAACTCGCACTGTGCCACTGGCACAGGGTGTGATGCCAAGAAAGGCTTCCTGCGGCGGAACTTTGCCTCTGGCCCTTTGATCCCCTCAACCGCACTGGCGTAGCCTGATTCTTGCTGTACTGGATAGGGGCCTAAGAGCCTTAATTAGGGTTTCAAAAACAAACAAAGACAGTGAACACCTGTAGGTACCCTCAATTATGGATTGAGGCCGTACCTGTAGCTTTTGCGGAAGCAGCTGCGGGTCTCGTTCAAACACAGAAGTTCAGGATATAAAGTGGCAATGGAAGATTCATGCCGTGCTCCACAGCAAGCCGTTGAGTGAACACCACAGATCCGGAGCAATCTAATCATTGCTATCCCAAACCCTGTTCTGCAACCCCACCAGATCCATACTCAACTGCTCCTGATAGCCTCAGCCCCCGCACAAAACAAGGTACCACGTCCTCCCCGAACACTGCGACGTCGGGCAGTGACTGCGCAGTGTATCCCTGCTCCGGCCCGCCTGAGGTCTGGGTTCAGGGTTGAAGGATGTGAAGCATTTGGATAGTTGCCCCCTGCTGCCTTGGCACTCCTACAACTTACCAACTCCTCCAAAAATGCACACGAATGCTCCCAAAATGCTGCGCCTTCCGTTGCTTCTGCCATCATGGCCTCTGCCCTAGCACGGTTTGACACCGCCATCAGTGAGGAGCTGAGCGCTCCTGCGCTGACCGCTGTTGGGCTTAAGGGGGTTTTTAAGTTTAGCTGAAGGCTTCAACTTTAATCTCGTGGGCGATGTTCGTGCTGATGTTTGAGATGTCAGGGTGTCGGATTGAAAGCGATCCAGCCCTCTTTGTCAGTCCCCCAGAACGTTTGGTACTCAGACTAGCATGCCTGTTCAACAGCGACCCTGTAGGAGTTGAACCCTCCAACAATTAAAGCCACAGACTCATCAGCGTACCGAATATTCAGTCGGAGTTGGATCCGAGAGAATGTGCTTCCCCGCGTGCTTTGCTCTTTTGGTCTTGGTGCCGACAGGGGTTATTGAGACCCCTCCTAAAGACGAAGGATTCTGCAGGGTGTGCGGAGGAGGCTGTGCCAGAAGGTTGATGCGGTTAGACCATGCGCCTTACACGGCCTGAATGTTTCCGGGTGTTTTTCTCGCCTTCGCATGTACGTTTCCTGCAGGCCCCGGCGATGCGAAAGTATGGTAGTTGAAACCGTCGCACGATCTTGAACCCTTTTGCGGCTGCAGGCCGTCTAGGGTGCGGGTAGCATGTGGTGTTGGCTTGTTTTTGCTTTCGAACCATTCGCACCAAAGAGATTCCAAACTCCTTGACATAAGACCACAAGCATACCACGCTCAACACTGCACATTTCCCGGAGCTCAGAACCCTGCGGATGTCTACAGATCTATGAAACCCACCCCTCTATACAGAAACTATTCGTGACAAGCCATGCTTTCGAAACTGCATCTGCTTCGGAGGGCCCATGACAGCGCAGGGAGATCCTGGTCATGACAACCCTGCTCCCCACCTTCGTCCACCGACGGCCGCCGGGCCACAGACAGCTTCCGACCAGTAAGTGAAGAACGCCGGACCGGTGGAGCAGGGGACGCGTTCGCCTTTGGGCTTCGAGGGCCCCCCAAAAAACCTTATGACATCTTACAAGCGGGCTTTGGGGCTTTGGGGGATTCGGCCCTGACCAATGTGCGCAACGAGCCAGGAGCTGGAGCGAAATCCTACTCTAGGTATTAGCTATTTATATATACATGTATATATATATATATACATATAGAAACCCCCATCAGTGAAGCGCCTCGCTCTCCGTCACGACTGTCGAGCCCCGTCCCGTCGTCTCGCCCTTGGGGGTTTTGGGCTTTCAGGTGAAGACTTGTTTAGTCCAGAGAGTCTGGTGTTGCTGCTTGCCCTAGACAGTCGGAGCCTTGTACCACGCAACTGAGGAACTGAGGGATTGAGGGAACTGAGAGTTCAGACCGCCTGACACAGGCTTCGCAACATGCAAGCTGCAAGTTTCCGGTTTAGAGACATCCCCCTGTAGGTTTAGAAACATTTGACTAAATCACCGATAAAGACTCAACCAATAAGGTTCCTACCCCACCGACGCTCGACTTCCGCACAGGCCCCAGCTAGAATGACGCGACTAAGATGCTCTGTGCCGAGGATTGGGGGCCTTAGTCCCCAATCCCGAACCCGAAACCCTAAACCCTAAACATCCCTAAACCCTAAACCCTAAACCGGATTGGTTGGGGCTTGGGATGGTCACGGCCTCCATGATGAAGCGGATGTCCATGCTAGGAACCTGCATGGGATCTGTGTTTCCAATCACCAATACCCCCAAGGGCCCAGGACCTTCACAGAATTGCGGGGGGGGGAGGGGGGGTGGGGGGGCATGTAAAGTGTGAGAAGGTCAAAGAGACCCCACGGTATACATTTTTGTGCTGTCTTCAGGAAGGTGTGGCCTAGGGATCAGGATTTCGCTTCGCTGTTCCGCTTGCAGAATGGTTGGGTAGAACACTCCAAGACGATTCCGCAAGTTCGGTGTAGCGGGCCTTCGACTCGTCAAGCGCACAGGCAAAGATGCATCAAACTTTAGGGATCTTTAGGGTTTTAGGCAGAGCTTTAGTATGAGTCTTAGGGCTTTAGAGGGCTTCGTCGCGTGTTTTGGGATTTGGGAAAATCGTTTCGTGGCAGCTTGCTGGAGTTTACCGGTTCCTCGTAGGAAGTGGGGGGCCTAGGGCTCTCTGTATAGTTGCAATATAGTATATAGGGCCCAGTTTCTAACTAAGAACCTTTTGCGGAGTCATCCTTTGAAAAGCCGGTGGGTAGGGGAACCCTATTAACCCTTGTACCCTCAACCCTAAATCATTAACAGCTTAAACTCGTAAAGAACAAAACAAACATATACCTAAACCCTCAACCCCTAAACCCTCTCTACATAACCCAAAAAAACCCCAAACCCCCATAAACCCCAAACCCCAAACCCTTCATAGCCCTTGAAATCCTTCATAACCCTGAAGCCCTTGAAGCCCAACTTCTCTATACAACCTAGGACACCTTAAACCCCAATAGCCTAAACCTAAACCCCAAACCCCAAATCCTTCACCCTGAAGCCCTTAAAACCCAACGATGCCTCCTCACGCCGAACCGTGCGGCCGACCACCTTTCGGCAGCGTCGGCGATTTTTAGGAAAGCTTTGGCTTTAAGGGCTTTAAAGGCTTTAAAAACTTTAAGGGCTTTAAGGGCTTTAAGGGTCTTAAGGGTTTTAAGGGCTTCCGGGCTTTCAGCGTTTTAAGGGGTTAACGAGTTTTAAGGGGGTTTCAAGGGCTTTCAGGATTTTCAGCGTTTAAAGGGGTTTAGGGGGTTTAAGGGGTTAGCGTTTAGGATTTCGTGAAGGTTATCATTGCTAGTAGGAATGCTCGGCGTAGGCTGCAAGGGGCCATCGGTTGAAGGTTGAGGGTGTTGGGTGTTCGGGTTTGGGATTCAAGGACCAGGGTTTAGGGTTTCAAGTGTAGGGTTGAGGGCTTACCTGAAACCCCCCAAACCCTGTTTGTCGGTTCATCCGGTCTCGAGATTATTGATTGACCTTTTAACCCCAAAAAAACCTACACAAACAAAGCAGGTTCCAAACCCCTCTACATGTTCGGGGTTTTAGAGTTTGGGGAGCCACTCACCTTGAACACATGCTGACTCGAGAACACAAAGCTTGAACGAAAACTCCAACGCCAACAACACCACAGAATTACTCTAAACCCCTCAACACCTAACCCTAATTCAACCCTGGCCCCCAAGCCCTAAACCATACAACCCCAGAGCAAACCCAAAAACCCTGAACAGCGCCAAAGAAACTGTCCCGCTTGAAGGAGGGCCTCGACGGAGACGTCGCCATCAAAAAGGAAGGCCAAAGGGGGATCCTCCTGACCTGCGGGAGATTTTGTAGGGTGTAGGGCTGGGCTTGGGTAGTAGCATTTTGATCTTACAGCGTTTGCCGGCTGTGGCTTTGAGTTTATGGTTCAGGGTACTTGACAACGTCATGGGGCTGGACTGCTTGGCAACAACGACGTGCGACTGGAGCCCACAAGCAGACACATTTCGAGCTACTGACGCAAACATCCAGCACCTTCTGTGTGGATGACGTCGCCCGCGAAGTAGAGGTGCCTGACCAAACCTGTCCAGCTACTGCAACTACTGCATGTGCCCTACCCGCGGATCTTGGTAGCCACACCGATGGAGCAGCAGAGGCCAACTCAAACCACAAAACCCCATAGACCCATTTAGAGCACCAGAGCACCATACCCATCGTCGTCTTTCGCCATCTCTACGAATGCCCTTGTGGCCTGCTTCAAGCGCGGCCAAGAGATCCTGTTCGGATGGACGTTGGGGTGAGGAACCTTCTGGGGGTCATCTTCTGTGATTGAACTCTGGACATCTAGGGATGCGGGGGCTTGCGGATTTTCAGCCTAGACATCCCTAGACCCATGCTGCCGTGTGCTTAGAACCTCTGCTCCCATCGGCAAGAGAGAACGAGAAATAAAGCATCTTCCTCCAGCAGAAGTCGCTCCCCTGGACTCAAGAGCCAAACCAGAGAAGCCGCTCCAGCCTCGCTGACTTGGCGGAGGGCCACGGGACGCCGCAGTGCCAGGCGCATCTCGTTCTGCTGGGTCCATTCCTGCGGCTCGAGTTCTACGTGCCTCCTTGATTTGCCTGGGAGCCCCGAATTTTCCTAACCATCCTGGTTCCATCACGATGAAGGCTGGTGGCGTGTTTCGCTTGGCAATGC